AAAGCACGTCTTACAGAACAGAAAAGTGTCAGATTCCCGCGGGGATAGTGGAACGTATCACAGACAAATGGACAAATGGCATTTTGTCTCACTTGCTGGAATAGGCCGTATGCCTACACCTTAGGTAGGTACTTTACCTTAGTGGGTTTTCTACTTGACCTACATAGGTGCAAAGATGATAATGGCGGTGACTCTTTTTGGGACTCCTACATGGTACCTAATAGGTTAGTGAGAAAGGCTAGGTAGGTAGGTACGTGCTTTACCACCCCCCCTGATGGCTTGTTCCTACTGCACACTCTCGGGACTCACACATGCATCTATAGGTAGGCAGGTTATGTACCTAATCTTTGCGGCAATGCTGTGGCACCTGGGTGCCTCATATATGGTTGCCTCGCGAGGCGGCGCTGTGGTTGGCTGGCCCGCGCAGGCCGCAGCAAGCAAGGTCTGGCCTTGTAGATCGGGTATATACGAGGTGATGTACGAGGCGAGGTTGTTGTCGCTGTCGCTGTCGTGTCTTGCCTTGCCGGCGATCGAGGGTGTTTCGCGCGCGTGGTCAATCGTTCGGTCGTTGTAATAGGCATTTGCTGCTATTCGGTGGGGTATGGAAGAGAGGGGGTTGGCCTCTTCACGTTCTTCCCCAGTGATCTTGATGCCCTACCTATGGATCTGCGGACCGACATGGCACGGCTCGTTCGCTAGTTACTTCGTTCGGTTCGGTTTTTGTTTCGAAACTCAATAGCACGAATCACTCCCTACCACGCGTGTCCACAAACACACCACCCAATCAACCGTCTGGGCAGTCAACTAACCCTAACCATGGCCGACCACTAACCCAGAACCACCAGACCCCCCCTTTCAACAATCGTGCCACACATCACCACATGAGTCCGATCTACGGTATGCACCAAAAAAAACCTTGGAAAGGTAGAACGGAGATGCCGCGCAGATTGTAGATAGATAGATAGACAGATGCGGATCAGTTACCTAGATGAAACACCACATCGCCGAACTTCTTTTTCGCCCAAAAACCCGGTTACGTGATGTCCTGCCCACCTGCCCACCTGTGTTCTGCCCCTCTCCATAGGCTTGTACCTACTGTAGGTCAGTCCTATGATCTAGACGTTTAGGTGGGCATGTACTTCCATACCTCCCGGGCGACCCCTCCCCCTCTCCCCCCCCCTTTCTGGTACGCAGGACGCGTCGTACAGCAGCGGCAATTCTGTGTCTGTGCTCCCAATACAATATGGCTCCCTGCGCGATCGAGAATTCGAAGAAAGGGGCGGGACAAGACGGGAACGTGCCTGGGTGAGATAGAGAGAGAGAGAGAGAGAGTAAGTGGTAGTGACACAGAGAGACAAAGCGCGTGTTAGTGTGAGCAGGTATGGATGTGGTTCGAGGCCGAGTGACAGAGTTCGAACGGCCACAGGTGATATGCGCATGCCTGCCCCAAGGGGGGAGGACAACATGAACGCCAAGATTCATACAATAACGATCGATGTCCCTCCCCTCTCCCCCCTCTCTCTATGAACGAGTTTCTTTCTTTACTTTGTTTTTTTGCTGTGCGTGTGCTCTTCTTTTCGGTTCTCTCTCCTTTTTTCTGTATTTCCCCCCCCTAGTCGAAATCTAACGTGGTGCAACCACATGTGTTTATATACATATCTCGCGCAGCCAGAGGTATGCTGGTGCCTAGGTAGGCATATGCCTATGCATATGTGCATGCGTGTGTATTTGTGTATTCTCTATATTTTCTATTTTCGTTTACTCATCTCTATCTGCTCCGTGGGACAGAAACGGAGGAATCCGATGCTCGCCAAGTGCCGGGTGGGCGGCGCGCGCACAACGTACACAACATTCCCGTACGTCCACACATACACGCACAGAGAGAAGGTCAGAGATAGGGCGTCGTGTGGTGTTTGTGGCAGCACCCTCGGCTCTTGCGTATCTTCCGTTCCCCCTCCCCCCGCATATCGATCACGCGAGTACCTGGCGATAAGCAGAGAGATATGGCAGGGGAGAGGAGGGGAGAGAGAGGAATCGTGCGATATCTGAGGTGATAATTATCGCGAACCGGGGGATCTCCTCCGTTGGACTTGTCCGTCCGTCCGCCTGCCAGTCTCTCAGTCTAGCTGTCCTCCCCCCTTTTTGCTTCATCCTCGGTTCATTGCTGCTGTATGCCGGAACAGTTGGCGCAACGAAATATTCCCTTCCTTTACTTCTTCTGTCCCACCCCGGAATTAGAACGGGGGAAACCGCAAGGGGGAACGAACGACGGAATAGAATAGGGGGGAGATTTGGTAGTAGGTAGTAGCCGTAGTCATGTGGTAAAAAAAGAGGATGCCGTGCCATAGGCAATGCCTAGCCCTAGGCAATAGGCAATCGTGCCGAAAATGGCACCTTTCTCTATCTTGACCACCTTAGTAGCTACGATTCGTTGCGTATCTACCTAGGTAGGTACGGAGATAGGTGACTGCGGCTATTAGCAATGCTAGATCCCTCCAACCCTATGAACCTATGTACGTTAGCGACAGATGTGATAGGGCCTGAAATGTGGCTTGCATCCTTGCGCCTCTTACGGAGAATCCCTTTTTTTTTATTTAACGAACCGGTACCTTAGGTACCTACCTAACCTAAGGACCTTACCTGCCTAAGGTGCCCAGATCCCTATGCAGAGTGTGCCCTCGCCAAGGATCTGAAAGAGAAAGCGACAACCCGGTTATCTGTCACCGACTCGCTCAGCTCACGGATATTTCGGCACTTGCTAGAGGCATCACGATGGCTTTTGCCAAGGACGGGGGGCGCTGGTGATAAAAAAAAAGGCCAAGATCAGGATTCCATCGCATCGCCGTCGGCGCATGTACGCGGTACTTACCTACCTAACATACCTACCTGCCTAACCTAGAGCTGTGTCTTGGCATCAGCAGCGCTGGGCGCGATGAGTGGGTCGTGTAGGCAGATATGCAAAGGTCCTTCGGCGCCAAGTTTTTCAACATCGATGGGAAGGCTCTTGTAGGCAGGTAAGTGTTGGACACCCCCTGTGCCGCAGCACTGTTATTGCTATCCGGCGTCGAGCTAGCTGTAGGTACGGCACAAGTCGAGAACCGCCTGCATACCCATCCAATAGGTAGCTGTTATCGAAGGATTGCGACGACCCAAGATCTTGCCGTGATCCGATCGTCTTCCGCGTCCAATTGTATCCTCTGCATGTGTGGCTGTCTGGGCAACGAGGAACCGAATGTATGAACCTCCTATGACGTATACGTATTGCAGCACGGCTTATTACTCGCCTCATGGCGTGCCGTGTGTTCGACAACCAAGCCAGCCTACAGGAAGCCTCTATCAATTCCCCTGTGGCTATACTGTCGAGGCTAGGCAACGGTATCGGCCAACTTCCATGGTTCTGGTCAACCAATGAGAGGTACTGGTTCAACGACGACGAAAATAACTATCCAGGTAGTAGGTATCTGCCAAGTAATTGAGGACGCAGCCAAGAATGAAGCAACTCGTACAGTGCAGACTACATAGATCTATCTCGATGGATATCTCGATGGAGGTACCTACAACAGGCGCTTCCTAACGCCGTATGCGTCCGGAGAGGGCAATGCAAGGAGGCAGGTATCTAGGTAGGCTCCGTTTCGTGGTCCTTTTACCTTTGACCCTGAAGGAGTGCCGATAGCTGGCCCTAGCTATACTCATGAGAATATACGTGTATTTACATGCCTAGGTACCTACCTAGGGGAGGTATGTAGATGGGCTTAGAATAGCAACTCGTTACCTTGTGTACCTAGTATTTTGTGGTTATCCACCTGGGTTGGATCTCAATCCCTCGTTAGCTTGATGAAGTGGTCGCTCGTAACTCTAGATGTACATCCATTGATACCCAGAGCTTGTGATGGCTCCAATAGAACCTCGTAGGGATATGGAATAGGGGCTCAGTAGTTCATGTCTCCCCAAGGGCGTGAGCTCCACACGTACCTAGCGGAATTTACCCCGTAAGTTCGAGACTTGTTCTTTAAATAGCTTCAAGCTTCAAGCTCCAATGATCCTGTATTCTATACATAACTATTTGCTTCAGCGTCTAAGTATCATATGCCTTCCTGCCTCATATGGCTAGCTTTATTCATATAACAAGACCTACCTATAATTGTCTATAAACAGAGGATTCTGGATTTATGGATACTTGCAATTATATCATGATCTTGTATGGACGTCTTGGGGCTGACAATTCCAACAAAGTGGGCTCAGGAAGTGGCAGTGTCGGCCCGAGTATCAGGATGTTGTTATATTTGATAGGATTCGAGTTGCTGTTCGCGGGTCAGGTGACTATCTGGACCCAGCATCCTGGTTCGAAGGATTTTATGTACGGGGGATCTCATGGCCCTTGCCTACCTGCTCTCTGGGACCTTATTTTAAGACATGTGAGACCGAGATGAGATTCGCGATTATTTTTGGGACCACGGGTTCTATATTTGGCGTTGTCGTGGGGGTCCAGAAATAGACAACGACCTACCTAAAGCAAGGCTTGAGGTTGACGCGACGCCTCGTAGAGTTTAAGCAAGGGTGGCAGGGTTTACTGCCTTAGGTATCCTTTCGAAAAGTGCTCCCCTTATTCCATTGTATGTAGCATCTACACGTAATCTGAGAGTCAATGAATACTTCTCTAAAGACTTCTTTGGCTACATAGTCGGTACCTCAATGTAGATAGGCACGCACTCAATGAAACGGTGAGGTTACCGTTTCTTAACCCCTGAGTTGGTAGACTCATACCTTGTCACGAGGATCTCTAAACCCCCCTGGAAACTATGGAAGCTACATACTAGGTACACATGTGAGCTGTCAATTTTCTATCTGCCCCCCCTTGGTAGAGCCCAGGTAGACCCTTAACATACCCTAACTCGATATACTGGAACAGCAAGGTACCTAGGTAGCCTATGTGACTCAGAGGGCCATTTAGATGGTTGAGCGCACGATGTGTATGGCTTCAAAAAACACCAAGACATTAGGCCGAGTTCCAATATGTAATTAGATAGTGCCTGTGGGCAATATAGAACAATAAATAATTCTAATACAAGATAACTTCACTCAACGCCTATATCCCATGTAGAGACCAACCAACGCCTAACATCCTTCATGACAAGACCCAACTCCAGACAACCTTAGCTACCGTATATTAGACCCTACTTCGCATTCATCATATTGCACATCTCCTTGTACCTCCTTAGGACGCGATCAATGATGCACTGAATGTTCTTCGCGCCCGAGAACTTGCCGTTCAGCTTATCGAACAGCTGCAGCACGAGCTCCAGGTCATCGATGACCTGCGTCCGCTGCAAATAGCTGACCAGCTCCTGGGGCTGGGCCGTCGAGGCGTATATCAACGAGATGGTGGACGTGAACAGTGAGAGTAAGTTCAGCCAATTGTAGGCGAACCGTTTCTGGCGGTGCATGGTATAGGCCTGGCGGATGGACATGGAGGCGGCGTTGGCGAGCTTCTTGACCATGACTTGGTCTAGGAGGGGGAACAGCGGCGAGGGCCTGTACAGCATAGCTAGATGTGTGTAGTAGTTGAAGTCGTACCAGTTGCTGCTCAGGTGAGGCACTCGGGGATGAACGTCGGGGAGCGGGAACGGCATGTTACGCCGCCAGTCAATCAGCTCTTTGTGGAGAGAGTGCAGAATCTCATCGCGGCGGGGTGTGTTTTCCCGAATGGCTGCTGGGTTTCCATAGACCTGCCTGCTGATTTTGCTGGCGATTTTTCTAAGGTCCAGAATGTGCCGCGGAATGGCCATCATAGATGTTTCTAGCCTGTCTCGGCTTTGAGTCCCGAGATTGTCAAGCTGCTCGTCATCAATATCGACAAAAGGCTATCGAAGGAAGTGAGCAGTGGGAAAAAGGCGGATTAAAAAGTTAGTGGAAGTCCGCCATGTTATCTTACCTCAATTTCTATATCATCGTCCTGTAATGCGAATGGGCGACCAAGCGCTATAGATATCACACTTCATAGAGGAACAGAAATGTCAGAAGGCTTCGTGTGTATAAAGTTATTCGAGGCAGAAGGATAACTAACCGATCCATCATGTAAATAGAGAAGAAAATCCGCTTTCTCATGTTGGCGATGTTGAAAGGAAGATTTTCATATGCAGAGGCACTATGAAGGCCGAGACCGATAGCCATCCGAGCTGCCGTGCCAACTAAGAACCAAGTGTCTAAAGAACTATTAACATGATTTCCCCGCGAGTCACTTGAAGGAGGGGATTGAATTACTTGGCCCAAGCTGATTAAAGAAAGAGAAGGACACCTGAAGCATGATGGTTTCCAACGCAACCTAGAAGCAGCATTAGCACACATATTGTTCCTGAGAGATGGAATGAGGGCGTACCATATCGCCATAATCGAACGCGAGTTCAAAAAATTCAAGCGCTTTGTTATAGTACAACAAGGCCTCCGATTCTTCGACCATGGAGACGGAACAGCGCGACGAAGAGCCGATGGCCAAAACCATCCAAACTCGAAACCAGGACATCGGGTCCAGGGTGGATGGATCCGAAGATTGCTCATAGATGCGGTCTAGCAAAGCCATAAAATCACTTTGATTGAGAATGGGATACAAGGTGTGCGAATGCGCAAAATAGAAAGACGTCAATTGGTCGGCTCTCGCTTTAGTAGGCAGACATAGATCTGCTAGCGAACCTGAGGGTTCGATAATACTCGATAAGGACACATCCCCAAATAGTGTCGGCCCAAAGCCAGCGATGTTGGGGAAGTTGAGAAGAGGCGGATGGAAGAAGTCTGGGGGGGAGTCCCAATCTATCTGTCCCAAGATATCGTCGCCCTGTGAGATGCCAAAAACGAAATCGGCTCGATCTGGTGTGAGACGTTTGAGAATTGTCTGTGTGAGCTTTGCGAAAGATAACCCGGAAGAAGAACCAAGATGCCGTTCTGCTGCGGCCTCTAAAGACAAGATTCTCAACTCCTGGTCCATGGATATGGCTGAGGTCTGTCCATTGGGCGAGAGTGGTTGTCCACGGACGGAGTAGGGCGAGAGCCCGCCCACATGGGAGTCATCGACAGACCCCTGCTGTGTTGAGCCTTCGAGATTTGGATGAATGGTGTCTAGTGACGGCTCTGACACGACTGGAGGGTTTCTCGCAGCTTCAAGTGCCAATGCAAGCTGCTTTTCTAATTCTTGTACTTTGGCTTCTAGCCCTTGCACGAAACTAGATGTTTTTATTAATCTACAATCTTCGTCTGAGGATCAAGGGGCGTCAATTACATACGCAATTGGATATGTACCACTTTGCTGGTCGTCGTCAAGAAAGCTACAGGGCACATCGGCATTTCGACAGTTATCACACTGCGGCAATACCCTATCACATTTCTTCTTGCGTTTATGACAGCGCTGGCATGAAGTTCTAGCTACAGCAATAATCGCTGGGGTATCTGCTGGAGTCTCCATGGCAATGATGTTTCCAGCAGAGCAAGTAGTGTAGCCATACCTGCATCACATTACGTGCTTAGGTAGGTGACCAAGATAGAAAGATGATTGCGGGAAGTTATCAAAGTGATTGATTTGGAGTTAGTTGGATACCTAGTAGGTGGAGGGGTTAAAGGGGGCACTATCACAGTTGCTATCACAGTTGCTATCACAGTTGCTATCACTGGTTGAGTCAGGTGGGAGAGCCCTGGAGATGGAGACTTCTAGGTTAAGATCCCGATTAGGGAGACCTGATTAGACTTTGGATGGATTTGATTGGCTGATAGCCTGGGTATGACATAATAACCCTGATAAACCCTCGTAAATTTGGGGTAATAACCTGGAATTTGTTCGGTATTTGTTTTCTCTCCTATCTTTTACCTAACTATCATTGATAACTACCTAACCTTAGGTAGGTACCCTAGGTAGTTACCAATGCCTATCTTGTCTCCAAGTACGGTGGGACATGCATCCTTTATACTTCCCCTCTTCTCTTCTCCCTACTCCGCCTTTCTACTCTTCCCCCTTTGCGCTTGTTGCTGCCTGTATTTTGTTCATAAATTCTACCATCACCTGGCTATCCAAATACGCATCAAATTGCCTCACCAACTTTCCATCGTCCGTAAGTATCAACTTGTGAACATATTCATTCTCGTAATCCCCCGCAATCTTTGTCGTTCCCCTGGCGGTGAGATAGTAGACGACCTTGCGCTGAGTCTCGTCAACTACTATGTCGGTCTCTTCAGCGTGGTACGTCTCAAACGCGCTGGAAGACGTCAACTGGAATTTTGCATAGTCTTCACGACCTCGGGGTGGCGTGTTGAGTGATGACGGAAACAAGCGGCCGACAAAGTCAGGAGCTGCGAGCACGATGATGCCCTCCACACCAGTCGTTGCCTTTTCGTTGTGGGCTTTGACCCACTGTCTTGCAGTGGAGATCATTTGTTCGCGTAGAGACATTTTGATGCTGTCCAATATTGGAATTTTAAATAGGAGTTTCTTTCGTAACTGACTGTTAACCTTGGAACTGTAATGATGTGAACAGAAAATGGGATGCAACGATGGGAGAGCGTTGGAATACGAGAAAGTGAATTATATATCTGTTTTAGTACAAGCAATCGCTATCCCGTACATGACTGTTGGTAAGTAGTTGGAGGTTGGCTCGCAATTCCGAGGGCTCCTACGGCTCTTACATACGGCTCGGTAAACAAACGGCTCCGCGACAGTGGATGTAGGTAGGTTAGCTACCTAGGTACCCTTTAGGCTATATATAGGCACCTATGGATATCTGGCAGCACAGGACGTATGAATATTGACCCCAAACTTCCAGGATACTTCGATGCCAAATATAGCGCAAGATCGGGGAATAAGGGCAAGGGATAGGGTCACATACGGCATCATAAAATGAGGCATTGGGTATTGATTTGAAGCAGGATGAATGATTACCTACTACCAAGGCACCTAGAGGTATCATAAGCGTCTGACATACTCAAAGTTCCTATTTCCAATCATCCATTGTTCATCCCTTACTCAAAACTCGACCACCGCTATCGCCTTAATCTCGACAATGAACCGCGGATCCGGCAGCTCCCTAACACCGACCGTCGCCCTCGCCGGCGCGCTGGCCCGGTCCGCGAACACCTTGTTCCACTCCTCGTTCATGCCGGCGTAGTGCGACTTCATGTCCAGCACGTAGACGACAGCATCAATGACGTTGTGGATGCCGCCCTTGCCCTGGCTCGCGCCGCGGATGATGTCGTCGATCCGCTTCAGCACCGCCGCCGTCTGCTCCCGGATGTCCAGCTCCCACGTGCCATCCGCGTTCTGCCGCGCCCCCTCGAGCTTGCCGTCTGGTGACACAGCGGCTATTCCCGAGATGTAGATGGTGCGGTGAGATGAGGCTGGCGCGATGCGCGCGTGCGCGTAGCGTGTTGGCCCAGCGGGTGTGTTGGGGTCCAGGAGGAAAGCTTCACCATTGGGAGACATTGTGTGCTGGTAAATAGGTACCGAGGTACTTGGGTAGATAGTAGTGAGAAAGGGGGGCGATGTTTAGGTGCTATATTTCAGGGACAAGCAAAGCGTCTTCGCACGAAAATAGCTGTTTGGTTTTTGATGACGGCCACAGACAATCTACCACGTACTATGCAGATTTTAACAGAAAGATTATGAGTGAGTCTAGACACGAAAAGATCAACTTCAAAATGCTAGAGGCCCTCAATGTTGGATAGATGGTTGTTTCTTATTTCGGATCTGCCGTTGCGACATTCACTATAATTTACATAATCGCATTTTCACGATCGGAACCCCCGACAGCACTACTCCCCAAGCCAAAGAAGCATACGCAATCCCATCAATCTCCGCATCGCATCGCATTGCACCGGATAAGACAACCGCAACCGCACGTGAGCGCTCCAGCTCTGCCAGAAACCCAGAAACCTAGTATCCAAATTTGCTCGGTCCTCAAACTCCAAGATGTCTTCCTCAATCGAGTACTTCCCCCTCCCCAACTTCACCTTCGAAGACGGCACCACCCTCCCCCACGCACGCCTCGCCTACCAAGTCTTCAACCCCTCCGGCGCCAAAACCGCCGTGATCCCGACCTGTTTCCGGGGGCGCATCTCCACCACTCTGAACTTCATCGGCACCGGCGCGCTGCAGTCCTACCGGGTGATCGTCATCGCGCTCTTCGGCAACGGCGAGTCCTCCAGCCCGTCCAACACCGCCGGCGCCTTCCCCGCCACGATCAATTATCGCGATTGCGTGCGCGCGCAGCACCTGCTGCTGACGCAGGGGCTGGGCGTTGAGCATGTCGACGTGATGCTCGGCTTCTCGATGGGCGGGCAGTGCACGTACCACTGGCTCGCGCAGCAGCCGGGCTTCGTGCGGCGCGCCGTCGTCATGTGCTCCGCGGCGCGGACCAGCCGGCACAACTTCCAGTTCCTCGAGGGCCCCAAGGCCGCGCTGGAGAACTCGGCGGACTACGACGCGGCGGCTTCCAAGCGCCGGGAGGCTGCCGGGAAGCTGGAGGCGCCGAAGGGGCTGCGCGGGTTCGGCAAAGCGTACTCGGCGTGGCTGACGAGCGTCGCCTGGTTCGAGGACGAGCGCTACCGAGACCTGGGGTTTGAGACGCTGAGCGACTGGGACAAGGCCGTGACAGACGTTAATTACCGCGACTGGGACCCCGAGGACCTGCTGGTGATGCTGGGGATGTGGCAGCGGGGGGACATCTCGCGGCTAGATGCCGAACAGGCGGGGTCGCTGGAAGAGGCGTTGAAGGCGATCAAGGTCCCGGTGCTGCTTATGCCGTGCCAGACGGACCAGTACTTCCACTGGAGCGCGAGTGAGAGGGAGGCGAGCGCGCTGCCGGATGCGAGGTGCAAGGTTATCCCGTCGGTTTGGGGACACTTGGCGGGGTCGGGGAGTAGTCGGGGTGATAATGAGTGGATGGATGGTCAAATAAGGGAGTTTTTGCAGGAGCCTTAGGTAGATAGGTAGAGGAGTTCTATATAGTCACATAGCAATTATAATGATCTCTCTTATACAACAGTCTTCATTGTCGACCTAGGCACATTTAATTCATAAAGATAGGGGCTACCTACCTACCTACCTATCCCTTCACAACTTCCCTCTCCCCTCCTCAAACACCGCCGCAGCCTTCATCACCATCTCATCCTCCCACCGCCTCCCCACAATCTGCAAGCCAATCGGGAGCCTCACACCCTCCACCAGCGCCCCCCCGCACGGCACGCTCAGCGCCGGGTGTCCCGTGACATTGAACGGACACGTGTTACTCGTGACCCCGATCGAGCTCCCCAGCTTCTCCAGGATCGCCCCATTCGGATCCGGGTGCGGCATCGCGAGCGTCGGCGCGCACGGCGTGACCAGCACGTCGACGTCCTCGAGCGCGCGGTCGTACGCGGCGCGCAGCTCGAACACCTTGCGGTGCGCCTTCCCCTCGACCCCGGCGCCGAAGGCGCGGTGGGCGTACTGCCCGCTCAGCATGATGTTGACGAGCGCCGGGTTCGAGCCCGCCTGCAAGCTGAACGCGGCCTGGCTTAGCGGCCACTGCGGCTGCAGGTGGGGCGGCAGGTAGGAGAGGTGGCCGCCGGTTTTGCCCTGGCAGAGGGCGTCGGACATGGAGGGGCGCGTGGAGGCGGTCCAGATGATGGGGCCCGAGGAGTGCAGGGGGATGGAAACCTCGACGACCTCGGCGCCGGCTGCTGAGAAGGATGTGGCGGCGCGGCGGACGGTGTCGCGCACGATGGGGGACAGCCCGGCGACGGTGAAGGATTCGGTGAGGAACCCGACTCTTAAGGGCTTCTGTTGCTTGGTGCCGGCGCTTTGTATCTTGGATTTGAAGGCTGCTAGAATCTGTGGGTAGTCTTTGACCTGGCTCGCCAGAGGCGACTCCGGAGTCATCCGCGGATCAAGCCCGTCGTACCCCGCCATCACCTTCAACAAGACCGCGATGTCTTCCAAGCATGGCGCAATGGGCCCCAAGTGGTCTATCATAGGCGACATGGATGCTGCCCCCGTGTACGGCACCAGGCCGAACGTCGGCTTAAGCCCGTAGATGCCCGTGTAGCAAGCCGGGATCCTCACCGAGCCGGCTTGGTCGCTGCCTATTCCGAGTTCGACCAAGTCCCCCCACTGTTTATCCAGTCCCTGTCGTTTTAAAGAGTGCGCGGCGACAAGGGCGCATGAACCGCTGCTGCTCCCGCCGCTTGTGTACCCGTGGAGGAGGGGATGGTGCACAGGGCCCGTGGCTGACGTGAAGGAGAGCGGGGATGCGCAATGGTTTTCGCACGTTGACGAGCCCTTTATGACTCCGCCGGCTGACAGGATACGGCCGACGACCGAGGAGTCAATTGGCGATATAGGAAGAGCATTGCTACGCGATAAGACTTCAGGAAACGTCCCTAATGTGGTGGGCAAACCTCCGACAGAGATGTTATCCTTGATGACTATGCTGCGGTCCTTCAACAACGCAGAAGTTGGGTTCGCTGCGATCAAATTGCATTGGAAGTTCCACGCGTTCATCGGGTTACTATCATCACTGGGCTTCCAGTACTCTCGAGACCCGACCACGGGTTGTGGCTCGAGCTGGGGATGGATGTAATCCGGCGCATCCTTGACGTGCCGCAGAACTGTCTCTAGGGACCTGAGGAGAATAAGGTAGTCATCTGCATCAGCTGCGTCGGTGATCTCCACCGATAGGTCTGCAGCTAGTTGGTGGACAGTGTCCTTGGTGATGTCCGACCTGCAGTTGCATTAGATGATGAGAAGAAATTGCCTAAGATAGTTGTAAAGAGTGACTTACTGACTCTGCCCGCTAATAGAAATGATCGACATCTTTCTCAAGTTCTTACTAGTATAAATATCACCATCAATTGTCGGATAGATGTTGTCGATTATTGGCAGGCAAGGGATGTGATGTCGCTAGAGGTAGGTTAAGTGTTAGGTACTACAATTTACAATACAGTAACCTATCCTTAGGGTAGTGCCTAGCTGCTAACTAAGTGCCCCTGAAATGCTATCCCCCCTAATGGGCAGTTGGATCCAAGAGTCGGAAAGGCCGACAGCATCGTTTGAATTTAACGAGAACAGCATTATGAGAATCAGTTCGAAGTTCGAACTTAGTAACTATCAAGTACCTTCTATGTACCTAATTATGCGATTTCTAGGTATCCTATAATGAAGATGCAGATTTAGAAAGAGAAACTTTCCAAGTTGAAATGAGTCGTATGTAGAAGTCATCGATCCCGTCAATGAATAAATTATCAACTTAGGATAGCCCATTTAATCATTCATGAAAAGTTCACGGGAAGAGTTAAGCCATTTATTGCCCATTCGCTAATAATATGCGACCACCATCTACACATACAGAAACTCCGTCCACGTATGCCTGTGATTGTAGGTTAGCTTCAGTTACCAGTATTCAGTATTCAGCAGGTGTTCAGGATTTAGCGACCCATAGGTGCTAAATTCCAGGCGAACTTACCCCCGCGCGACTCGCCAGGTAAATGACCACGCTGGCGATATCCTCTTCTCCTCCGGCTCTCTTTGCCGGGACCTTATCGAACAAATTGCTAAATATGTTTCCCTCTTCACCAACTGGGTTCATCTTGCTTGGGACGACTATATTTACACCCCTCGAATTAGTATAACATTTATCTAGGCACTAGGTAGTTTTGCGCAGATCAACACTTACATCCCGGGTTGATACCGTTGACTCGGACATAAAATCGACTGAACTTCGCCGCGAGCAACTTGACCAAGTGATCCGTAGCCGCCTTGCTCGTCGCATAGCTGGTCAAGTCGACATTCGTCACATTGTGCATGCTCGCGCACGAGCTCGTTATGACAACCGAGCCACGGCCCGTATCTCTGCCTCCTTTCGCCGCCGCAGCCGCCAGCAGCGGCAGGAATGCCACCGACATGAAGTAGTGCGCGGTGGTGTTCACGCTGAAAGTCGCAGCCCAGTCCGAATGCTCAGACGACCACATCGACGCCTGCAGCTCTTCTAGGGGCGCGGCTTGCACGTCGCAGCTGATAGGGGGGTCGCGCCGGATACCGGCATTGGATACCAGTAGGTCGATGCACGGCTCTAGAGCAGTGATCTTGGCCGCGAGTTCTGATATCGACTGCTTGGATGATACATCGCAAGTGATACTGCGATAGTAAGTCCGGGGTCCTTTCTTCTTCGCCGCTGGATAAAGGAGAAAAGAAAAGGAAACTCACCCCACGACCTCGCCGCCGGAAGATTTCCCCAGCTCACGAAGTTCAGCCAGCTGCTCGTCTATCGGATCAGCCGGCAGAGCGACTAGGTATACCTTTGCGCCATTGGATACAAGCCCCTGGTAATAGTTAGTTTGAGTCCCCTGAACCCCTGAAAAACGCGACGGAGAAATTGCACGTGGTAGTTATACATGCCTTGCTAATCATGAAGCCAAGCCCACTGCTACCGCCGGTAACAACTGCGACATATCCCTTCACCCCGAATAACCGTGTGATATCAAGCGAAGCCATGTTTCGCGATTTCGATGTATTGGATCAGGTGACGAGGCGTGACTAGGTATCTAAGGTGTTCAATGCCGGGGTATTCTCTTCGTCAAAATAGCCTGCTATGCTGTGTATTTTACATTGGTTGACTTGATCCCATACTTATTAATGGTCTGCCTGTCGGACGAGCCGACTCTCCAACAATCCGCTGTCGGCTCGTTATCGCGGTAGCGCGGCAACCCACATGGGATACCCCAAAGGCCCCAAAGCAAAAGATTACCGACATTAGGTAGGTGGAAAAGTTGCAAGTTATAATTCTTTTTTTTACCAGCTATTGTACCTAGTTAGCTGCCTAAATGCCTGCTAAATAGTTTTGACTCAGGTGAGTCCCATCGTGATAATTCCCCGCTTAGACATCCATTTTTTAGCTATGCGAAAGACAACTTTGAACCTTCCATACTACATACTCCCGAGGCACCTAATGCTACCGTAGGTACCTATATGACCAATCAAGCATCCAAAAATCCCATTCCGAGGTATATTCTCCTTCAAAAGCCATCGCAAGCACCCTCCCTTTCCCCCCTACTCCTTGTAATGTTCCTTCGTCCTCAGCTCCGCCAAACTCAAGCACTCCTCCGTAACGCTCGAATCCCTCGGGATAAGCTTAACCTTGAAGTGTCTCGGGATCGCGACGAGCGCCGTCTTGATCTCGTTGTAGTCGACATAATCCGTGTTGGGCGGGGCCTCCTCGCTGGCGACGAGCTTGTAGCTGGAGAGCAGGCGCACGAGGGCGGCGTACAGCAGGCGGGAGGCGATGAACTGGCCGGAGCAGGCGCGCGAGCCGGTGCCGAAGCTCAGGTGTCCGAGCCCGCTCATCTCGCGCTCCTGCGGCGGGTCGAGGCTCTTGAGCCAGCGCTCTGGGTCGAACTTGGAGGCGTTGGGGCCGAAGTGGTCGACGTCTATAATGGTAGTAATTAGTACGCACATTTCTACGCGACGAGGCTTTTTAGTAAAATTAGTCGTAAAAGGAGGTGTCTTACCGTGATTGCCAGCCTGCGCGTTAATCAGAATCATAGTCTTGGCCGGGATAATGGCCCCATTCCAGTTCACCTCCGTGACAGTCTTCCGCGGCAAGCTCATGGCGCTGACGGTGTAGTAGCGGCCGGCCTCCTTGATGATGGCGTTGATGTACGGGATCTTCTCCTCGACAAAACTGCTCGTCCACGCATCGCGGACATCTGGGTAGTGGCGCTTGATATCCTCGTACGCGCGGTCCTGCCATATCTGACCTTCCGGGGTTGAGAGAGAGCCAATGGCGGAAGTCAGCGTGCCGGGGATGGTCTCGAAGCCGCCAGACACCAACGAGAGGCAGATGGAGGAGACCTCGACGCCGGTGAGCTTCGTCTCCTGGTCCTTGAGGATGGCGGCGGAGATGCACGGCTTGTCGGTGCCCTCCTTGATCATGACGCGCACCTTGTCGAGCAGCAGGTTCAGGTAGGTGTCGCGGCGGTCGCGCAGCTCCTTGCTGCGCGCGTTCTTCTCGTTGTTCGGCACGTACCGCAGCATCGGCACGTAGTCCTGGTAGTTCTCCGACGCCGAGCGCAGCAGCGAGATCGCGGAGCCGACGTGCAGGATCTCGCGCAGCAGGTCGTCGTACACCTCGTCCATGCGGATGCCGTAGCAGAGAGTAAGAGTGGTGTTCAGGGCGTAGCGCTGGATGTAAGGCCGGATGTCGAGCTCTATCTCGCCGTTCTTGCTGTCCTTCTTGATGTCCCGCAGGATGCAGTAGCTCTCCAGGTCAAACATGGGGTGGTAGTTCCGCAGCGCCGGGCGTCCGAGCGCGGTTCCGGCGGCCTTGCGCTTCTTCTTGCACGACTCGTCCCACGGCGAGGAGCCGATGGTGTAGCCCTGGGTGCTGCTTATGACGCCATGGAAAGTATAGAGCTTGGGCCTGTCGATGACTGCGTTCTGGTTTCCCAGGAGCATCTTCTTGCAGTCCTCGAAGGAGTTCACCACCACGGCGCGGGTGTTACCCAGCATGATCTGGTAGACAGAGTGATTGTACTGCCGCCACCATTTCTCGCAGACTGTGGCGTGGTCCTCGCCAAGTTTCAGGAGATGACCAAAGATAGGGACTGCACCGGGAATCTCAGGAATTCCTTTGATGTGAGGAATATCCGTGGCAAACATAACCTGCCCATGTTAGCTAATATTTTGAAATGCGCAAAATGAAAATGGGGTTTTTTTTTTCAGATGCCAAGGTGACATCACTGCATATATTCTCGGCATGTGACATGTGACAGACTTCTTACCTGGTAGAGGAAATACACCACCATTGCGGCACCCATGACCGCCAGCGTAGGCACAGCATTAGGAGAGTCCTTGAGGCCTTTCAGCCATAGGAAATCGAGTGACGTCGCAGGTTGAGATGACATGATGACCTTATCCGTGTTAAAGATGGGCGTTGATAGAAGATAGCGATAGATCCCAAACCAAGACTTCAATAAGCTGAAGTGGTTGCTATATGAACGTAGCTAGAAGTGGGGACTTTCTTGGTTCGCTATCTCTTGCGCAATTGCATCGTTCGTTTTCCGTTCTCCGTAGTGGTGTGGTTGCGGCTTTCGATTCGGTGCGTCCGAACACTTCCTGGCGGACATTCCGCCAACTTGAAGCTAAGCGTCCATAGATAGCAGCATTGCCGAGCTTCGGTCTCGGGTCTCGTACGTAACATTTGTATGTAGGACTTGTTGCATACCAGTAATGTAACTACCTAGTAGCTAACTACAAGTGGATATCACGATGCATTCACCTACGAAAGCGCACACCAGTGAGTCACGATTAGTGCTCCTTACAGTAGATACTCTAGATCTGTGTTTTATGCTTCCTTCGGAGGATCTTTCATCTGTACCTACCTAATCGCCTACCATAGACTCTACTAATATGTCAGCGAGGCCCGTTATTCTTGTTACGGCTGGTTCAGCAGGACTTGGCGCCGCCGTGTCACGCCTTTTCGCGAAAAATGGCTACCGGGTTGTCGTCAATTATGCGCACAACTCACAGCGTGCAACTGAGTTGGTAAAAGAGCTGTCGGCAACGACAAATCCAACCGATGCTGATGGAAAGAATTACATAGCTATTCAAGCTGATTTGGGCGCGAAAAGCGATATTAAACGGCTTGTTGAGGAGACAGTATCAGCGATGGGTAGACTCGATGTTGTGATGTCTAATGGGGGTTGGACGAGGTTTACAGACATGTCGTCTCTGGACGATAATGTAAATGACGAAGATTGGGATCGGGCGTATGCTATGAACGTCAAGTCGCATCTCTGGTTGCTCCACGCAGCGAGACCAGCATTGGATGAGTCCTCAGGATCTTTCATCACCACCGCTTCCACCGCTGGTGTAAGTAATAGCGGAAGCTCTCTTGTAAGGCCACCGCTATATAGCCTTTTCAGCGATTAATTACTCATTATTTACTAGGCATATTCCGTCGCCAAAGCAGCGCAGATACATATGGCTAAAGGGCTAGCACGCATGGTTGGGCCGCGGATTCGGGTGAATACAGTATCACCAGGATTGCTTCTGACGGTAAATTGGATTCATGATTTGCCTGTACCTTTATGCATTGCTAACTAACATGGGCAGGAATGGGCGGAGCGATTTACCGATGAGCAGAAAGAAGCCCATCGACAGAAGACTGCCTTACAGCGTTTCGTTCAGCTTGAGGTAAGTTGCCCCTTTACAAACCCCTGAGGAAAGTAACAGTGCTAATATTCGCGGAAACAGGATGTGGCTGCACAGGTGTTAACACTTGCGCAATCTTCCAGTACGACTGGAGTAAATGTTGTTATTGATTCTGGCTTTATTATTTGAATAGCATGCTTTTATCTAATAATTAACCAGTCTGTTTGGGAAGTTGATTGCATAGGTGCCTAGGTGATCTATTTGCGCAGCATGTGTACCGCAGTTAATGCAATTAGGTGGTTTCTATACTTTCCCTACAGCCTCCTGTCATGATTTAGGACAATGGGGAACAAAAAGAATGATACCAATATAGGCAGGCACCTATATAAATTCGGATTCTAGTATGTAAAGAAGGTAAGTTGTAGAAAGTAAGGCAAGTTCTTTACTTCTCATCGAACCCACACTACAACTAAAGTGATGGCTCTGGAACTTAGCTGGAGCGATGCCAGGTGAGAAGTAAATAGATGATAAGCAAGTACTAGGTAAGTTCCAAGCAGTAAAACAAGTACTATAAAACTGAAGTCTACGGAATTCTATATGACCTTGCTATCTAAGTTTTCACATCCAAACTCGCAGTCGCCTCGTGAGTTGGCTTACCAAGCTCCCCCTCCGTAATCGGCTTGCCACCATCGTAGGCGTCGATGACATCGATTTGCTCAACAGGAACTCCATGGAGGCGTTTGTCAATTTGCTCGAGGGTCAACCCCATAGTCTCGATCCACGTGAAGTAGATCACTATAGCGACGAAGATATTCCAGACGACACCGATAATGTAGAATCTATTCAAACACAAGTTAGTAAAAAGGGGGGTTTATTGCTTGTTGGGAGAATCAAAGCTTACCGCCATCCAAGGCCACTAAGACCCAAAGGAATAACGTATTGGCAGAAGAAGCCAACCAGATTATTGAAGATCGTGTAAAACCTATGGGCAATGTCAGTTAAAGTGAGCACACAATAAAAATGATCCCGAGTTCCACTTACGCCATGCCCTTTGCGCGAATTGTGAAATTCAACAATTCAGCACAGTATGAGAACGAAAGAGGCGTCCAACTGATAGCATATCCGATTTGGAACAAGTATACCATGGCGATGATGGCATTCCTTCCAGACACGCTTCCAATTGCCGCTGCTGAAAGACCGGCCATGCAAGCCAGAATAACAGCACTGTAAACCGTACCACCAACCAGCATGGGAATTCGGCCAAGCTTGTCGACCAAACAGATACCAACAAGTGCGATGACAAACGCTACACAGTACTGGCTAAGGTTGATGGCGAACTCGCTGGAATCGGAAGTGATACCGGCCAAGGCAAGGACGTCGTCGAGATAAAATGTGATAATGTTGCTGCCAACCGTTTGCTCGAACATGCCAAGCGTAATGAGAATGAAGCCGCGGCGGATATTCGCCTTGTCGCTCAAGAAAGCCTTCCACCAAGCACCGAGAGTCGGAAAGCTGTTTTCCTTCTCAAACGCGATTGTCTCTCTGATTTCTCGGAACTCCGCGACGACTAGCTCGTGCGTCTCATCACCCTTACCGTGGAATCGGGCAAGGACTGCAAGTGCCTCTCCCTCGCGACCACGGGAAATCAACCAACGCGGGGACTCGGGGACCAGGAACAGCGAGAAAATGCAGCTTAGAGCCGGGGCCGCCATGCAGATGCAAACGATGCGCCAAGTCCAGTCGCCACCCGCCTGGCGCGCTCCGTATCCGACAGAAGAGGAGATAATGGCGCCCAGAAGCCAGCAAGTCCAGTATAAACCAGCAACAAAACCACGGCGCTTCGGCGGTGCCAATTCCACCAAGTAGGTAGGCACGGAGGCGATATCAATGGCTTTCGCGAAACCAACAACAATGCGCGCGACGAAGAATTGCGCCTTGGTTGTCGCGGTACTATGGAGGACGGTGGCGATGAGGACGATGCAGGAAGCCGTGAGGATACCCCCTTTACGTCCAAATCTGTCCACGATGTGGCCGGCAAAAAGACTGCCGACAATGGCGCCGAGGTTTTGCACAGCGGTGAGCAGCCCTTTGGTGTTGGCATCGACGATGCCAAACCTTGCCTTGAATTGTTCCTTGAAGGAGTCAGTAAAGCAACAAAAAGAAATAGAATAGGTAGAGAAGGAACTTACTGAAATGTTCAGCGAGGACATCATGCTGGAGTCATACCCGACGCTGGCGCAATTCAGCGCAGCGATCAGGCAGACGAGCATCATCGGACGACTGATGCCGAACATGTTGAAGGCTTTTGGGTGTTTACCTTGTAAGAAACAAGTAACAAATAGCCCAATACTCTTCAAAACCCCGTTGCGAAGTAAGTTGGGAATAGCAATACTAAAAGGAAACTCGAATGAGTGGAACCCTTATAGAAGAGGTCCAAAGTCCCCTTATTATTATAACGACGCCTAGACCAAATATCTAGGCATCCCACGCGTCTTCTGATAACCAGCAATGATAGTTTATCTCGGAGCAAGATAGAAGTCTCCATTGTTACCCCAGGTAGATGTAACAGTTACCCGCGAGGTTATCACGTCGGGGCCTCCGACACGAGGGGGGACCTAGCATGGCGCTATCAGCTCAACTCCAACAATTACCCTGGGTAGCTAGGCCGACAAAGATCCCCACAGCATCTACATAAGTCGGGCGGGGGAACCCCATGCAGTATCCAGGGCCGCATCTGGTGCATAAGATGTGTGCTATAACCAGTTTCTGGAACATCTGGGCTGACGAACGCTTTAAGCAAGGTGAAGATAGTCAGTCGCCCATCTATCGTTCTCCGTACAATTCGTATTTCTCGTTCATATTCTCGTTAATATATTTCCGAGATTAAAATAAGAGATTCCAACTGATACCGCAGATTACTGCTATTACCACCATACCACATCTAGCCTGTTCCCATCTGCAATATCTAGAAATGCCCGGTGTTATCCAAAACTGGCCCGCATGGAAGGAGTTCGGCGTGAAGCCCGACGAAAGCACGCGGGGCGCCGACTTCGCCAAGGCGAAAGCCGACGTGATCGCTGAGTACGGCGAAGACGCCCTGCGCCGGAGCTGGCTCAAAGTGTGCGAGGACCTCAAAGCCGTGACCGACGACCTATCCACGCTCGGCACCGCCGCGATCCCCACCTTCCACATGGACACGATCCGCGCCCATGGCCTCTCAGACGACGAGCGCGCGCAGGTCAAGTCGCGCGGGTGCTGCGTAGTCCGCAACGTGATCCCCGAAGCGGAAGCGACCTCGCTTTTCCAGGACATGAAGACCCTTGTGGCGGCGAACCCGGGGAAGGTGCCGGGGTGGCCGATCGAGTCGCCGGCGATGCTGCGGCTGTTCAACTCGCCGACGCAGATCGCGGTGCGCACGCACCCGGACCAGATCCAGCTGCAGCGCACGCTTAACGCGCTCTTCCACGACGCGACCCGCGAGACGAGCCCCGAGCCGCTCAGCTACACGGACGCGGCGCGCATCCGCGAGCCCGGGCAGGCGTTTCTGGGGCTAGGGCCGCACATCGACGCCGGCAGCCTGTGTCGCTGGGCCGACCCGCAGTACCGCAAGGTGTACGGCCACATTCTCTCCGGCAGCCCGGAGAAGCACGACGCGTTTGACCTGGGGATCCGCAAGACGGCCGACCAGTTCTTGTTCAAGGCGAACGCGCACTCTGTTGTCTTCCGCTCGTTCCAGGGGTGGACGGCGCTGACGCCCGCGGCGCCGGCTGCGGGGACGCTGATGCTGTACCCGAATATCTCGTCGGTGATTGCGTACGTGGTGCTGCGGCCCTTCTTTTCGCCGCCGGCGGACGGGGAGGATGTTATGGATGCGAGCAAGTGGACTTTCGACCCCGAGTCCAGCTGGTTTCCCGGGACGATGAAGGATCAGAGCCAGAGGTTGAGTCCGAGCTCGCATCCGCACCTTAGGTTGCAGGAGTGCCTCACGTATATCCCGCGGATGAACCCGGGCGATACGGTCTGGTGGCATACGGATGTAAGTCTTTTTTCTTTCCTTCTTTTTTCTTTATGGCTGTAGCGCGAATTCGAGTATCGAGAAAAGGGAGAATATACTTGTGCTTACCAAGTACTAATTGACACCTTTCTAGATGTGCCATGCTGTCGACCCCGAGCACAACGGCAAGGAAGATGCCAGCGTCGTCTACGTGGCTGCCTGCCCTACGACAGCGATTAACAAAGCTTATATCAAGACCCAGTTACAAGCTGGTCTTCTCGGCAAGGGACCGCCAGACAGTCCGAATGTGGATGTCGACGAGAGGGCTCTGAAAGGGTATAAGGGGTTTGATGGTGTTTCGGCCGAGGGTAAGGCCGTGTTGGGGTTCAATTTACTTTGATCCTGTGGATGGGCAGACAGTTAGACAGGAAGGTAACTGAGGTTAGGTAGGTACCTAGGCTTGCAACGACTTGCCTAGGGTTAAGGGGTCAAGGTAAATAAGGATCCCAATAAGCGATCATCTTTACCTAGGCACCTAGGTATGTTAGTGTTATTACCAGGTGAATTTTAGGCGCTTATACGAAAAGCAGCCGTCACAGGCAAAATAGAAGTCTTTTATCTTTATCATGTCTTGTTGAATCCAGTACTAGGTACATTCGATGCACACACAGAGGGCTCAACTCAACAACAATGTACTTCCCTCTTGGCAAAATCCCCTTCCTAAGAAAGTCCGAAACCTCTACCATATATACTGACATAAACTAAAGAAAATTACCTAGTTAATGAGAGATCAATCACTCACCTTTTAGTGCGGCAGTATGTTCTGACATCTCCGTTTTACGCAATACAGTGTACAAGTACAATGTCCAGGGATCATAAGCAAATGTCTCTTCTGAAGTTCTCCTTTACCCCTATTCCATTGTTTTCAGTCAGGACATACCCATCTCACGTGCTCCAGCAGTGTTGCAAATTCCCTTTTTTTTTTCTGTTTCTTTTTGTTTTCATAGAATGAAGCAAGCTTGTTATTTACACATTATATTAAATTATACTCATGTACGTTCCTTTTTTTATTGTTAATTCAAATACTCCAATACTCACTGGGCATGTTCCAACTTATCATCCCACTGCCGCTGGCCCTCCTTCGGGCAATCTTTCCTCGAACCATATTCGATATCAACTTCTGTCGTGCGCACGATGCCGTTATACGTCATGATTTCCTCCTCGCTGGTCGTCGGTGAGTGGCCGCGTATCTCTGTTCGTGTCTTCATGTCCTTTAGGGCGAATGACTGTAGTGCCCCGAGTTAGCGATTAACACCTACCCGTAGGCGAATTTGCGGATGATGGGAGTTGGAGAAGTTGGTTCTGGAGCAACAATCACCACGACGTGGATAAAAAGCTTTGTAGGTTGGAGTCTGAGTGCTACTTACCGGTGTAGCATAGGGTTGCTCCGGCTTCGAACTAGTATCTCGCGTTCCTGACTTGTTGGTGTTCTTCGTATTATCCAGAGCATACGGAGTGTCCCTGTAACGGTAGTTGCGATTCGAGGCCTTCATAGAGGAGAGTAAGCGAGGGAACCAGATCTTAAACAGCGGCCGTAATGCCGGGCCAGATGCCGTGATTATCGCCAAGTTTGTCTCGACGGCAGAATACGTAAATCGGATGTCGTACGAGTAGTCGAAGTTCATGGGGTATAGCGAGGTTTCAATGATCCATAATAGTCGCAAAACGCTGACAACAGTAACCCTAATAATAATGGTTAATGGTCCTGTTCTGTGGATTTTATAGTCGAATCTTGATACTTACACTGCTCCTAAAAGGAACACGAACATTATGGCAATCTTAAGCCTGACTGCCATCTTGAGTCCTATAAAGATCCATATGGGAAGGGCAAGGACGAAAACATCGGTGAGAATAGTCAATGCCGCCGTGGTCACATAGAATGCCCCCGTATCGATGCAATTCCCAGGCAACGTCGGATCCAGAAGCCGCTCCCAAAAATAGGGGATCGGGAGACATTGAAAAATCACAGTCAGGAAGATAGCAATCATCATCCCAATGTTGATGATGTTCAGGGCGTGGATCGAATATCTGATCTGCCGCTTCTGTCCCCCTATCCGGAGCAGGAACATCAAAACGGAGGACTTGACCAGGGCCAGGATCGGGTTGTACAGGATCTGTACGATGTAGTTCCAGTAGAACCCAAGGCTAACATCGGCCGTCATCGGGATATCGTAGACATGGACTCCCAGATACGCCTCCCGCATGGCTTATGCGAGAAATGGGAAAGTCAGCCACGTTATACGTCAAATGCCATGCTGTGTGCGAGCGCCAACACTTACCCACGTAGGAACAACCTGTCTCGGCGATCGATAATGCCTGGGAGCAAGTCAGCTAAGCCACACATCAAAACTGAGACAGGTCAGCTTGCAGCTTACCATAGCCATACATGCCAGAGCATCGTCTGCCAACCATCGTTAGCACGAGTCTATACGAGCCTTCAAGTGCAAACTATTTTCTTTTGCGAAGGGTCAGGTGGCCATGAAAATTTGCAACTCACCGGCCCCGAACTGCCTGCTCCTCACTCTTCCATAGACCCGGAGGCATATGACGACGAGTGCCACAGCGGGGAAGAAGAACAGGATGAAGAAGCCGCCGTACTGGAGAGGTGAATAGGGGTAAGCGTCGGTGACTTCTCCAGACGGCCTGCCTGCGCCCTCGAGCGACTGCCTCCTCCCTACCTTCGAGACCAAGTCCACTAGGGAAAAAGAAGAAGACTCCATCATTCCATGGGATCCAAAGAGTTTGTCGGTCGGTACCCTTTCGCAGAATCGGACTAAAAAACTGAGTGGCGCCGCTTCGCGTGGGACAGATGGCGCCTCTATATAATCGTATTACTCTACAGCTTTTAGGGACAGCACACACACACACACACACACACACACCCTTATACGGCACTCAGGCAGAGCCCTCTGGCAGTCCGGGAGGGAGACCTTGAGTTTTATTTCGTGTTAATAAGATATAGTATCTTGTTCAACAACGAAAGATGAATTCAGCCTCTTTGGCCAATCTATCTCTTCTCTATTGGGTTAGGAGCAAGGTTTCTGGCGCCGGAGTGGGCGAGGTAACCACGGGATATCTCTGCAGCCAAGACCGTTTGTGTATAGAAGGGATGCAGATAGTTATTTACTCCTGTGGCTCCCTTATATACAGCATCGAAGATAATATCTCCGTCGATCTCTTAGGATCGGGACAAGTTACACGCTATTACACATATATACTATGTACATAGTACACCACCTATCTCCATATACCTAGTAAGTGTGATTAATCTAACCCAATCTAATTATATTAAACCGGTATACTTTCGATTATACTATGTAGGTCCCTCAATAGGTAGGGACTTTTGGTCAAATCCATCCAATCGTTCTTTTAGGTCCCGGTAGATTAGACTGGGTGTTATTCGAAGTTAAGGCGTATCTAATGCGGAGCTTAGCCATACTTACTACCTGCACGTTGCATAACGTATCTACTACCTACCTTAGATACCTCCCTAGGTGATCTTGAACAGGCTTTAAGGACCCTTAACCTGCCTACCTACCTACCAACTAGGCACATAATTAACATTCCTAACCATCTACCAACGACGATACTTGCGATAGTCATCGTTATCAGCGCTTTAGCTCTTACGTCATCGCCAACGCTACACCAAAAATCATCACGAGATGACACCTAAGGTACGTGGAATAGCCTCCAGCTCGCGTTGAAAGAGCTGTGGCGTTCCACTTTGGGCTACATATCTACATACACCATCATACTAAAGGAGGACGTGTATTATAACCGACCCAGTAACAACTTACACATACACGTGAGGGGTCGCGTGCCGTGTAATTGGGTTTGTTCCGAGCCCTGATAATTATCAAACCTTTTCATCGGTATTAAACCTGCAATATAGATGATCGTGCCTCCGCGCTACTCGGTACGTTACCCAGACTGCCGGCTACCATGTTCAGAGTATGAAGGGAATCCAGGTGTCCCTTCGTGGTTTCGTAAGACTATAACTACCTACTACAACTCACGTTGTTCAATCCAAGTGCCGTGCGCTTAAACCTGAAAGGACGAATCACGGGCAAGCAAAAGGACATCAATGAGGGGTGACGGAGGAGGGGGAAACAGCTGGTGACCAATCTATGTGTCATGCTTATAGGAAACCTTCCCTCGCTGGTGACCCGGTACGTACCTACATTGAATTTCGGCACGAGTTTCATTGAGGTAACTTTCAAAAAGTCGGCATCGTTCTAACGTACATATCATATATCGTGTGCCGAAGGCGCCATGTATACCCAGTTTAGTCTTATGAGCGGAGGTGCAGGTAGGTAGGTAACCATCTGTCTATATTATAACCGAGATTCAGAGTTGCACGACAAGGGGGGGGCCGAAAGAAATGCTGGGGTACTACAACACTATCGTTCAAGGTTATGATGATCACAGGGGTCCTTTTGCGGAGGAAGAAGGCGGTTTCTTGACTGGACAAGTTCGATGTTGTATTCCAGCCTACCTAGTAGGTTGCCGCTAGGTAGGTACCAGGCATACATGTAGGTTAGGTAGGTTAAGTCTAGAATGCGGCCCGTAATCATGTGGCTATAACTTGGCTACAAGCTTGGGGTTAAACTGCGACGCGGCGGGCAACGCGTCTTACACTGGGCTTAGTAGCGCTTGATTTATTTGTTCTTATTCGTCGGGGCTTTTTTATCCAGCTCCCCTATACTTTTTCCTCCAGTGTAGCCGGTTTACCAGGTGCCTGACTGCCAATGACCAGGGTCCGGGCAAAATTCAAAGCCTCCTCGACTTCACGGCATCATCGGGACGAAAGGGATAGGAAAACAAATTTCCACCTTCCTACTCAACTTACTAGCTGGCCTCGATCCTACCTATATAGCTCATGACCAGCTTCGGGGAGTTAGGCAAGACCTGGAAGTTGAACCGATGTAATAAGTAATACATGTACGAAGGTTGTGGCCAAAAGTTTAGACCAAGATATACCTCAGCCCCACAGTTCCTCCACTTTTCTACCACTGTAAGAAATATCATCGCCAACATACTTACCTACTTATAAAGCCTTATAAATTTATTTAATAAATATCAAATATGTTATTACGTTATTTAATTAATTTATTTAATAATAGAAATTTCTGTAATTTTTTTTCTGCATTAAATTAATGTAAATATTTGTATAATAATCTAAGGTTGTTTAGGACTGAAGGCTTTAAGTTTATAGCACATTATAGCGCTTAAGTGTGCTATAAGGTGCTATACTTTTAAGGGTTGTAGGGGATTTGACGTTAAATGTATGCCTATTATTGGTAGAGGCCCAAAAAAGAGTAGCGCACTGTGGGGCGGAGGTATATCTTGGTCTAAACTTTTGGCCACAACCTTCGTAGGTAATGAGTGTCTCAGCTTGTGCGACAAACTTACATATGTATGTATTGCTACTATTGCACCTCGATATCAGCTTTTGGTAACCAAAACAATCATCTTCGGGTTCTCGGCTACGCCGCAGGGCAACGCCCAGTTTTTTCAGCTGTTTTTTCTTCTATCTAGGCATACATATGTATGTAAGATATGTACTGTAGATATGTCCAATGTTGTGGGATATGCAGATATGCAGTGGGACATGGGAAATCTAACAAAAAGTAGTTCTAAAATGAAACCGTTTTTTGGGATTTTTGGGATTTACAAGTCACGCCAAGCCACTAAAACAGATTTAGATATTAAGCATAAATATATTAAGCTAGCCTATTATGGTTACTCCGTAGCTTATTTAACGGGCATACTTCGTAGCTGCGATGAAGGATCCTGCACGTGACACTTCTTACTATGTAAAGCCATTGTTAATATATGTAAACAGAGTTCGAAAATGGATAATTCCTTTTTTTCTCCAAAACAGGACGGATGGTAATACAACTCGAGTCGTCATGTTAGCCTACCTAGCAGCTACGTATACATTATATAAATCGGATTAAAATATCCATTCCTATTGGAAAGGTACCAACCGAACTAAACGGTATATGTTAAATGGTCGTCTGGTATAACTCAGGTATGTATATATTACATATGTACTCTGGTAGCTAACCATAATAGGCTGGAAATCTCTGCGTGTACATGCCTCCAGGGCTGTATACTGTGTATAGCGTAACTTGATAATGCACATAATGGTTTCATTTCAAATGCGGTCCCCACGATGGACAGAATGGCCATCGTACTAGGGATCTACTCCTACTACGACACAGGGATCTACTACAACATCTTACCTGTCAGCAGCATGTACCTTCTTCACCCTTGCTCGAACGCCCACGCCCTGGCAGCCCTGAGCAAGCGACGGTGCGTTAGCCGGTATCCCCACCAAGTCCGAAGACACAATACAGTATCGTAAGATCTCTTACCTATGGAGCTCTGAGAAAGAACATATATACGGCGGTGCCTGGACCCAACATTTCGATGCTTGCTCTCTTGCTACTTGAGTCGAAGTTGTTTCTTGTTTATCTCACGTTGTTTATCTCACGTTGTTGTTTCACGTCAGCAGCCAGCACCGGCTCCTTGGGCACGTGTAACCACCACGATGATGATATCTTACTCCCGGAGCGCAACCGTAGCCGCCGCTCTGCTACTCACAGTAATACACATCGTTTGTGCCCAAACCATCCTTCTGAACAACTCCACAGTTCGTTAGTATTTACACGATTTTCTCCACGAATATGGTAGAAACTGTATAGCTAATCCATCTTTATAGCGGCAAATGAGTCTACCATTGCGCCAGCAGTAGACAATGTCAGCGCGCAAGCCTCGAATTCAACTGCTGACTTGTTCCATGGAGAGACGCAGCAGCTGACTGACGCAGTTCTCGCCAACCTCACGGACCTGGAGCTATCTAACGTCACCTTGTTCAGCTTCCAGAATGACTCTGACCCGGCAGGCAACTTATCTGCGCGGTCTTCCTCATTTGGCAGATGCAAAACCTACCCCGGTGACTTCCTCTGGCCCTCGGATCTCCTGTGGAAGCTCTTCGACATTCTACTCGGCAAAGCGTTGATCAAAACAGTTCCGTATGCGTCATCTTGCTATGATTCATTTGGGGATTATGACAAGGATAGGTGTGAATTCATCACGGCTAATTGGATCAACGCATCTATCTACCAGTAAGCACTTTGGTGAGTCCCATTAAAGAAAACAATCTTATTAAACTCTACGTAGCACCGAGGATCCTACATCAGTCAATGCCGTTCTCTTCCAGGGGGCAACTTGCATGCCGCCAGGTCTCGCCGCTTCATCTACTGGGTGCACACTCGGCGGCTATCCCACCTACGCGGTAGCTGTTCGCAACGTAGCACAAGTACAGCTCGCGGTCAATCTAGCTCGGAATCTCAATCTACGTCTGGTTATTAAGAATACCGGCCACGACTTCGGTGCAAAGTCGGTAGGAATGGGGGCTTTGTCGATCTGGACCCACAATCTCAAGGATATCCGGTTCTTCAGCCATTACCGGCAAGATTCTTATTCTGGTCCTGCGTTCAAGCTCGGCACGGGAGTTCAAGGATTCGAGGCGTATGAGGCTGCGAGACAGAATAATGTTACCTTGGTTGGTGGTGAGGGACGAGTAAGTCACGCCTGTACCTCTACCCCTATACTGAGCTTTTTATCTAACCACGGATTTTAAGACTGTCGGCGTCATGGGCGGCTACATTCTCGGTGGCGGGCACTCGCCGCTCTCCAGTCTCTACGGGATGGGAACCGACCAAGTGCTGTCGATGGAAGTAGTGACCGCCGACGGGAGGTTTATAACGGCTAACAGGAACAGCAACCCAGACCTATTCTGGGCTCTGCGCGGCGGAGGAGGCTCCACATTTGGCGTCGTCACATCCATCGTGGTTAAGGCCCACCCGAAGATCAAAGTCACCACGCTGACGTACGCCTTCGAAACCGGTCCCAAGGTGACTCCTGAGCAGTTCTGGGCCGCGCTGCGCGCCTACTTCGACGGCTTCATCACCTACACCGACGCCGGAAACTACGAGTACTTCCGGATCTCCAAGGGCCTCGACGGTGGGTTCAAGACCGACATGGGCCCGTGGTTTGCGCCCGGGATGTCGAAAGCCGAGCTCAAGGCTCTAGTGGCCCCTTTGTTTAACAAGTTCAAAGCGCTGGGCATCGAGATACAGCCGATCTACAAGGAATACGACGACTACTACGGCGCCTGGTTCGAAAGCTTCCCGGTCGAGCCCTGGGGCAGCGACACGATCCGCCAGGGCAGCCGGCTATTCCCGCGCTCGAACTGGCAGGACTCGGCGAAGCTGAACGCAACGTTCGACGCGATCAAGAGCATTGTCGAGGAGGGCGCGTACGTGCTGGCGTTCAACGTGGCGGCGTCGCCCAAGGCGGGGTTCCCCGACAACGCGGTGAACCCGGCGTGGCGGGAGACGGTGCTGCACGCGATCATCGCGCAGCTGTGGGACATGAAGGCGACGGAGGCGGACATCAAGGCGGCGAGCGACAAGCTGACGTTCGACTGGCTGCAGCGCTGGCGCGACGTCTCGCCCGGCGCCGGCGCCTACATGTCAGAGTCCGACTACATCGAGCCCAACTACACGCAGGCCTTCTACGGCACCAAGTACCCGAGGCTGTACCAGCTCAAGCAGCGCTATGATCGGCACGGGGTCTTCTACGCGCACTCGGCGGTCGGGTCCGAGGACTGGCAGATGTCGGAGATGATCTTGGGGAATCTGCCGTCGCAGAACAGCAAGTTATGCAGATTATGAAATCTCTTTCCTTTTTTTTTCTTTTTTTTTTTACGAAGCACATATTACTTTACATTTACCTACTTACCCACTATTAAATTTTACCTACCTACTTATTAGAATATCTTGTTATATTGTAGACAATTATTAGATTAAATATATTACCGATTTTAGATCATGCGATTCAAATTCTTGCAAATTATTGTTTACGATTCTGCATGCAAAGGTAAAAATAGATATCCCATCCCTTCTCGCCACCCCCTGAATCGGGTAACAAACCACAGAAATTATATTGTCACGCGAAGTAAGATACAGTAGATGATGCAGGCTTTTGCTATTTTTTCAATAAGCTCCAATTTCCTTTGTTTCTTCATCTCACGCTGGATTAGGCCATGATTATCGCATTATATTGGCACATTGTCTAAGCTGTCTCTACGGACATGTTTTGCCGCATCGCATCATGCACGTCATGACTTACTTTACCTACATACATAGGTGGGTAGGTATCTGGGTCAATTTATCTACATATGTACGGTATGTATGTGCATGTAAGTAGGGAGATATTTATCATCGACATATTACACGAGATTAGATCTGTATATCGAGATTTCAGATTGGTTTTTGTTTGATTCGAGGACGTTAAAAAAAGAAGATCAGCTGGTTACCTGGCCGACCTCTTTCTTGTTCGGATCTCATCATCTGAGACTGTATGACGAGATGCAAGTAACGGAATTCATAATCTTAAGGCTGACTTCTGCGTTACACGCACCTGGACAAGGAGAATTGTTGTTTCTAAAAATGGACTTTGTCTCACGCCCACAAAGAGTACTATCGATTGTTAAAGCATTCGTTATATTGGGACATGTCGCATGCCGTCTTTGCAAATCAGAAGCCAATATAACCAACCAACTTGCTTCGCATGCTCCCGGATCGTCGGATGCGGCTAGGGATGCAAGTCATCCTAAACATGTACCAAGTAAGCCGTAGTGAAGGTACTTACCTAGGTACATAAGGTAAGTAAGTACTAGGTATGGCTGATAATAAGCACCTTAAGTGGCTTATTCCTCCTTCTTTCTTCAACACCGAATCATATTGCTCTCGGCCGAAATGTCTCGTCTCATAGTGCATCCATCTCCTTACCAGTGCCGTGGAATACTACCGTTTTAACGACTAAGGCACTGATTCAGGATCCAAGCCAACCGTCGATACAGCTAGCGCCCATAGTACAACTTGTAGCGAATTATCGGTGTAAGGGGGGCTAGATAGTGTAGATGGAGGAGGAGAAAAAAAAAAAGAAAGAGAGGATTATGCTTGGGTTAAAGATGAAAGGCAATCCTCTCTCAACATCCTACCCACAACGGAACTGCCTACTATACGAAGTAGTACCTCAACTGGAGCATCCCAAAAAGAATTCAGATTGCTCACGTGGAGGAGATGAGTTGGACGATTATCAATTGATCATCTTAACCCGAAAGCGCTAGTTGGTGATGTACCGTCAACCACGTTGCAGCGGATCCGTTTTCTACCTACACTATACAGACCCAATTAACACGCCATTTTGGTTGTGTCTTCTCAACTCCGTGAACTTGGACGCATTAGGTAAACCCCCCAAGTCTTCCAACACAACTTACACAAGTATAAGATCTCTCATATAACGTACTATTGACTCTCCCCCGCCGTCGAGCTATCCTCGATCCAGGCACAGTTCCTTTCGTTCGAACGATAAGATGTGTACGGTTAGTTATTAGTTATATGTATGTAAGATAGGTATCGTGAGCTATTATATGGTGAAAAAATGACCCAGCTAATCCTATTCGTTATCAATAACTATGTCTTCCTTTTCATTCTTTCCCTTTAGGTTCCGATGCGCCGGGCTCAGCCTGTGTCGTTATAGTGAAGCTAGTTCCCAATTCAGTGAAGCTCGTATGCACCTTGTCTCTCATTCCATTATGTTGGACGTTATCCTGGCCAAGCTGTTGGTTCGCTACCTACATAGTACATGAAGAAAGCTGCTTTGCCATGCTCTGCTGCCGTGGCGTTATCCACCCCTTCATTAAAAATGACGAGCGAAGCAGTGATTTGCGGTACGTAAATCATACCATCTACCCTTCAATAGTTGCTTCTTCATTAGGTAAACTGGGTTCGTCACAGATCCACGACTGGCCCCCGCCCACAGAATTCATTTAAAGGCCAGGGCAGTTCGAATCGACTGTTCCTAAAGAAACAAAATATTGGATACTGTATCACTTGCATCATAATATTTAGTAGTTGTGGCTTGCTCTCATGTCTTTGCTACGGTAGCCCCCCTTCTTTTTACCTGACCTCACCAGCCGAAAAAAAAAAAAAAAGGAAAACTGAAAAACAAAATCGATATCATGTACAGTTTCAAGACCTACATAGCAGCTCTCTGCGCCTCCCTGCTCGCCCCCGCAGTAGTGACCTCGCTCAAGTTCAACACGACCTCCATCTCCGCGCGGAACGGCAGCTCGACGCTAGAATGCTGGGAGTTCGACGGGCCCGTATCCGTCAGTAGCGACCCCAGTTACTACGACGTCGTCAACGCCGGCCTAGGACCGATCTCGAACCTGACCTACACCTACGTCCCGCCCCAGCACGAGCCGATCTTACACACGGCGCCCTTCAAGCAGTAATATCCACCCACCCACCCGATCCGATCTCCCCCCCCCCCCCCATTGGCCCAGCCCGCGCCCCCTAACTAACCTACCTAATTCCAACAGATGGGTCTTCATCGTCACCGGCCTCACCTACTTCACGCTCCCCGACGACCCGAGCACGACCGCGCTGATCACCGGCGGCGAGTTCGGGCTGGTCTTCGCGTCCGACACGCCGGACGTCAGCGTGCGGGGCCACGCCAGCTCGTTCCCGGGCCTCACCGACACCATCTGCCTGCAGATGCCGGTGGCCGGCGACAAGATCCCGGACCACCGGTTCCTGCACATGGGCCAGTGCAACGCCGAGGAGATGACGGGCCTCCGAGGCATGTCCGCCGTCGCCAGTGCCGCCCGGAAGACCAGGTAAAAAAGAAATTTTTTGAGACTTTTCAGTTCAGACTCTACTCTTCCGGTTTCTTTTGGATTTTCAAGACGCGAAGGAAAAAAAAACCCCCTCCGTCTTGATTCTTCTATTTTTTTTTTTTTTTTTGGTTCGAGTTAATCATCAGTTCACCGGAGACTCTGTTCCTCTCTGCTGTGGCCTTCCCTTCCTCGGCCTTACAGTACCTAATCCCCTAGAAAGAAATAACATCAACCCATACTTGGTGGGCCGACCACCCTCATACGAAAGCAGTGGAACCTCAATCTCTCTTCCCAATGTCTTTCTTTTTTGGTCAATTGCTACTACCTAGTAGCTGAGGTCCACATCTCTCTTTCTCTGTCAGGTAGTGCCTGAACTGAAGAAGCTTCTTTTTCAATAAAAAAAGACGAGTTTCAAAAGCTGACGATTACAGCACATCGGAATCACTAGGATACCAACAAGACGGCAAGGCCCCGATGTCCGGGTATCTGGGCTCTATCTGGGGCGGGATGTGGAAGCAGGAATAGGTGGGTGGGCCGAGTCGAGTTAGGAGGAGCAGGAGGCAAAGATTGCGCGAACTTTCTTCTCGTGAACTTGCTTGCTTTGGTACATACTCGTGGTGGATGTACGCAGATACGATCCCGAATACGCGTACGACTCGATGAGATCACCGCTTGTTGGTTGCCCACTACTGCCGCTATTTGATACACAGGAACCTCCACAGGAAGAAGATCGTTCGTTGATCCTTGGACAGCGAACCTCCGAAAAGGGACGCTGAATCTGCTCCGGGGAGCTCTGATTCGCCGTTCACAATGGTGTTGGTTGGCCCACCAATAGGGACCCTAATTCTGGTCTACTACGACGTATGTAACATCATTAACCTGTATATAATAGATTAACCACGTAGGATTTGTATATAAAAAGCGTGGTAATAGATTTTTTTCAACTTCATCAAGCTAAGAGTCTTTTCAGTTAGTTAGTTACTGGTCTTCGTTGGCAATACCTGCTTCAGTGAGTTAGCTCGGATCAGTAATACATAACTAACAACTAACTACCGTCTGTCAAACCAAGATATTTACCTCCCTCCTAGTAAACCCACGTGTAGGCCTTACCTTGCAACCTATTTATCACCCCTGAAATCAGTCCCAACTACCTAGTTTAAATACGTTCATCGTACACGTTCGGCGAGCTAAAACAATTATTTCCTGATTACAAGGGGGGCCGGGAATGGGAGGCTAGCACCCATGTTCCCCGGGAGATCCACGACGTCTAATAGGGCAGCCAATTTCCAGGGAAGATTGGTTTGGCGTGTCTCTCTCCCAAGTGACGGATGGGGTTCGTTGAAATGGCATCAAATTTACTCGGGTTAGGTTGAAGCGGAATACCCGCACGATCCACTACTGTTGAAACTTGAACTGTCAAGTTGGCTGTTCGTTGCCTGAGGAAGCGGTTAATATTATGCTTACCTACCTAGGCACATATGATGTAGGTTCGCTCGCCCAAGATTCTTTGTAACTTAGTTATATGCTAAATTATTTGAGCTCATCGACTACCTTAGCAACTAGTAACTACTCCAATAAAAGTAACTCACGTACACTCAAAATATGAGAAGAAACCATATACCCTATCCGCACTAACCCGAAACGCGGTCGAAATGGGTATTTCTACGTTACTTCATATGCCAAGCAATCCTCATCCATATCGATATAATTGCTGGCAAAATGAGCATTCGAGAACGCGTCGAGATCGTGTGCCCAGGCCCCCTGCCCCTGCATATCGTTGCAGAAGTCCGGATTCCCCAGCGGTGGCGCATCGCCGAAACCGACACCGTCCCCGTTTTGGTCGAAGGGATGCTTGAGAATCCCAGGCTGGTCCATCGAGTACACGCCCGAGTCCTTCCTGCTCGAGTCTCTGTAGAAGGGCGCGGGCCCGTTTGCTAGATCCTGCAGCGCCTGCTGCGAGAGCAGCCTTGGGTCTAGGTTGGAATCGGGTTCGGCCGTGCTTGTTGATGCCTCGCTTCTTTCGTGGGCGCTCTCTTTGCGCGGCGGCTGTTGCGCTGCTAGTTCTCTCAACCCCGCCATGAAATCCCAGCGGAGAACCTCCAGTTGGAAGCCTGCCCCGTTGTCTATATGCACCGAGTTAGTATCTCTCTCTCTCTCTCTAGGACAGTAGCGGGTGAATACCAACAAAGGGCGAGAATATATAAGAAGACTTACAGGCTCCCTCGATCGCGTTCTTAGAGTCCGGGCCCCACAAGGCGCGGCATATCTTGTGCCAGCATGATTCGGGGCCCCCCTTATCCTTCTGAAAATTCAGCTCCCGGTAATTCTCATCTTGGGACTTGTCCATCCACTCGGGTTCGGAATCCGGCAGCTTCACTTTGGGCTTCGTGCAGTGTACCACGTGCCTGCGTTTCTCGTCGTCGACTTCCTCGACCCGGCACTTCGTAAACCGCAGTCCGCACTTCTCGCAGCCAAATCTCAAGGCGTGCACTCTTCGGATATGCTCCCTGGACAAAGGGTTAGACGTCAATGCGGTCAGGAGATAAGTGCTAGGTAATAGATCGCCACTCACGTCAGTTTCCCAACATCCTTGAATCCCGTACCCGACGTACAGACGTTCTTGACGTGCCGATATCTGGAAGGATTGTGCTTCCAAAAGGGGCACGCCAAGAACTCTCTCTGCTCGGGGTGCTTGGGGTCATGCGTCCAGTCCTTCGCCTTCGCATCAAACAGGTCCATCACGTCCTGGGAGCCCACCAGTGACTGAGCACACTGAGTGCTACCCTCCCGTACAGGAGTCGAATCCAGCTTCCCAACATCATTGTTACCGGCCAGCTTCTGTTTCTTCGTTGGCATGGTGAATTCGCCGGTGATATATACCTATATAGTAGTATGTATGTATATGTATTCCGCGACCTACTTCTCAGCACCTGGAAGATATGACGCTCTCTATCGCCGTAATCTTCCCTTTAACGCGTGCTTGGCGTACCCTCGCTGGCTCTTGCACGAGTACCCCCTGGGGCGCTTTCTCGCTCCACGAATATTCAGCGAACTTGTCGGAAATGGGCGGCGTCGGGCAGCGCATCCACCGTTCAATGCCTCGGGAGCCTTCCTGGTCTTCTGAGGACGCGGTAGAGTACACGCTTTCCTGAAAAGGGGGTATCGACTGGCTGCCCATATATTCAGCATCAGCATGCCCAACAACGAAAGTGCAATTCTAGCAGCCACCCGAGGTAACATAAATAATCCACGGCGCTGTGTGTGTGTGGGTGTGCGTTTCCAAAGCACACACATCAATATAAAAAGCTTCAGAAAAAGTCATTGGCATACCTATTATTAGGAATTGGCTGGTTCATTTGGCAATTCATTCCTTCCTTGCCACCTAATTCCCCTATAATGCGAATTGGGAATTGGAAAAGCTGTGGGATGGAAGAACGAGTACGCAGGTTTTTGGTGATATAAACGTTTATAACCACTTTCGTCAGCATCGCACATGCGATTCCAAACATAGTAGCATCGCACATGCGATTGTGATCATAGTACCCGGGGGCCGGTAGCATCTCCCAACTTGATATGGCGGTCATTTTTTTTCACACCACCATGAGTTCTCGCCGTGCTTAGTATCCCAGCGAACCTGTATGGTAGCTATTTTTGTTAGGCTCAACACTCTTATAGTCTTTCCGATAATATAGAATGGTTTCGGCTTATACGCACTATGTATATTACCCCTATCTGCCCAGTAGCCATCTACTTGTACTCAGTGGAGCGCACATGAGAAATTACAGTCGATTACCTAGGTAGGTTTACCTATAATATCTGTATGAATACACGATGGGTAAGCCATTTGCTGCCCTTGTGCGCTTCGTTCATTCTGCGTGTAATGGAAGGTTATAAGCATAGGCTCATAACCCTATATATATCACTTAAAGAGAGTAGCATAGCAAAGGAATCATATGCACGAGTTACTGATGAAATGAAATATCATTCTATTAACTCTGAGGATATTCTACTCTCATGTTGGTCTTTGGCCGAGATGTAGTACAGCTAAACAGAGCAGCGTGTTGGAGTGCCTACCAATGTAATTGGGCATATTTTCATCTATATACTACATCTCACCACTGTTCCAATTAGTCTACCAACCTTACTTTTTCGTATAATTCACCCCTATTTCCTCTTCAACAATGAAACATGGGGCGTAGGTATCATAGTTACCACTGGCAACACGAAGGCGGTTGGTTGGCTCTCCCACGGCACCTAGTAGGTATCAGGCTTAACGTCGCGGTTCCTGATTGGAAGTGGCGTTGAAAGATTGTTACGAGGTAGCCCAGTAAGTTTTTGGAATGCATACCCCTTTATTTAGTAGCTATATATGAGATAAATGTACTTGTCGTTCTGTGTACCGAGTGTCGCACAGCTGTACGTCCTATACATGTAGTAATTGATGTGTTGGGGGTAGAGTTGGAGTTTCGGGGGCGCTTCAAGGCAGTCCGCCGTCGTTCGTACAACACCAGAAATGTCTCTTTGCAGAATTTTCTAAAAATGCTTTTGAAAATACGCCGTTTCTAGCCTACTCCCGCAATCCTCTGCACTTGAGCCTCCTAGTATTCAACATGCATCCTCCTCTATCTCCAAGTGAGTTCCCCGTCAATGATGAGTCGCCTGCGGGCTCGCGGTACAGTCCGCCAGACTTACGTTGATGACTAATAAGATGCTGGACGAGGACACTGACCTGACAGGTTAGGCGGCCTGGGTACATTCACCTCAATCGTCGGCTCTACTGCCCTGGCAGCTACTGTGGCTATTTTGGCCATTATATGAGACCAAGCAATCGACGCCAGCACCGGTCAAGAACCAGTCTTGCTTTGATTGATGATAGTGGATTCTGACTAGACGGCTAGAGTAGTAACAGTATGCACAGCTATCATACAGACTCATTTCCATACAGCTAGGTTGCTTATGTCCATGGTAGCGAGCTCGTTAGTGGAATCCATTGGCATTCCTTTAGTTGTTGTGTTGCCCCCCTTTACTCTCCTACCGATAAGAGGACTACAAGTACTTCCTTACAACTTGGTCCCGAATCGAGGTATGCGTATCCGGATGCCAACTGGAGATTCGGTGAATATACCGAAGCACCAATATACGGCGACGGGTTTAAAGCTACCGGTACAACTTACCGGGCCCTGCTCCCCTTCCCCGTCCCCGAAGTTTCGACGGCCCGGGAGTCAGCCTCAGTCAGGCCAATCTAATGGCTTTCGAGGTCTCGGTAATTCATCAAATGAGGGCATATACGCAACCATCTATATGATAAACTTCAACGGATATAAGCGTAGAGCGCGCGTGTCAAATTACCAAGACGAGACAGAGCCGGCTTTATCATGGAACAGAGCCGATCCTTGTCGACATGATACCGAACCTATCCGACGACAACTAGTTCAGACCATACCTCGGCCAAGGCACGAAGAAAGGGACATCATGGCACTCGACAAGATGTTACAATGGTCACCCTTGCATTTCAACGACACAGATGACGAAGAGTGTCTGAAAATATATTGATCGAAGTCCAGTATCCACCGCGGGGATATCGATACACAAACAACAGCACATCTCAATGTATTCGAGGATACGCTGGGAAATATGGCGCTAGTGCTTCAGGGGCTCCTCACGAGGATTCGTCAAATGATCTACTATAATTAGCTAGGGGTGGGGCCAGAATGAGATTCGGCTACTATAATCTTCTCTAGAATGGTTCTGGGTCCTAAGAGCTGGTCTGGCTGTGATTATATTCCGATGTCATTGCGTTCGTTATCTGTAACAAGCCAGTTCGATGACTTGGCCCGTATTCAGCCAGTCTAGAGATACCATGGAAATCCTCGACAGGGCAGATTATATGACGGCGATGAGATAACGCGGTGGGTAACTCGACAGCCAAAAGAAGCGACAGGTACTAGTATTTTAGACTCGTGTGGCGATGGGGAGTTCGTGCTAAGGTTACGGCTTAAAGGCAGAACAAATGAAAGCCAAGACCTCAAAGCATAACATGGAAAGAAAAACATACAAACCTAGGTATGTGATAGAGTGCAGTCCAATAAGATTATGTCAAATGATATAATGCCCTTCGAAATAGGAGTAATAGCGTATCGATAGGATGGGAGGTTCAGCCATTCTATGTAGATGACTGCTTAACCTAGTAGCTTGGCCAAGTATAATAGATGAGGTATAAAGGGCAGTCTTACTTGTGTCTCCACTCACTGCACACTTGATGGACATTTGCGAACTCGTTGGAGTTGAGATAGTCCGAGAGAAGATCCTATGGCCATCGTAGCTATCTAGAATGGCGGTGAAAATGGCAAAACGTAGATGCGAGTGCGGATGAACTCCTGGGGGACTAGTTTATGATAGTTGATTATGACAGTTGGTATCGAAATAGATGTTCCGTGAGTAGACACATGGTAAGCATGGGGCCTCCTGTATTCGCGTCCCACCTCCATGTGGTGATGTCGTTGAGATAGACCTACCGCATGGACTGCTTGGTATTGGTAGGTGTGTGTTCCAAGGTCATGACTTGTTCTTGGCAGGGATATTCTCAAAGGTTGTCTGTCTATGGGTACTACATACTGTAAGTCATTAGTAACGAAACTGAAGAGATTGCGTATTTATCAAGGTAGATCTTTAGTAATTACATACTTACATATACCTACATATATAGTCGGTGGTCGGCTTTCGCATCGGATGGCGAGTCTACATAACTATGTAGGAGAAGACTACTACAGTAGGTGGAGGTATCGTACTGTAATGATATTGTAAAATTGTTGGTGCCCAAGGTCAGAGACTATGCACAAGGCCCATAAGGAAAAGACCTTCCGATAGGTTTCAATGTTTGAATGCGAGTTGGATTATTCTCAATCTTGCCAGTACTAGGTAAGCAAGCAATTCTCGATTGGGACTTGACAAGTTTGTGTTGCCGCACTAGAATTTAAGATGTCCCGAGCCTTATCACGGGGTGCCTACTGCATAGTAATAAGATGCTTAAGGTTGACACTCGGCAGTTCATGCTGTACGTAACGAAACAGCACTGAAGGAAGGTATAGGTAGAGCGGAAACTCCGCTCTCCGACCCCCGATGAGAGCTGTACGGCCTGTAAGGTTTGGCTGTCTCACTTACCTAAGCACCAAAAATGAATATCCTCCGAAAACATTTTCATTTTTTCTTTCATGCTTACGCATTCATTGTCATATTCGTCATAATTCTTAACAGTGGAATTCCAACATCGGCCTTTTGGTAATAGTAAATACCGACCTGATCTTCGTGCCTGTTGAATCTCAATGGAAATCTCAATGGGAGTACGGAGTACGTGAGGTAATGATTTACCTACCACAAAAGATCAATCTCTTCGACGTTTCCAAGTCCAAGACCTACATACATACCTAGGTACATAACCAACATACCGTACTTTATACCTTGAATATCGATACCGATATCCAATCTTAGCTTGTCAATTGCTAGTAAATCCTACTCAGAGGCGCATTTCTGGGGTAATGGGTATAGTATGTATGCAAGTAGGTATATTCGGCACTAAAACAGGCAATGCGGTAGAATCCGTCTTTTACAAAGACAGGTACTACGTACCTCTGCTTTCTACAGGGAAATATGCCGGGTTACATATGTAGGCAAGGCAGTTGAAATCCTGTAGGATTGGCTGGCGAAGGCGTACATATGTCGCTTTTGCTGCACCCCGGGACAGACAGGTTCGCAGGAGGGAACTTGATCGTCACATTGTGCTCACAGGCAACCCACTCTGCCACTCTGCCACTCTGCTTCAGTTTATCTCGGCATCGGAACCGACGAGTCTTTTACTCCCTACTGTACCTAGGTTGTGGCACGAGCCCCATTACACCCGAGTAATCGCGTCCCGAGATGTTCGTTGGTCAGCTAGTAAACTAACGTCAACTTGCCTCAGGGGCTTCAAGGTTGTCATAGTTCAGACGGAACAAACCATATTGCGTGTCAAGCGTCATCCTTGATCGATCAACCGCATCACATTTGTGCTCACCCACGCATAGCCGCAGCTATGTCGCCCTTCTAACTACATAGGTACCTGCCGACCAATGCTTTAGATACCGTCCGTTACATATGAAGTCTCAATATGTGCTGCGTAATGACCTAATCATCAAATCAACGGAGAGTCGGTGACCGTGGCTGTTATACCTTTGCTGGGCATCTTCACCTACTACCTACTATAGGACCTCTTGTGGCTTTGAGCCGCCTCATCCACCCACGTTCCAGTCCCTAACCTAGCTGAAAAGTAGCCGAATTTCGCCGATCGGCGCTCGTTCTGAATCACTCTGGACCCTTAAGAACAAATTACTTGTTTCGTGCTCTTATCCTTTCAAGCATATGTACCTTACCTATCTATTTGGTACCTAAGTAATGGATACTTTACTTCACAGGTGCGTATCATTGTGCACAGTATGGATGGGATGAGACCCCTCATTACATGCGCTTCTGCAAGTATACATACCTACCTAGATGGGTATATATAAACCTGACCCTCCTCAAGCCGCATGCGGTAGCCCCACCGTATGGATATCTACATATGTATATGTATCATTAGACCCCTTCTTATAGGATCCTCTCACATTTCATGCAAGGTCATTTCACGTTGCTACCTATTGTGTGCTGCTTACCAGGATTTCTAACCAATTGAGCAACCTGTTACGCAGTTGCCACGCTACACATATCCTCGCTGGGGGTGTAAGAATACTCACCTCTTTGGTCACTTCACCGAAGCCCCAGAGATTCAAAGGCCCACCAGGCTACACATAATCATGTTAAGAAGAAGGGGCCAGGCCCCAGGTCTTTGCTACGATGTCCCCGTCGCTATCATACCTCTAGTCACATCCATTCTTTTCCTCATAAGACTCTATCGCTGGCAACAGTTTCACTATTATCAACTCCTCGACCTCTTCGACAATACAATGGAACAGACGCTCTCACGGTTCTCCAAAAAAATCCAAGGACCTACCACCTTCACCAAGTTTGGCGAGCTTCCTCCCGAGCTACGCATTAAGATTTGGCAGGAAGCCATGCCCGGTCCCAGAACCGTGGTTATAAAATCTCCCTATGCAAGACAACAACATATACCCAAGTCACTAGAAGAGGCTATATTAGAAACACACGATCAAGAGGAGACCTGGTATTCAACTACACAGATCCCTGCCCTCTTACACATCAATGCCGAGGCAAGACATGAAGCACTCAAACACTACAAACTTTCACTTGGCGTAGGAAAAGGGCAACCGCGAATCTACGTCGATTTCAGGCGGGACACCATTTTCTTTGGCAACTCAGAGCTCAAGCCCGAGTGCTCGGCGTTGTGGGCTTCAACGAAAGATTTAGATCAAGTGCATCGTCTAGCAGTCGTCCCCGAGGGCGCGTGGAGGGTGCTGCGATGGAAGAATGTCGATCTAAATTCTTTAGAGAGGATCATCTTCGTTCACGACACAGAGAAACTTGAGCTAGGGCCTCTTCCCCAACTAATTGAAGACGAGCCACAGGAGGTAGACACAGAGCTGCTCGAGGAGCAGGTGCAACGTTTAGAAGAGTTAGAGTCACCGCAGGAACCACAAGGAAACGTCAACATATTAGACCACATGAAAAAGAGGATGCAGGTAGCTCGAGAGGAGGTCAACACACTCATGATGGTCTTACCGACGCAATGGGAGAGGGAGCCGGTGGTGTCAACCGCCGTGTTTAGGAAAAGTCGCGGTGATAGGTGGTTGTGTTAATTTAGTCGTTTTCAGATTTTTGCAGCAGAACAAACCTTCTCACGAACCACGACATGTCTTAGCTTACGTTTGTAGTGCACATACATCATGTTGTGATACCTAAGAAATTCCAAACCAACCCAAACTATATCATACCGAACCAAGCAAGGGAAATTCCGCGACTATCTTCAATTCGAGAAGGGGTCCGAAGTTTCATCCATGTCAAACGCGAGATGACGATCAATTGCTTTCATTGCCATGTAACTTTTCTTTTCAGCCCCCCTCACCCCTTTCACCCTAATACCTAGACACCGTTCTAAAAAGAGGTTACAGAAAACAGAAGTGGCTTCTGCCATCGACATCGCTCTCGCCCGCGCCCCACGACGACATTGTCTCTCTACTCTAAGACATACCACGCAACTTGGATCTTGTCTCGCCCGTCCCGTTATACTAACCCCGTTGTGCGCCTCTTTCTTGCTATCTATCTAAGTGTATGAGGCGTGATAGGTAATCAACCTGAAGTAAAACAAAAAGCCATTGATGGGTGGACTGGGCCTAGGAAAATAGGAACATTCGTCTTTCTACGACGTGCGTTACTAACTAGAGGCTAACGACGCAACTGCCCGCCCCCCTCCTCTCTCGACCCCCCTTTTTTTTTCCTGTTCTGCATCGCAGCGCAAGACGAATTGCAAGAGGGTCTACCCGATGTACTGCAGCCTTAGGATCTGCAAGTCGTCAATTGGGAGGAAATATAATTTGATGTCGACATGCTACTACGTACTGGCCTACGCAAGTAATTATTTGCTGAGAGCCCTGGAGGATAGTTAATGCGTACCAGATAGGTACTAGGTAGGGAGACCCTTTGAGTCACGAATGCCATCGATATCCATTCCGTGTAATTGAACCCTTCCACGCGTCCCTACACCTCACACCCCCACTCACCCCCCTTTTCCCTCGCCTTCTTCACACATCCTCGTTTTTTCTTTGTCGTGCCCCGCCGTAAGGTACCAGGACGAAATTCCGATGATCTGTCGTAGTCGTGTCCCCGAGTCAAGTCAATGAGCTGATACCCATATCCAATATACCTACACGCGCGTACACACACCGCTCAATCCCTAAAACTGGGCAATAAATGGCGTTTTGAAGCCCGCCTGTTGCATATGAAGGAAAGAAAGCATTGGAAATGACAACATTGAGCCTTGAGCCCGATGATGCCGAGTCGCGAGCCGCGAGCCCCATTGTTTTTAAGCGGGATGCGGGATACGGGATGGGGGATGGAGGATCAGGTACGTGTATATGTATAAGGTAAGGTACCTACATACTGATACAGTAGATAATAAAAAAGGGAGATATGTAGATAGGTAGATGGAGCTTGATGAATATCTACGTATGTCGGTAGGTAAGCAAGTAGGTAGGCTATTACGCAGCGTGCCACCGCGTCATGTAGGTAGCTGCGCTGCACTGCACTGCAGCAATTATCCCCTCTCCCCTCTCCCCTCCCCTCACTCCCCTCTCCCTCTCCCCATCCCTATCGAGCGATTCTCCTTCTTGCAGGGAAATACCGGTCCCGGGCAGTCGGTAGCCGCCCCCGACTCGCTGTCCCTCTGCTCTCCACACGGAGTTTTTCTTCCGGGCAGCCGCGCAAATATCTCCGCTCTAAACCCCCCCACACTCCCCTTCGCTTTTGCCGCTTCGCTTCGCTTCGCTTCTTCAACCCCCCCCCCCCCCCCCCCCTCTACCCCACAAGCAATCAATCTCGGTGCTTCGGCCTTTCGCGAAACTTCCTCAAACCTTCACAGCTTCCCCTTGATCTCCCCCCCAGCACCCCCAGCACCCCCGACAAACCCCTGCGCCGCCCTCAGCCTCTCCACGGCGCCGTCCACCATATCCCTCACGATCTGCGCCGCGGGCAGCACCTCCGCCACGACGCCGGCAACCTGCCCCATCAGGTGCGGGAAGTCGACCTCGGCGTCGCCCGTCTCGAGGTCCTGCGAGATCGGCACCACGCCGCTGTCGCACAGCTCCCTGATCCGCTGCGGCTGCGCGTGCCAGCGGCGGATGTACTCGTTGACGCGCATCCTGAGCGGCCTTCCGGTCAGCACGAGGGTGCGCTCGGTGTCGTCGAGGCCGCAGGAGACGACGCTGCGCTTGTGCTCGTCGCTGCAGTTGGCCTCGACGCTGGCGACGAAGCGCGTGCCGACCCAGACGCCGGCCGCGCCCTGCATCAGGCTCGCGGCGAGCGAGCGGCCGTCGCTGATGCCGCCGGCCGCGACGACGAGCGCGGGGGAGCCGTGCAGCATCGCCGGGCGGTAGCGCTGCGCGACGTCGGCGACGGCGGGGATCAGGATCGAGGAGGCGATGTCCCCGGTGTGGCCGCCGCCCTCGCCGCCCTGCGCACAGACGAGGTCGACGCCGAGGTCGAGGGCCTTGGTGGCGTGGCGCGGGTGCCCGACCATGTTCATCACCAAGATCCCGGCGTCATGCAAACGATCAATAACTTTCTTGGGGGGCACGCCAACGGCGCTAACAAACAAACGGGCGCCGCTCTCGATGGTGATGTCGATGAGCTCGTCGAGCTTGCCGTGCGTGTAGTCGTGGTTGGTCTTGCGGGCGTTGCCGCCGACCTGGGGTAAGGCGAGGTCGATGCCGAAGGGGAGGTCCGGGGAGCGGAGGGCGGCTTTGAGCTCGGAGACGATGGAGCGGAGCTGGTCCGGCGTGTACTGGAAGCCGCCGATGACGCCGAGGCCGCCGGCGTTGGAGACGGCGGCTGCGAGGGCGCCGCCGGAGACTCGGGCCATGCCGGCGAGCAGGATCGGGTGCTGGATCCCGAGGAGGGTGGTGAGGGGGGTTACGATGGGTCCCTGGGGTGCCATGGTGTTGTTTTGTGTACCCGGGTATGTAGTGTAGGTGTTATATAAATTGTGTATATGTAGAAGATGGTGTCGGGGATGTTTATCTACGCGGACCAACCGGGAACGAGGTCACATGCAAAATATGCTGTTAGATGCCAAGTAGCTAACCTAGGTATATGACGAGGTAATTGACTGTGAAAGAGAGATATCCTTAACTTGAGAGATTAGTTGATTAGGATTGTGATGGTCCACAGTTAAGGAGTTATGTTACTAAGGGTAAGTATGTTCACAGAAAACGAGATGTTAACCATAAGCTCTCTCACATTGAAGCTGTTCAGCCAGGGGTTTAAGAGTGTAAGATGCTAACTACCTAGGTAGGATATAAATGTCTAAATAAACGGTTCCACCAACAACCTTGGTAAGGATGGCGGGCACTAAAGAACATAGCTGGCAGGGGCAAAAGGTGGGGTTTCTGGGGTAAGGTCGAAAAAAAGTGCCGAGGTACTTCTATTTTAAGTAAAAATACCCGGCAAATTGCAAGCAATTTAAATTAGTAAAACTTTACTAATTTGATATCTGGAAAATCGTCGCTCCGCAACAATTTTGATTTTAAGTACTATTTCTTAATTTTTTTATTTTTTGAAATACTAAACATGTAATCATGCCTCCGGCGGCTCCTGCGGAGTGCTGCTCGCTCCGCTCGGAAAGGAAAACAGATTTAAATCACCCAAATGTTTAATCCAATTAAAAGCCAGCCATTGGCCAGTTTGAGTGGGCACTTTCTTTCACGTACGACATAGTAAGGCAATAGTTACATAACAATCACGTGATGGTAGGTTCCTTTCACATCAGACACCGATTACATAATACTCACGCCAGTGACGACGGGTTCCTTTGGCATGGATTACGTGGTACTCACGTGACGGTCGGAATACCGGCGTAATGGACGGACCGGACTCACACGTGAAAAGAGTAAATTATACTTCCCTCCAGGCCACGTGATATTGTTGAGAATATCAAGTGGCCCCATCTACTAAGCCTAGATCAACCCATGCGCCGGGACTTACTGGTATTAGGGCTGGGATCGGCTCGGCCGGATGGGGAGAAATTGTCGGATTGGGGGGATTTATGGGTATAGGAGGGAGGTTCGGAAAGCCGGTTGTCGGAGGCCGGCTGTATTTGGGAACCGCTTGCGGCGATGGGACTGCCCCAGGGGGGATTTACGGCTGATGGTACATGTTAGCGTCAGGGATAAACCCTCCCGGAAGCTCTGAAAGCTCTCCTGGAGCAGGTCACGGCAGCAGCGGCGGCAGCGCAGCATTCCGGGGCCGGCCGACCCGCCTCGGAATGGGTGTATCAGCCATTAATTCAATGGATCAACTGGGTTGGGGCTGTGTGGCTCTTGAAAAGCTCTTGAAAAGCTCTTGAAAACTCTTGAAAGCCCTTGAAACCTGAAAAGTGGTTGAAAGGAGGAAGAAAAGAATTACAACAGCTTGGGGGTTGAGAGCCCTTATATAGACCGGTCTAGAGCACGCTCCATCAGTACGTACCCTAACCATCCAAGGCAAAAAGTTAGGCAAACTAAGCGCTAGTAAGCCTATTGAAATTGAAGCCATCCTATTGGCTCAAATCTGGACCTATTGAGCCGCTAGTAAAAAGTGAAACGTTTGGAGCCAACTTTCAAGCTGTTGATTGATTGATTGGGTGCATCGCTTTTCAGCCCCCAAATCCAGCAAACCACCTTCCACACCACCTTCAACACCACCATGTAAATCAATTATTTCAAATATTTCTTGAAATATTTGATTTAGGTGGTGGTGTTGAAGATGATTAATAAGATGGATTAAATGGATCAAATGGATCAAATGGAAAAAAGTTGAAAAGAAGAAGTTGGAATGGAAGAATTAGAAAAGATGGATTGGATTAAAAAGATGGATTGGATTAGTCAGCTTTGATTATTAAGAATGGAACTGAATGGATGGAATTGAATGGATGGAATTGAATGGAAAGTGGCTGATTTAAGGCTGTGGAGGCTGAGCTTATCTTATCAATGGAATTAAATAGAAAGTGGCTGAATTGAGGCTGTGGAGGCTCAGCTCCTTATCTTATCAGTTTCTGCGGGAAACAGAGTCCGAGCTTGAAATTTTCACTCATAGGCACGGCTCCACTACACGATTTTATTAAGTAAAACTTTACATTTAACTCGTCCCTCCTTAGTAAAGTTTTACTAACAATATTCGAAAGGAATGGAGAATGGAGATCCGGGTGCGTAATGATTAGTATGAGGTACGGAAGACGGCGAGCAGAATTGTTCAATTTCCAATGGGTACTACACATCCTTGTCAGAACTGGTCGGATGTGAGGCAGATCTACCTATCTCCGTAGCTCATTTACAGGACCTATTAATTAGCTGACAAAAGTGTTGGATGGAGAAATATTCTGCAAGTGTCCTCCGTATTAGTGAAGTATGTATGTAATGCTAAGATGTAGTAACATGGCTTCGTAGATAAATATATACCTATCATATATGGTATTGAACGAATACATATCTATTACATATATCAACTCTATATATGTAGGTATATGCCCAGGTATACTCTGGACAGGTAGGTATCCTCATTCTCAGTCCTTTACTAGATAAGTACAATGTCTGAATAGTCATAATATAATACATCCCGTTATATACTCCCTCTAGAACGAGCAAGGTCATAATTGTTTGCGAACGCTGCAAGATTTTGACTTGCTATCCTAACCCATAATCCCTACTTGTAATTCTACATCTATAAAGTACAGAGCTCTGGGGCAATTGGCCATATACCTACTAGCTTATTGGACATAGGACCGGCTGCTAGCAAGCTACTTGCCTCATTCATGGCACGCGTTCGGCATGCCATTGAATCGTAAACGTGAGCATATCTTCTTAGTCCGGCATGGAAACTCTTGGGCCTTGTTCGTTTGGGTTTCCATCTTCGAGACCAGTTGGAGTTGGTTGCCAGGACATGTCAGGTCGGTTTGGAATATGCGGATGTGCGGACTGCAAGTAAAGTCCGTTTAGATTGATATCGCGGGATGGTAGGTAATATATAACGTAATAGTTATCATCGAAAGTACGGCAGTCTTGCCGGTACAAAATCATCTTGCGGGGGCTTTGCTGGTGCTATTGCTGTTGGTGTTGGTGTTGGCATTGGTGCTGGTATTGGCGCTGGATGACTCTCTTCTGCGGCTCCTGGCTCATCCTCGTCATCCTCGTCGTCCGTAGCTTGATCCAATATGACCTCTTCTGGCACCGGTGCCTTTTCTACTCTGAGCACCACTTCTGACTTCGCCTCGGGAACAGATTCAATCTTTAGGTTTTCCCGACTTAGCCCGCGTCGAAGAGCTAATTCCGCAGCTGCCTGCCTTTTTTTCTCAACAATTTCGTGTTCCTCCCTTTCTAGCCGTTCTTCCTCTAGTCGTAGATCCTCGAGCGACGCTGTTAAAAGCAGCGCCGGACTTTCTGGAAGCATGGGCCCTGAGCCTAAGCTTGGGAGTAACGATGGCCTTGTTGAATCTATCGTCGTCCTCGAGATGCTCCTTGGCATCCTACTATCGGCAACCCGCTTTCCTTTGCTACTCCTTGTTTTATTACTCGAGCGATCGTCTACGTGGTCTAACGAAATGGTGAATTCGTCGTCTAATGGTATCGCGTCTTCGTCCCCTTCTTCATCACTTGGGAAGAGGTCGCCTCTCGATCTGTACGAATCGCTCGTATCTCCACTGCCTACCGTCCCACTCCGTTTCCTATTATGCATTGATGGTCCGTTCATATGTTCTACATTCCCACCATCGCCTAGAAGTGGTTCGTGTTCTGCGTGTAGCCCCGATCTTGATGCCCCAGGGTGTTCCTGTAAATTCGCCGCACTAGGTTTATACCGTAGGGTTCCACCAATCTTGAACGGCAGACGGCCTAAGAACCCTAAGGGCGCGGTGCTTGGGATGATGGTTGGGTCTTCTTGGGAATTAGCTCTTTTCCGTGGGCCCTTCGTGCCATAACTCATGCCACGTTTCCTCTTTGGTTGTTCTTGAACGTCGCCGGCACTCCGTTTCCCCCCAGTGCCTGCCAGTAAGCGATCCCAATCTTCGCTTCGCCAGCCACCGAGTAGCCCTCCATCTTCCCCATCTCCCAGTTCGGCATCCCAATCGTCGTAGAAGTCGAAGCTATATTCGGCTCTCCCTCTAGCTCGATGACGATCTCTTAGTCGTCGCGCTCTTTCCTCGCGGTCGCCTAAACAAACATTGGTACAGCTTTCGAAGGCGGTGGAGATAGAAGAGACGCAAGGGTTAATGTAGGTGTGTCCAAAACTCCATATACCAGCAGCCGCATTTTCAGTGACTGCCTCGGTGGTTTGGGAGATCTGATTCCATCGCTGGCGAAGACGAGGGTCTTCTAAGAATGCCATTGCGTCCCAGCGGAGGCGCCGACTGGTTTCCTTTATATGTCACGAAAACGCGATGGAAGGATTCGTGTAGCTCTTCTATCGGGAAATATCGGTGGAACAAGTGAGCCTACTCTCTTCAGATGGACAATATGAGACACGAGTGTCGGACCTCCGGTTTCAACGTCTAACGTGTAATTCGGTTGGTTGCTCAATTGGTAGGAATGGTGTATGATACGATCCAATGTGAATTGTGGCCCATTTGGCGTTGATAGGTGGGATCCTTTGAATGCGTATTATGCGTATTAATGGATAAAATTGGAGCAGTGTGCACGATAGGGCGTGATACGGCTGATGCAAGTAAGATGGAAGTTTCCATGCTACTAAGCACTTTTAGTATGTACTACGAAGGTGTTGATGGATATGGTTAGATGTTGTTGCGTCGACGTTGAGCACGTTAAGGCTTTGAAGAGGAAAAGACTATGTATGTTAGGTAGAAATTGTAATTTGTTGTGATTGTTGAGATTGTTGATAACAAGGAGGGATTTAGGGGATTCAGGAATTGGAGTGTAGCTGATTTAAAAATAGGTAAGGTAAGTTCTGATTGCATGAATAATAAGCCCAATAGGAACATTGAACTATAAATGCTGGATACTATCCAATGTGACTGTGGTTGGCCCTAGCATGTCCATCCCGTCCACTATTGCAATGTAGGTTTTCATGACCTCATATTAGCCCTGGGGATAGTTATATGCAATACTATGTAAGGAGGCATTTAGGTTAGGCATTTTGGAGGGCTAAGCACTTAACTACTAGAGGGCACACGCTCGCGCGCGCCACAAATGCCCGAGTTTTCTCGGACCCAATTTTAATGTTACTACAACCTATCCTAAAGGCTGCTTTCAGGCTAGCGCAACACTAAGGATTTAAGGTTTTGATAAGACGATTTAATTGGATGCAGCACCCTTTAGATCACATGACCTGCTTTTTCAAGTTATAACCCTTTTTTTTAGATGGTAGGGAGCACACGGGCCATCAACACTTCTTATTCAATTCAACTGATTGAATTGATCGGATTGATTGAATTGATCGGATTGATTGAATTTATTGAATTAATTAATTGATTAATTGATTCCTGGACTGATTAATTAAATGCAGCACCTTTTGGATCACGTGACTGCCTGCAACACTATTAAGCCATCAACCCTTTTAATTTAACCCTTCTTATTTAACCTTTCCAATTAAACCTTTCTTATTTAATTCAATTAATTAAATTTATTAAATTAATTAAATTTGTTAAATTTATAAATGAATTAATTAATGAATTAATTAATTAAATAATTAATTTACATATATATTTTATTACAAATTAATTAATTAACTGGTTAACTAATTAAATAACTGGTTAAATAACCCGGGCTAACTCATTTAATATTAAATTTAACATTAAATTTAAAGCTGGATTTAATAACTACTTAAATAATTAATTAAATGCCTTATTAACGACTTAATTTATTAATTAATTAAAAACTTAATTAAATATTAAATTAAAGAAATTAAAGAATTAATATAATTAAAGAAATTAAAAATGTTTCAATTATATAATTAAAATTTTAAAACATCTTTAATTAAATTTTTAATTAATTCTTAAATCCCTTAACCCCTTTAATCCCTTTAATCCTTTTAATCTAATATTTAATCAAATTTTTAATTAATTAATAAATTAAATATTTAATTAAATATTTAATTAAATATTTAAATAACTTCAACTTTAAATTTAACGTTAAATAAGTTAAGTTATTATATATTCGTTAAATCCCTTAAATCTTTAAATTTAAGCTTAATTTAACGCTTTTAACTTAAACCACATTTAACCTTTTTTCCATTTTAAATAATTTTTAAATTAAATATTACATTATAATAAAATAAAATTTAATTAAAAACGCATTTAATTGCCGATTAATTAATATTAAACTTAAATTAATATAATATTTAATTATAAAATTATTTAAGTAAATAAATAGCAAAGTAAAAGGCATGTAATCACCTTTAAAGCCACTTTAAAAGCCTTTAACACCTTTAAAACCTTTAAAGTTAAACCTTATTTAACACTTTTAACCTTAAATAACTTTTTAAAATATATAATTATAAAAAAACAATTAAATTTAATTAAAAGTATATTTAATTATAAATTTATTAATACCGCTTTTAAATTAAGGTAATACGTAATTGAAAAATTATTTTTATATATATAATTATTAAAAAAGGTTACGTGATAATACTTAAGATAACCTTAAGCGGCTTTAAAGTTTTTAAGCGGCTTTAAAGGCCTTTAATATATCTTTAACGTTAATTACATGCCCCTATTTTACCAGCTTATTTACTTAAATAACTTTACAACCATATATCGTTTTAATTTAAAATTTAAATTAATTAATTAACAATTAAATATTCTTTTAATTAAATCCGGTTACATCGTAATACCACATATAATTAAAAGGTTATTTAATTAAATTAATATAAGTAATTAAAAGCATTTATTAAATTATATAACCTGCTTTTTCAAGTTATAACTTTATTTTTAAATAATAAGGAATATATAAACCATTAACCTTTTTAATTAAACCCTTTTAATTTAATTTAACTAATTAAATTAATTAAATTAAATTAATTAAATTAAATTAATTAAATTAATTAATTAATTAATTAATGAATTAACTAATTAATTAATTAATTAATTAATTAATAAATTAACTAATTAATTACAACACCTTTTAAATCACGTAACTACTTATAACATTTTTTTTAATATAATAAAAACGATTAAACCTTTTAATTAAACTTAATTTAATTAATTAAATTAATCGATTTAAATTAAATTAATTTAATTAAACTAATTAAATTAATTAAATTAATAAATTAATAAATTAATTAATTAAATAATTAATTTATATATTTTATTATAAGTTAGTTAAATAATTAATTAAATAACTTAAGTTAATTTATTTAATATTAATTTTAAAGTTAAATTTAATAATTATTTAAATAATTACTTAATAACCTAATTTATTAATTAATTAAAAACCTAATTAAATATTAAATTAAAGAAATTAAGGGGATTAAAAAAATCAAAAGATTTAAGAATTAATTAAAAACTTAATTAAAGTTATATAATTAAAACATTTTTACTTAAATTTTTAATTAACTTATAAATTCCTTTAATTATATTAATCCTTTAATTTCTTTAATTTAATATTTAATTAAGTCTTTAATTACTTAATAAATTAAATCGTTAATTAAATATTTAATTAATTATTTAAGTAATTATTAAATTCAACTTTAAATTTAATATTAAATAAATTAACTTAAGTTATTTAATTAATTATTTAATTAATTAATTAGCTAATTTATAACAAAATATATAAATTAATTATTAACTTAATTAATTCATAAATTTAATTAATTTAATTAATTTAATTAATTAAATTAAATAAGAAAAGTTAAATTAAAAAAGTTAATAATTAATATATTTTTTATTATATTAAAAAAGAAAATATTATAAAAAGTTATATAATTTAAAAAACGTTACATTTAATTAATTAATTAATTAATTAATTAATTAATTAATTAATTAATTAACTAATTAATTAATTTATTAATTAATTAATAAATTAATTTAATTAATTTAATTTAATTAATTTAATCCAATTAATTTAATTAATTAAATTAAATAAAAAATATTTAATTAAAAAAATTCCATTAAAAAAGTTAAATTAAAAATATTAATAACTCCTATAATCCAAAAAAAAAAGTTATAACTTAAAAAAATAAATCATATAATTTAAAAAATGCTACATTTAATTAAATTATCATGTTAAAACCTTAAATCTTTTATATTACATTAACTTAAAAATAATCTTTAAAACCCATAATTTCAACGATTTCAATTAATCCCGATTTTTTTATATAAGTTATTAAAATAATTAAATATATATATTTTTCATTTTTATAATAATTATAATTAAATAATTAAATCTTAATAACCGCTGATAAATTTAAATGTTTTTAAGGCTTATAATAATATTAAACCTTTAATATTCCTTATTTAAAAGCTTAAACACTTAATAAAACTTAAAATTTAAGCATTTTTCCATACGTATAATTGCATTTATAGCTCCCCACATGGCTTAATAATCTTAGTAAACCTTTCTTTTTTACAAAGCCTAAAATTCCTTTAAATCTTAAAATATAACTATATATATGGCTCCATACGTGGCTTAAGAATCTTAACAAACCTTCCTCTTTTACAAAGCCTAAAATTCCTCCCCTAAAGACCCACAAGCTTACGTAAGCAACCATTTAAAGTTTTAATAAACCTTCCTCTTTTACAAAATCCAAAATTCCTCCCCTAAAGACCCATAAACTTACATAAACAATATCCCCACCTTCCTAAAATGGAAAAAGTTTCCTATTTAAGCCTAGTGCGTCTGATTAGTAAGCCAAATCCCCTTGAGAAAAAAACCGTACAGTAACCCTCGAAAACTCGGGCAAACTCGGGCAAAGCGTGACTGACTAGAACCTGAATTACCTGGGGAAAAGAGCGGTTTCTTTTGCCGGTACTTCAATGTTAGTTAGTGCTATGGTAGAATTCAGTTCCCCAAATTTGTAGGAGCTTCACTCAAAGCTTGGACCAGTTCAATGTTTTTAGTTAACCTCAGCTTCAATGTTGCCCAAACATACTAACCTAGGTAGGTACCTATTAATACTAGTAGTATACATAGGTACCTAACCGTCTAACGTTAAACCATTTACAGCTAAGATTAGGCGGTCATGCCAGGCAAGAAACAGTAGCTTCCGCTTGCGACCTTTCAACGTTCACGCTCCCGTTGATGATCGCAACCTTGTCAAATCCGTCAATTCCTGCACCTTCACAACTTAATCAGCAAATTTCTCCGACATCTCTTACGTCGCGCTCCGTCCTATAGGTCGGACCACGACTCTCTGAACCATTCTTTTTTTTTCTCTGCAAGGTCTTATTCACTAGTTCTTTCACACTCTTTGTACTCTTCACTTTTTATTCCTTTTCCCTTATCAAGCCAATATCCCTTTGTATTTGTAGACATCGAGTACGACCTTTCTTTAGCCATTTTCGCTTGCCTCTCATCCCGATTCCACCTCATTTCACACCTACCCAAGTTATCACAGTTGCCTCATACCATCAATGATAGAGCCAACACGCGAGGTGCCGCAATAAAGCGCAATGCTCAATACTGAGAGACAGAGTGGTTGGGGAGTTGGCCAGGTGCCGAATCCGCCTATCAACCGTAAGTAAATGGCTTTTCTTCTCCGATGACAATAACCTACGCTTGCTGTGACTAGCCTTCAATCGATATTGTCGAATTTGCATCCATATCCGATCCTGCGATATCCCCGAATAGACCATGCGATTTATCGAGATGTGAGAACGAGGGGGAAAAAGCATACAAGGACGCGATGATGCTTGTAGACTACTGACGCTGTTTCTTCCGCTATAGCATTCGCCCAACCGGCTTCCTCTCAACCTGTGAATCCATTCGCAAAGGCTCCGAGTAACCCGTTCCAACCAAAGCAACCTAATGGAGTAACTACTCCAGCGGTAAACCCTTTCCTGGCAAAACCTAACCCCCCAAATCCTTTCTTGACTTCGACCTCTACCAGCCAGAGTAAACCGGCGCCCACTGCATTTGGCCAACCCTCGGGTCCGACACCGAAATCTAATCCATTCGCCAAGCCTAGCAATGCACAAGATTTCAAGCCCATACCTGCTACGACTAGTAACTCTTCGACCACGAAAGCCCCCCGCAAGCAACAATCACCATTTTCTAACGGGGGCGAGCCATCAACTAAGCCAAGCGTCAATGGGGAAAGAAAGGTTGCCAACTACGTTCAGCCAGCATGGAAGCCATCGCAGAAAGATGCGGGTTCGGCAGCAGGCAGAACCAAAGCTGCCATAGGCCAGAGCAATGGGAAGCGGAAGAGTGAGAATGATTATCAGCGACAAAGCAAGTTCTCCCGGAAATCACCAGATTCAGAAGCTGCGCCTACTCCATTTGGCGCTCCTCAACAAAACAAGGTCGACACCTTTTCTAAAAACAAGTTAGGAAAGCCTAGGAACGGAGGCGATCGAAATGATTTTGCCAAACAGATACTAGCTCAACTTGCAAAGGATAACATCAAACCTCCCCGATGGCCAGAAAATCCAGGAAGCCATGCATCACGCCAGGCAATAGAACGCTATCGGGAGACTTATAAAGTGTACCGAGAGAGGGCAAGAAAATCGCTCACGAGAGCTGGTCTGATCGACGACCCCGACAAAAAAAGAAGACTCGATGAGGCGCTTGTGTTCAAGGGAATTTGCCAGGAGATGTGTCCTGAGTGGGAGAAGATCACTCGGATAGTAGAGCACGATATTAGAGGACCGGAGAAGGGTAAAGATGAGCGAGGGGAGCTCGTTGCGATGCCCGAGCTCATGGTCAAGCGTCTTGCTCGCTCGGCTGCAGGACAAGATGCGCCTCTTCCGATGGACGTTAGATCCGTTGCTACGCTTCGCTGGACGTTGGATTACCTGATCGACGAGCTCATTCCATCAGACGATGAATTGCCTCAGAGGCACAGCTACCTCTGGGATCGAACTCGAGCCATTCGAATCGACTTCTCCTTTCAGAAATATGCTATGACTCCTGACGAAACGAAAGACCAGGTCTATTGTCTCGAGACCATCGCCCGTTTCCATGTGACTTCGTTACACCTTCTTTCCCAAGACGGCTTCACCCCTTCAGATTTTTCAGAGCAGCAGGAGGTTGAACAACTAGGAAAGACACTAATATCCTTGATGGAGGTCTACGATGACTGTATGCATCAGGGAATTAGTTGTGAAAATGAGGCCGAGTTCCGAGGGTATTTTATAATATTCAATGCCCATAACCCGGCTCTCATGGAAATGATCGAGGGTTGGGAGTCTCGATTTGGAAGCAGTATACAATCCGCTATAGGCATTGTCGAATGTATCGAGAATACACGGCAAATACTGGGCCCATTATATCCGGAAACTGCGTCTCAAATGGCCATCGACGCTATTTCGATATTCTTCGACGTTATTGCATGTCCGGAGGTCTCTTATACCATGGCCTGTTTTGCCGAAATTCATTTCAACAGCGTGCGCAAAGGGATCCTGAAGGTTATCAAGAAGGCTTACTCAAGGCCACGATTTGGCCCGAAGGACCTCACCCCTAAGGTTCTGAAGAAGTTTTTGCGCACAGATACCGAAGAAGAGGCTGCTGAGTTTTTTCGGAAGCATGGCCTCAAGTTTGATGAACAAGACGGATACCTTGTTCTTCTCCCCGGCGTGGAGTTCACTGAGGCACGAATACCCCACAGCTTTTCGGGAGATATTGTAGAGCGTAAGCGTTCTGGGCGCTCACTCCCAACTATCATTCACGAGACCGTCTTCGAGTTGGGTTCACGAGATCTACCGAACCAGGATTCACCAACTCACAGCCCAGAAGAGAGCTTGTTTGTGAGCGATTCGCAGAATGAACCATTCGCAAGCATCAATAATAGTGAACAACAACAACATGACAATAGGATAGAGAGCAATGAACCTACCCCAGCTTTCAGTCGACCCGATCCTGCAAGCTCCGGTTCATCTATGTTTGGAAATCATGTCGCCACCAAGCCGACGCCTTCTACCTCTTTTGGGCAACCTTCGACATCGGCCATTGCACAGCTAGGTAAAGGAGACAGCGTCGGTTCGTCCAATCCTTTTCTTTCTAGTGCAACGTCCACTTCCTCAGGGCTGTTCACCTCGACCTCTCAGCTCAACAAGACCACAGCAATCCCACCCTCCGGCTCCGTCGCATCTAACATGATGCCTGCTTTTCTCGAGGGTGCTGTCTCGAAATCTCACGCAACAGATGATCGCGGGAGTGATCAAGAGCATGCGGAAAGTTCTAAGGCGCAGTCAGCACTATCAACTCAAACAATCAAATTTGGAGATGACGTTTCAAAACAGTCCATAAATGCATCCCAAAACAATGTTTCGACAGGCCTCTTCAATTTATTCAATGATAATAGCAAAAATAAAGAAGCAGTACCGCCAGATACACAAAGCTCCAGCCCGTTCTCCGGCCTTCTACCGACAAATGTAGAACTATCAAACAAAGATGGGCCCCAACTCTCCGGGCCCTTGGGCCCATCTACAACATTAGGCCCTCAGCCGCTTCCTATGCCAGCTACGTCCGCCTCTAGTCAATTCCCTACCCAATCGACTAGCGCTCTATCCTCGGATACATCCGTACAAGGCGATCCAGCTCTCAACCCAAACCATACCCCGACGCTATTTCAGCAACAAGTTCCAGGGTCATCCGAACCCAACATCCAGGGAAGTTCTCACAGCTTCTTGAACAAGGCACCGACAAATACCAATTCTACGTTGTCGTCACAGCAATCCGGATCTACGAGCACATCGGTCCCTACAAAAACTACCAAGAATGACCCAATGGACAATTTCAGTCGTTGGTTTGTCTGTGCAGATAGGGGCCTGATGGAATCACAGCTGGAACAATTTGCAGTTGAACACATACTCAAGAATATTTGGGATGGTTTTCAGGCTTCAGAGGCGGAACGTATCCGAAAAGAAGAAGACGAGGCGTCCTGGGCTGCGGCACGCAAATTCAGAGAGTACAGCCTGAAAGTCAAGTATTATTATCGTTGGCATGAGGGCTTTCGTAAACGAGCAAGACTCAGACGTATGAAGCTCGAAAATGAAAAGGCTAGACAGTGGAGGTTGCCCGAGAATGTGGCAAAACGTGAGCGCGAGGAGAGGGAAGCGCAGGAGAAAGTCCTGCAGGAGGCGAAGGAATCAATACTCGGGAGAAGTCGCCAGAATGTTGACAAAACTGCGAAACTAAGATCATCGACCAGATCAAGCTCTATGTCGAAGGTACAACAAGTTCAGGATTCGCTAGCCAGATCGCATCTTAACACGCTCAGCCCTGAATCAAGCACACACAGCATCGAAGAAGCATTACTTGCTACAGGTGTCTTCAGCGGCATGCGAGACGAAAGAGCCGCCGCGCGTTACGCTGCTAGAGGGTATGGTGACGAAGTCGATTCGGACAGGGTGCAAGAGAAGAAGATGAAGCTACGATCTGAAAACCACCGTCGTGTGAAGCGCGGGCTTCCTCCGCTAAAATCACTTCCAGAACCGAAGGTTCACAAGGAAGGGTCCAAAACAGCAATGGTCAGAGCGCTTTGCAGCGGTGCCGGTAGAGATACCATGTCTATGTCAACAGGAAGTCTGCGCAACTCGACATTCAGCTCGAGTTATCGTTCGAGTCTCGGTTATAACAGTAGCCGAGTCTCGAAACCTCGACCGACCGTTACAGACCCCTACTGGCGCCTCAAAGCTAACGGACTGGTACGAATGCCGAACGGTGAATACTTACACGAGTCGATCGCAATCCCTATGTTAAAAGAAGGAAAAAGAATTCCGGGCTTTGGAGACTATGGCTTGCCGCCTGTCAAACCTTCAAATCCGAATCTTAGCCAGTCACCTCCACCAGCGTTGCCACTAAGTGACTTCTCATCGCCACACATTCGGAATGATGACGTGCCATTAAGCCCAACAGGAAGCTCTCCTCTAGATGCAGAAAGTCAGAAACGGAAGCGCAACGCAGAAGACGAGGATTTTGCCTCAATTGGGCGTGGCTCACCTGCAATCAGGAAGCGGGCTAAGAGCGGAGATGACGATCAGAACTTCCTTGATGATATTGCGAGCCTTCTAAACAGGGTGGATTCTATCAGAAATTCGACATCGAAGGAAAATTGATGAGCATTTGTTGTGTAGCTCAGGTATCACTAAGGGGCAATGAAAAGAGGTATTCAGATGGATGGAAAGGGTTTGGGAAGTGTATGTACGACTCCTATCGTTTACACTGCGTTGGTATACGATGTGAATCCTGGCCAGTTTGACTGATGACCTGCCAGTAGAAGGAAGGAAGGAAAGGGGGAATACCAGGACTACGGAGGATGGACTCGACAATGCGGAGGAAATGAATGCGAACTGGACCGATCGGATCGGTCCCTGATTTGTCTTAAGTACCTACACATGCATGGATTGGCGTTACCAAAGGATAAAGCATTTCAAGAGGAAGCAAATGCAATGAGCTTTTTTTTTACCCAATTTACCTACCTACCGATTTACCAAAGTTTTATCTACACCATCACAAGCGTACTTCTTTTGCCCTAAATGATTTCAGGGGTCAACACCAGCAGCAAAACTTTTGTCATTCTTCTAATTGGTATGATGGTTGGTTGGTTTGCTGGCTATAATTCGAGATACCCGAAGGTACATACAACAACAACAACAATAACAACATTGCATAAAAACGAGGGCTCGATGTTTTTGGGGGGGTTTCCTGGGGGGGGGGGCTCAAGGTTTTTATTTGGGGCTTCAGCGAAACGAATAATATGATATGACATGACAGCATCAATCACCACCTCACCTCATCGCCTCTCATTTCATCGCACATGCACAAATACAAATATATAACCTAGAAGCGATGTGATGTGTCTCTCTCTCCGCACGCGTGTAGCGTGTATATATATATATATATGAGGAAATAGATGCATGTGAGACAAACCTCTTGAAAGCGCACTACCTACCTACCTAGCCTGCTTAGGCATTTGATGAGAAGATTGTAGATGTACATAGTTATTGATAAGATGCCGATGAATAACGATACCCAAGTACCTCCTATATACTACCTTCCTATACATACATACGTAGGTATTGTATACCATGTTCAGAGACATATATACAGATGCATTAACCATGAGGATCGCATCATCACCAAAGCAGCTCTCACATCCACGGATGTCTAGTACCTACATAGGTGCCTAGGTAGGTCCCGTAGCGGGGACCCCCTATTCGCGAGGATGATTCCTCGCCGGACGTGATTATTCTTGACTACCTACTAGGTTAGGTTAGGTATGTAGGTACATAGGTAAATAGAAGTAAGTATTCGCACATTGAGTACCTAGGTAGGTAGGTATCTTCATTTCCATCCAGCTTGGGGGGAATCAATCCATCTCCTTCGATTAGGTAGGTACCCAAGAAACCTTTCCATTCATTCCCTCCCCGTCAACCAGCAGCCACCAAGTCAGAGTCATTCTTCCCATCCACGATACCTACCTATTCCTCCATGAGGTAGGTGCCTAGGTAGGTAGGTAGATGTAGTAGAAACCCAGGTCACCAACGTACCTACCTACCTACCTACTCAAACAACATACCCTATGTAGGTAAGCACTCACTTTAGTTAGATAAAAACAAGCACATGCAAAAATGGTGCCAAATGCTACCTAAATATATATATGTATTAATCAATTACTGCACCAGAAAGTGAAGCATCAAGCCATCCATAGCTTGGGTTACCCCTGAGTAGGTGTACCTAGGTAGCCAGACTACTAGTAGCACCCAAATACCAACAACAGGTGCCCACCAACCGTCAAGGTTCATATACAAAAGACCCATCTATAGCCTCAACTGTCCAATCTACCTACACACACCGGTACCTTATATACCTCTACTAGTATGTACGTGCCTTGCCTGCAGGTGCCTTGCCGCTCTATAAACTTTTATACTTTTTTTCAGATCATTGCTCATTACCGAATCACTATGTACCAACTAATCGCTTCTTCTTCTTCGCTACTACCTATACCCATACCCATATCTACCTTACACAGCCCAGCTTATTGATGTCTTTCGAGTCGCTTGCCGGTTGTCCTAAACCATATCTCGATCACGTTCGGGCCGGTCACCACCCCTGCTAAGAGTGGTTGAGCGGCCAAATAGATTTCGATGGCTGCGACCACTTCCCTGAGACGTCGTCTTGCCCAGCTGCGAACTGCTGCCGATAGCAGCGTTAGATTCTTCGGCTAGCTCTTCTGTTATTCGCGGTGGTTGGGTCAGGTGTGAATTGCTGGCTTTGCGCGTGACGAAAACGTCTTGGTAAATATCTCCCGTGGTATCGACGCTGTGTGAGTTGGCCCGTCGGCGAGTTGCGGTCAATATAGCAGGATCCACCGTCCTTTGTCGGTCTTCGTACGAGGGGGGTTGAATGTTGGACTGGAATACAGGCCAGTCTTGTCCAGAGATCTGATACTCCCGGCGAGGTTGCTCGATGCCCAGGGCGACCATCTGGCTCATTAATTCGATGGCAAACTTGTTATGACGCGTGAGACGGAGCAATTCATTCTGATAACTCGTCTTGTGAAAGCAGATGAAGTTGACCGTCATACAGTACGCATCCTCAAAGCTTCGAAGCTCCGTGATAATTTTGCCTGCGAAGTCGCGCTTTTGGGCCAAAACATATTCCGTCATGCGAGCCTCCAGTTCCTTGATCACGCTAGCCGGTGTGCCATATTTCATCCGAAGTTCGAACACGTCAGCCAGCTGACCACTGCGGCGGTGGTTAAGGATGAACAGCGTATTAAGTACTGAATTAGGAGCCTGCACCATATGCCCCTCCATCTTCTTGAACTCGGTATACAGTAAAGATACTTCGGTCACGTAGTAGTCATCTCCCCTCATCAATGTGCCAGTGTTACCATACACGGTGATACGGTCACCCACATCAAATGGATGCTTGACGAAGACGAAAATGATGGATTGGAGAAATTCTTGGGCGGTAGCCTGGAGAACCCACGCGAGACCAAGAACAGCCGTGCCTGCGGAAGCTAGAGCCGATGCGGTAGAGGCCGATATTATCGAAATGAACACAATGACCGTTATTATGAAGATGATGAAGAAGAAAACCCTGTCGAGCTTAGTGATTACCGAGTCAAGATCCTTGAGCGATGCGGCGATAGCCTTCTTCTCCCGGTGAACTTCATCGCAGAATGCCTCCAGTTCTTCCATGGAAACGTCTCCATTAAGATCCCGGTCAAACACGAGGAAAGCCGCCTCGGCATCTTCAGGATTCTCGAACGCTGGGTTCAAGTCTTGGGGTGTCAAAACGTCTGCACCGGGCTTCACGAAAGTACGGAAAAGACGTCTTGCCAAGACCTGTGCCGAATTCGTATTTCGGAGGAGTTCAGAGACTACTTTTCGGGGATGATTTCTGAGTTTGACTTCGCGTCCAGTAAAGTCACCAGCTACACGGTTTGCAATGTCACCAACCTTAGCTATGGTATCGCGAGCATTATTAGATATCAAAGCCATGGGTGTTCTGGTACCAGATCCGGAATTGTGGTTGTCCATCACTGACGCCGCTGGTACTAGTTTATCCTTGGAATGCTCATAGAGATAGACTAGGTATCTGTTATTAATATGTTAGCAAGCTTTCATACGAAGCAAATCCAATACTTGCATATCACTTACGCGGTACACTGTTTGTTGGTGTTGATTCGTGACGAGTATGTTCGTAAATGGAAAGACTCGGCAATCCATTGAATGAGAATCTTCTCTGCCCAATTCAAGATTGCCAAAACGAAAAATGCAATTATGATTTTATTCACAACGTCAATCCATTTGATATAGGGATATGCAGTGTCGGCTTCATCGGGCACTTGAGCTGGTATCTTGTGATTGTTAAGGATAGGATAATACGAGATAATCACAGCAAGCATCCACAGGAAGAGGGCAGTATGAAGCTCCAATTGGCGTCCGATTCCCCTCCACTTCTTAGGATTCCCCGAGCCGCAAATACCAGCAACAATGCCCAGGATGAATGGCATAATAGCAGTGAACATTCTGGCGGCCCACAGAGACAGCCAAACGACTTCTAGCCAGATGCCGAACCACATAATCTCTATGCCACCAGGCCCACCAACAGGCGACTGTTGGTATGCGGGTGAGAGTCTCCCCAGTAGAATCGGGATTAATAATATGACCCCGATAGGGACGCTGTATAAGAAATATCGAAACATCCGAGGTAGGCTCTTAATTCCTCTGAAGACCTTGTTCAGCTTGGTTGGGGGCTCAGTGGGCATCCCGATGGCTGAATTCTGGGTCGGTTGGTTAAACACATCCGATTTCTCTGTCTCGGGGCTGCGGGTTTTAGACTGGGCACGACGAAGGTCAAGAGATTCTCGGTTGCTGACTGCCTGTTCTGCCTGGAGGAGGGTGAGATCGTCGACGAGTCGGGTCGCCTGGTCCCTCGATTCGGTTTCTGATAACATTGAGTGATCTGTTGGCATATGACCCGCCCCTCCGGGAACCTGGAGGTGCTGAGGTCTCTCCGGGGGGTTATCCATTGGGTTCTCCCGATACTGCTCTGGAAACTGCTCCGTACTTTGATTTGTAGGATGCTCTGTATACTGATCGCTATACGGCATTGCGTACTTCTCTGAGTCTCCGGCGGTGTCCGAAACAGTCGGGGCATGGGTCAAGGTCGGCGAGCCCTTTTCGTCGAGTTCGTGATGTTCTCTTCCAGTAGCCATATTAGGTGATTTCTGTAGGTACCTAGTACCTTTCTTCTAGTTTTTAGGAGTAATCCTTTTGGTGATATCTCAACTTTGTCTCATCAGCTAAAAGCTATCGCTGCCTAGTGGCCCTCGAATGCAACTAGTGGTATGTGGATATTGAACAGATTGGGGCCAACGATTAAGTCATAAAGTATAAGATCAAGCTACCTCACGATAGAAGGTAACAAATGAAAGAATAACGAATGTCGAGTAAGGTGAAACTAAAATAAGTTTGTCGGATCCCAAGAATTGTTGTAAGTGTGTGTCCGGTGTTTGTGTAGATCTAAGGAATAAGATATAGATGCTACAGTAACATAACAGTAACAGAACACACAATGAAGCGGTTCTAGATCTGGCCCAATTCGAGGTAATACGATACGATCCTAGGTAACGGATCAATGCTGGGGAAGATTGACGATCTTGTACTGAAATTCTGGGCCGATAAAAAGAATGGAAATGGCTCACGAAACGAATGATCTAGTGGTACCCATCTTCTCGGGCCCTTTTTAAAAAAAAAGAGTGATGAACCGAGTTAGTATTATTTCAGGAGAAGATCATCGATACGTCCAAGATTTAGAGATGACGCGAAGTCAAGACCCACAAGACACAACACTAACTTGTAGCTTCCTATTCTTCCTCTTCTTCTTTTACTCTTTTTGGTTTTTTTCTTCTTTTTTTTAAAAAAAAAAAGGGGCCGCTTTGTTTGAATTTTTTTGGATAAGGGAATACAAATGCAGTACTTGACTAGGTACCTACCTAGTACCTTGCCCTGTCTTTAATGTTGGTGGTTGCTTGGCTTTCAGGAGTAGCCTATCTACGCTAAACTAGCGGCTGTCTTTTGTACTACCACAACCAACATTGAAGGCTGCCAGGTGCAACACTGCAACTATCACACCTAAGGTTAGTAGGTTCTAGATACATAAAAGGGAGTGGGGGGCAGCACTGTGAATTCTAGAGACCCATAACTATATCCATATCCATCAATGCAAATAAAGAGATTCACAGTCGGTGTACTGGAAGTAGTTAAGTAAAGTACTGCATACACCTAGTTACCTATTGATGGTATTAACCAGGTATATACCGTATACCGTATACCGTACACATCTATGCGAAATATGATAAGGGGTTCTAGAACTCTTTAATACACTGGGCAGATGAAAGGGGCTTCTTCTCAACGACATCTATGTATGTACCTATCCAAGTATCTACATATGTGATCTATTTTAAGACCTTTCAAGTTGTTTTGACATCCCTGACATGACTCAGTCATAAAAAAAATGCAAAGTTCGTTGGATCACAAGTCAGTCATGAGAGGCATAACGTCGTCCAAGTCTAAAAATGAAGATTTAAAGAATTAGACTGGTCAGTACCACTTTGCATTTACGTCAATATCATTTGATGTGAACGCACATACCCCCCCACACTAGCTATCTACTAATAAGTATCCCAAGTAATTAGCTGCCCAGCCATCTCCTCCTCCATCATGGGGCAATGGAGCTTGCGAACCCAAAGTTCCATTTCATCCGGCACAATGTCGTCATCGGCTCTTAACTAGGTGGCTGACATAAGTGAAAATACCTAGGTTAGTACAGTACGTAGTATTATAGTTATGCGTGTGAAAAATGCAAGAAAATGATCAATATTACATTGGTCGCTTACATTATGAACTTCAAATGTTTGATCTATGAATTCTCACAGAATTGATATAGATCTCCTTAAAATTCACATGCCACATTCTTGTTGTTCGATCGATACAGTATAAGACAACGACAGGCGCTAACTGTCTAACCCGACAATGCCGCGCCTATCAACGCAGGGGTAGTGGGTGTCAAGCAGGGCTTCAACTGCCATGAATTGCAACTCTTGTCGGAAGTAGGAAGGGAGGAGCGGAGCAGCGGGAAAACTGCCAGGTGGGAACACGCGTCGGGATCCCACGCAGCGTTATGGATGCCTTTAAAGATGATTGATGATTGGTCATTTGGATTGGTGCTAGCTAAGCCGCCTAATTACATAGATACCTACACTAGCAGCTACAAAATAACAGGTTGGCTACAAAGTCGGAAAGCTCTAACTACCTAACCTAGGTTAGTTAGTACCTAGCACAGTTAGCGAGCCCCAGTAAAAGGCCATCGGTGTTACGGAGCTTTGAACTAAGAGCCTCACCCACCCAAACAGGTTCAAGTCCCAGCTTATCATTTGCATCCTTGTCCCACAGCTCTCTTTCACACACACGCACTTCTCTTTCCATCCTGTCCCAAGCTGATCGACAGCATACATCACAATATGGATGACTGGCGAGCAGGCTATTAAGCGAGATCATCTCTCTACTATGTAAATGTTGTCCATTATCATCCTTCCACTACTTTAGATATATTACTAGTCTGTGGTAGGGGAGGGTATCGTTATCAACGCCATCTACGCCATCAATCCTACCAACTTACCAAGTATGCAAGAGACCCTTTAAAATAAGCTCTGTTGTTAAGTCAAATGTCGTCAGTGTCTTACCCAGATCGGTTATGTGCAGATTCTGACAGGCTCATGTTTTTCGCCTAATCGTTTATGAGTCTGGTACAACCCGAATCGGCTTTATTCTTTTATATTCTTCTTTTATATTCTTCGGATCGAAAATGAGTCTAAATCTAACGACACAGCGTCAAAGATAAAATCCCGAATATACAATACATATGTACATATCGTATGCACTATGTATGTATAGTGCGGTTACATTTAATCAATCTATTCAAAGTCCCGTTTCGGACCTTCTGCATATGTCCTCGGCCGACCCCGCGATCTCGAATAGTTGTAGATCGTCTCTTACAAGAGATCCCGCACCACGCACCAGCAGAGCAACCCGGAGTCTATCAGCTGGTGTGGGACACATTGCAGGAAACAATTGGGTCTTCCATCGTCATTGCATCAAGTTTCTACCAGTTGTTTGGAGGGGGGAAATAAAATAAAAAGGTCTGACGTGTTGCAGTGGAGTTGTGGTTCTCGAGCCATGGAAATAAAGAGAATTGTCTGCAGACATTTGTGACGAGCTTTGCAATTGGCTAATCACAATTTGTAGTACGATTTCTACGAGCATTAGCAGAATTTTCGTATGTACATCTGGACATCCATGGATTGATTCTACCTTAGATCTTCGTGCCGCAGCAACCTCGTACTATACTCCGCCGAGCATCTATCTGATTCTAGGCATTCAAATACATATTAAGGTTCGTATTCAGATGTGTGTACAGCATTGCTTGCAGAGAGCACAAGAAAAGGGAGTTCCCGCGTGGCTGAAAAATATATCCCGGTACCTGAATGATCTCCTTCACGTGTATAACAGCATGTGGCTACCTCGGTACATATATGCAAATTCAGGGGTTGAAGCTCCATTACTAGCCACTGATTATCCAAGGAGCCCATAATAGATATGAGTGTAAGTAGGTAAGGAGTGCTCAATGCCCCTTGGGATGTTAGTAACTACGTACTATCGTATGTAGATAAAACCCCCCAAGTTGAAGTTCAAAGTCTCTTGCGGGATGGCTTTCCGCAAAACGCCCAAAGCTCATTGCACGGGCGAAATAATTTTACCCTAGTGACCTCGTATATCTATCTAGGCAGCCCTATGAAAATAAAAAATTCGGCCGAGTTCACTAATCGCCTACCACCAAGTGGACACAGCGTCGTAAGGTCGTGCGTTGATAACACATTTCACGCCCGCTTACAAAGCGATTTCGCCGTCGACGCGACAATGAATCCACCCATGTTTTAGTATTCCGCGTGCTCGATGACCAGTCGATTGAAGAATATGTCACCAAGAATAGAACATTGACGAAGCATCTGGCTTGATGAAGCAGCGATTCTATATGCCTACCTAGGTAGTCATCGAAGCGACTACTAAACAGGTACCTAACCTTTAAGATGAATACGTGTTGGCTCGCCGACTTGTAAGATATATGACACATACTCATCAATGGGTATCGTGAGTGAACTTGATGATAGACCGTTTGAAGGTCCAGCATGTGAGATTGACGCCGTAAATAGAGGACAGTGAAAATATGGTCTCATGCTCGATATCACCTAATGCGATGAGTGATGTTGGAAACAGCTCGTCCAAAGAACTGCAATATCATGCCAAGAGGTGGAAAGTTATCATATATACCTACCTAGGCATATATAAGAGAACTAAGCACATGGTAGTAAGTACTATGAACCTTATTGTCCTTAATCTGATAATCGTATACATAAGGCAGTGAGTCATCCTTGAGTGCCCTCAAGGGTCTGTCTAGGGTCTTGATAGAACAAAGACAGCTTACATGTATGTAGCTTTCATAGTCACCGGGGAGATGCTAGAGAATCCCCGCGCAACAACGATGGTGCTCTGCCTCGTGGCAGCAAGCGCTTTCCCACGTCCAGGGTGGGATATGAAAGAGATTATTGCTATCGACCGAGAAGTACGGATCGCGAGACAATCTTGTCTCTCCAACATTCCCGGAAGGATTGAAAGTAACAGCTTGGTGGTAGTAGGAGAGACCCAAGAATACAGGATGTTCCCTTTATATACAAGAGAGTATGCCTTAGGTACCTGCCTAGCCACAGCGTGACTGTTAACCTCTTCATACTTGCTTAGAAGACACCCCTTTCACAGAGGCGTATACCAGATGTCTATGAAGATATCGAAAGACATGGAGAGGGTACGAAAGAGGTGTTTATTAACTGGCGGTGAATTGAGTTTACTTAGAAGCCCTGTCATTGAACGCGATAGGTGCATGGAAGAATTATCATGAATTGAAGTATGAGGGTTGCTGTCGCTGTTTGATGCCACTCATCTAATGAATCCCCTGATCATGCAACCATCCCTCCCCAGTCTCATACACAGGCACTTACTAGGTAGTCAAACGCCTTTGAATATTTCTATAGAAATTCCTTGGCAAAGTTTCACCAATGCCATTATTTCGTTGATTTCCTATTACCCCTTTCCAGTCGTATGACTGTATGACTCACTCGTAGGCATAAGACCTCCCCCTTTTACCCCCCTACCTGGTAAGAAGAAAATCTGCAGTTCGTCTTCAATCCAACAGGCACCATCTATGAACTCACTCTTAGTATGCGATTCTTTCCTTGATCCTTTACATAGTAGTATCAGTGTTGACATTCGATAAACTCCATTTACTTACGGCCTCCTTGCAACTGTAAGCTTGCATCCTAGGAGGTAAGCAAACACCTACCAAAATGGGCGACCTTAAACAATCTGATTGGCCGCTTGGGTCAGCAAACGCTCCTATTGCGACGATGACCGGGTTTTTATGACGTATCCTTGGCATGGTACATTTGTTGAGGGAACCAGAATGTCATGGTGGACGGATTCTAGTATATATATCTAGATCTTTGTTAAGGGTTTGTAAATTTGCATCTTGTTGATTGAATCCATCAATCATCAAATATCAAATATTGTCGCACACATATAATCAGCTTATATTGGGACTCTTTGGGACTGCTTCGTGAGCTTTTTCCTAATGATAATCGGGCCACTTAGACACGAGCGAGAAGTTAAAGGACCACAGTCGCGAGGCGATCGACAACTTGGGAGGCGATGACGCGCATTATGGCAATGAGGATCAGCCGCGTACCAAGAATGCGGCTGAGGAGATCGACGGAAGCCGTGTTACCTATGTTGAAGTGAGGGAGGCTTCGCTGAAATACTTAAAGGATACTGCAATAGGTGAGGCAAGACATGTTTAGCATGCCCACGTGGGATGGGGATTTGCGGGTTAATGGACTAGAAATAGCCAAGTTAGGCGAACAGTAAGACCTAAACATGTATGCAAGCCGACATGGTATCTGTAATCATGCGATCTTGTTCTGTTTCTAGACCTCCAAATAGGTGGTTCTAGAGCTCGACCCCTGTCCTTGCTTATAGTCATGCCTTGCATGGATCTCAAGTTACAACGGCGTGGAAGATCTCAGGATAATCGTGATTTATGTGGTGATCTCCCGTGATAGACTATTCTAATAGCTGATAGATACTAGGTAGAAATGACGATGACCTCGTTTCCTAAAAGTCAATTGAATTTTGACTTAATAAAGCAATCTTTCGTGAAGTGTTTGATCGATGATTTGTGAATTGCTTGGCAAGCCCGGCGCCCTCTCGCGTATTGGGATTATCGAGTTCAGCTGCTGCACGCTATACGCCACCATCCGTTGGAACCAATGGAGCGATGTCCAGAATGGCTAGGCATATTGCTAGGCCGCCGACATTGGAGACTAGCTGTGGCCAAAGAAGACCCCGGACTCGGACGCCCTCCTGGAGAGGATATCGCAAACTCGGTTTACTGTGCGTGACCTGCTTGGGCAACGTAACGTCTTGCATCAGGCTTTTCTCACGTTCATCAGAAATGAGACTCTACTTTCACCTTCGCAAACCACTCTCAACTCCCATCCATCTGCTCTTCTGAGATATAGAATTTTGGGACATTCATTTCACTATTCGTCTTAGACGACCTCGTCTGACTCGACCCCGCCGATTATTCATTGCGCGCTTCGAACCTGCAGTCGGTGTCCTACTCGCCTTAGGTATAGAATAATGACTCTTCCAGAAGGATGGGAGGCGGACTACGATGGAACGCGATGGTTCTATCGCTACAAGACCACAGGCCTAATGCAGTACCATTTCCCACGGCCAGGGGATGAGTTTCCGGAGTTGGTAGATCTCGGTTTCGGGCCGCTCAAATTTGCACCAGATACTCAGCACGTTGTCGAGCAACCAAGCACATATAACGATACAAATAACCATAGAAGTATATCGAACTTGGGTGGCGATGGAAAAAAGAAGGCGGCGATAGCTGAGGAAAAGGATGAAATGAGCGCAACGGGATACTTCGATCCAGACAGTTTCATGTACTTTGGCCTAAACGATGTAAGCCCAGTCGGAAACGAGAGTAATGGCGCCATCAACGCAGTTTCAGGAACGACGCCACAAGCCGCTCATAGTGTACCCGTCTTAGCAGAGCTTCATGAAGAATCGGTGTGGTCTCCAGTTGGCCACGTTGCTGAGCTGGCTACCTTTGACACGGTCAAATGCGCAGAAGAGTTAGCTCCTATCGAAATGGATGCGACACAAATCTCACAAGTGTCGATACCAAGAAAACCTCAACAGAATGGCCCGGCCGAGTTGGCAACGAATGGGAGTCCAGTGAAACGAAAGCAGCCGGCGCAACCTCCTATTCAAGAGAACACCCAACATGTAGAAGAATACCCGCTAGTTTCAGCATCGTTCGCATATCCTCCTTTGAAGACGACGACGACGATTAGTAAGCCGGCGGATAAGACCGAACAGAAAGTGCCTGCTTCTGGGCGTCCTGTAGAGAACGGGAATAGATACGAGACCTGGAAGCCTACCTCACAGGGAACCACCAGTGAAGAGCAAAAGAGTATCAAAAGGAAAACGATAGCATTGCCGAGCGTGTCGGTTCTTCAGTGCCAGAACACCGAACTTGGCTCGATGGAGAAGCGACATTCTCTTTCAGGGCCCATTCGGTCGAATGCCGATCTCCCTAGCATCCTACGACCACCTTCAGATCCTGGGCTTCCTCCCAAAGCCTTGACTCCTCCCCCACGGGCTGAATCTTCCCCTATTCCAGATTCCTTGAAACCCGCAGCAGCACCTTCAGGGGCCAACTCACAACAGGCTAATTCTCAGGGGAGTTACGCACATGTTAGTCCCTTGCGTTTGCCCGGATCTGGAGCAAGACATGAGAGCATATCCTTTCATATGGGCCCATCTGTAACAGACTCAAGCACATCCCAAATTCCATCAGTACTCAAGCCTGCAAATGGCCAACATAGCTCTCCATCTTCCGAGACTCAGCATTCGATACAAGCGCAGGCAGACAACATCCGCCCCGGAGCCCATAGGGTGCACACGCTACCAAGTCACTTGTCATCCCAATCACCGACTCTGCCTAAGCTGAGCGGGCCCGGCATTTATGTCTTTCAGGAGATCCCGACATCGCCCAGTACCGTGCTAGATAAACCAAATTCAGCCGGCCAGAATGCATCGCCGCAAAAGCCCCATCAGTCTACGGAGCAATCTCAACATATCATGTCCGAGCCATTCCCTGAAATCGCTCCGTTATCAATCTCAAAGCCTCAGCAGCAAACAAACCTAAACAAGCCCTCGACGAATGTCGATGCTATTCCTGCGGGTCTTAACAACACAAGGCCATCAAATCCCCAAAAGCCAAGCACGCCAAATGCTTCGAATAGCCCTCAATCTAGACCTTCTCAACCGATCGGGCAACAAAAGATCGAGGCCGGTCAGACTCAGGGGCAGACACAGGGACAATCTGCGCAACCGGCTTCTGTGACATCTTCTCAGGGGATGAATAGTCAGCAGATATCAAATGTAATTCACCCTACTCCACTCCCAGGACAAAGACCCAGTTCTACCATACTCCAGCATAAGCTAATTCGAAAACCCGTACTACCACAGAGGCCCGAGGAGACTAGCCCTGTTCCCGGCACTCCAAATAACTCTCAGGGGTTCCATCCGCCCCAGCACACTCCTCAGATGTCACCTGGGCAGCAAGCTCAAATGCATGGCCAACATCGACCGTCGTCGATATCTGGGTCATTACAGCACTCAACAAGCGTACACTCTACCGCAGCTGGCACACATGCACAGGGTCGGCCACCTCAACATAGTATCTCACCGGTGTCATCTCAAGGGCAACATCATCGTCCAAATTCGATATCTCAGGTATCTATTGGAAGTGCTTCTCCAAGCAGTGCATCCAGTCAACCCGGAACCCACAACTTCGGTCAGGGGCAGAATCATAATAGACCAAATAGTATGATTTCCGGACAGAATAGGCCAAACTCTACGTCGGCTCCTATGGCCTATTCCGTCTCTCCGCTTCAGAGTCAGGTATCGTCACCAGCTCCGTCAATGACTTCGTTCGCTAGGCCGCCGTCCTCGGCATCTACACATAGTCAGGTTACCGTACAAGGAGCTACTAATAATGCTCATCAAACTTCACCTCATATCACTAGACCGCCAATGACACAAGCGTCCCATGCTCAAACGAATCCCCAGTCCGCCCAGTCCCCCAGTCCTCTCTCGACAGGCAATTCAACCCCTTTGCCTATGCTTCCAGGTCAAGTGAAGCCTTTGCCATCACAAGTAGGATCGCCTCCTATTCCAGTGGCAACTCAGTTCCCTTCACTTTTGGCACAAAGTTCACAAGCCCAAAGTCAGGCAGCACCAATGAAACCCTACCAGCCGCAACCAGGTGGTCAGCAGACACCACAAGCCACGATGTACAGCCCAGCTCCACAGCATGTACAAGGCTATCAGACGAATGCTTCGGGAAGCCCGATGAACGGACAGCCAATGCCACAACATGGACAGATGCGGCCACCTATTCAAACGAACCAGCAAAACATACCTGTTCATTCACCTACGAATTCGGCGAGCCCAGCACCATATTTATACCAAAACATGGGGCAGCCCAACCAATCACCCAACGGACAACCAACAACCAACGTCGTACAAGGAGTCACCGTGCAAGTACAGACATCTCAGGTATCCCAGTACCCCAACGTCGCGAACGGACAAGGGCAGCAACAACAGCAACTCTTGCAATCCTCCGGATTCCAATACACCTTCCCCAACTCACCAGGCCAAGGCAAGCCCTTCAACTCGACGCAGGCCGCCGCCGCTCTGTCGGACGCAGGCAAGAAGATGAAGAAGTGGGCCAAGAAGACCTGGCAGAACCCAGCCATGAAGCAGACAGCTGTTGCTATAGGCGGCGCGGTTGTGGCCGAATCCCTAGGCGCAAACGGTGCTACTGGCGCCTCTCTGGCGAACCGGATTTACAGCACCTCGCAAGCTCAAGCCGGCCCTCAGAATGCTCAGAATGCTCAGGCACAACGACCACCAGGCCCGCAACATGCCTTTACTGCACCGCCGCAGGCACAGAACTTGCAGAACCCAGGTGTCGCGTCTCCATACGGACAAGCTGTGAACCGGCCGCAGATGCAGATGCAGCAGGGCATGCAGCAAGGCATGCAACAACCGATGGGTATCCAGACTCCTGGTCGGCCGCCTGTGGTGCAGAATCCAGGAATGGCAGGGACGCCGGGGTTCAATAACGCTCCACGACCGCAACCGCAACCAGCCATGATGAACCAGAGACCTCCCGCGCAAAATCCACAGCCTCAAGTCGGACGACCACCAGTACCTCAGATGCAGCCGGTGCAACAGCCTAACGCTCTAAACCAGCCGAATTACCAGACACCTCCCCCGGGCCGACCATATATGCAAGGTCCTCCTCCCAACCGTCCGATGTATCAACCAGGCTACCAAGGCCCTCCCAACCAACCCCCTTACCAACCTCAAGCTCAAGCTCAGGGAGGTCCAGATCCCTATGCGGCGATAGGATCCACGATCGGAGGGGCTATCAATGCGTTTACTTCCGGTGGGAATAACTCAGCGGGCTCTGGTAACAACTCCCAGCAACAACAACAGCAGCAGCATCACGAGCCCCAGCATGAGAACAATTCCGCACAGCATTACGCGGACCAGTCGGGGCAGAATCACGCGCAAGAATCGCAGCATCACGAGAGTCAGTCCGAGCAACATCACGGAGGAGGACAATCTGAGCCGCAGTATCACTCCGAGCAGCAGCAGCAACAGCACGAACAATACCCCGGGTCTCACGAGCAATCCTACAACGGACAATCGTATGAAAACCACAACGAGCAGCAAACCGCAACCTACTCCGAGCAGCAGCAGCAGCAGCAGCAGCACAACGAGTACACCTCCGAGAGCCAAGTGACAAACGTAGACAGCTCGGTCTCAGAGTCGTACTACGCGCCGCAGTCCGAAACCACGATCATCAACAACAACAATGACACGATAATCAACAACAGCAGCAACGTGGAGAACACAGCGGTAGCCGAGACCACACAGACGAATAACAACTACACGGACAACAGGCAGACGAACTATACAGACAACTCGCAAACCTTCGACACAGCAAACCCGAGCAGCAACTACCCTAACAACAACACCGCGACCGAATCGAGCATGTACGCCGACTCGACCGTGTACACCGATACCACCAACAACAACTACCCCACCACCACCTCAACAAACGACCTGAGCTCGAGCAGCGGAGGAGGAGCAGGAGGGGCGGCCTACAGTGACACCGCATACACCGAAGCCGGATACAGCGGCACCGCTTACACAGACACCACTACCACCACCACCACCACGGACAACATGAACGCGCAGTACACCGCCGACGCAGCATATACCACCGACGCCACATACACCGACGCCACCACCTCCTATGCCGACGCCACCTACACCGACACCACCGCCTACGCCGACACCACCGCCTACGCCGACACCACCGCCTACGCCGACGCCACATACACCGACGCCACCGCCTACGCCTCCACCACAACCGTAGACGTGAACATGGAGATGAGCGTGGACGTGAACGTGAACGAGAGCATGTACATGGACCCCGGCCTACAACCAGACGGGGGGATGGTGATGGAGCAGCAGCAGCAGCAGCAGGAGAGCATGACTTACGAGAGCAGCAGCGCGTACGTCGAGGTGGATTATTCGGGTGGCGACTGGGGCGGGGGGGATGGGGGTGGTGAGTGGTGAGTGGTGATTTATTTGGTGGGAGTGGTGGTTAGGTTAGGTTAGGTCAGGTCAGGTTAGGGATAGGGATAAGGACGTAAGGGCTTGGAGGCGTTATTTGTATTTTGTATTTTCTTTGGATAGGTTACCTAGGTACCTACCTACCTAGGTTAGTATGTAGCGTGATACCATTGTATTCAAGATTTTCTTCTCAAATACGGGATCTACTATTAAGTGCCTGAATGAAAAGGGGTATTCCTCTATACTTGCCCAGTACCTACCAGGTAGGTACGCAAGAAAACGCAGTTAATTCAAAGCATGCCTAAATGTGATATCTCACATATCGCCCCAGATGCGTCAGCCACGCCATGCATATCATATCATATCGTATCGTATCGTATCAATTGGTATCATAATATATATACAGACCGTAAATCAATAGGTACACAGTGGAGAGGTAGAGTATTCCTTTACTTCAAACGGCTCAGGATCTCTTGGGCCTTTTCTACAAGCCCCTTAATCTTGCCTACTTCCTCTTGGCTTACTGTTTGTCCGTCTCTAGGTGTTTGGCCCTGCGACAACGCCTCGCTAACAACGCCTTCGACGCCACGAACGGCCTTGCGACCTTCTTCTCTAACTTCTCCCTCCCAGAACTTTCGCGCAGCCTCCCATTGTTTCTGCATACGCCTCAGGCTCCACGCTATGCCCAACGCAGCTACGGCGCCAGCTTCGTAAACAGTAGTTGTCAAGGTACTGAAGTAAACCAACACACCCAGTGCGGTAGTAAGCCCTGAAGTGCTAAGTGTTTGAAGCGTGAGCTTCTGCGCAAGCGCCTGCAAGGCAGGAATGGTCTCAGTTTGAAGATAGCGTCGGGTATGAGGAATGTTCACCGGCCAAGGAGTGCCGGCTGATATATTCTCTTTGGATTCGGCATCTTTCGCTGAAGTGGCGTCCTCATCAGTGGTTTTGGATATAGGATCGGTAAAGGGTCCTAGTGAGATACCGGCTTCTTTCATCCTTCCGGCAAGGAATATGGCACTCCTCTCTGACTCTGTTAGGAACCTCTGGCTTAGTATATCGTTGGTAAGCATCCCTACGTCATCCACGCGCCAAAACAGTTTCCACCATCCTAATTTGCGCCACCTTCTACTAGAGAACGCAAAGTCAAGCTGGTCCTGCAACTCGCCATGTGCACTTTCGGCCCATTTGTCCAGGCTATCCTGAAGTACCTTGGTAGGCCCGGGAGACGTTATAGATGACAACGACGAACCAAGCTGACGGGCATTATCCTTTTCTATGGACACGATAGTACTGTTGAGTAACGAGGCAATGAGCTCTTTCACGGGCGGTTTCGTTATGCCTTCAGAAGAAGCCATGATGTCGGCCTTCAGCCACTCAACCAGCTTAGGGATGTTGCTCTGAAACCATAGGTGCTCGAATTCAATGGCATTTTTGAGATCCTGGCGAACGATTTTCAATCCAAGAGTCGCCGTACTAACATCGATAGGGGTGAAAGGCAATGGCGAGGAATCAACTGGCTTATAATCCGGCAAATTTACCGTGGCTGTGATTACTTTTTGGCTTTCTAGAGTTGGCATTGCCACTATTGATGCGGCGCCTAATATGCCATTGGCCACAATCAAAGCCTTGTGCACCGGCGTGCTGATCGGGGTGTGTCGTCCCGTACTAGACGTAGGAATATCGATAGTAGGAATGAGGACCGAGTTTTCGAACCCCTCTAAAGCGTGTATTTCCTGTGCAGAGACAAAGGGGGTTGTCTCCATAAGCAACAGTTCAAGATTATGTCCATTCAGGGTTGCAGAAGAGACGCTGACTTCGCGCAATAAATTTCCCTTCGAGATGGATATAGAGGCGGGGTCCAGCGGGACGTCGGGCCCGACCCGTATAATCATTGGCAGCGCCAGATCATGACCCTCAACCTCTCTCTCCCATTCTTCCTCGGGTTTTAATGGGTCCGCCAGCAAAAGCTTTAACACCTGTTTTACAGTCTGGCTAGACTCAGACCCGTTTGTCAGACCCATGATAGCAACTCGTATGGATTCACTGCCCGGCTGCTGCCGTAAGCCATTGAGGGCTAACTGTAAACGAGAAAGATTGACATAGTTGGAAGCATCATTCTGAAGCTCCAGGAGTATATTCTCTAGTTCCTTTCGAGGGTCGGTGGTAGCGCGGCTAGTGACGGTCGGAATAGTCGAGGCAAAGCGACGAGGACTTTGCGCTTTTCGTCTCAGACGACGATTCGGTTCCCCACTAGATCGACTCGAAAGAGAACAAAAAAAGCATACAGAACTTTTCTCGGCGCTTTTTGTATTGTAGTAGAGTGAGGTACGACACCCAATGGGCCGTAGACTCAATCGAGGAGGCATGTCCTGCCCTCGAAATAAGAGTAGGCGCAAAGCTTTTGAAGCTTTTAGATTTTGCAAAACTCCAAATTGGAAAATTAAAAAAAAAAAAAAGGCCGCTGTGACGTTTGAAGCTTCTAGGTTAAGCTGCTTTAGCTTTCGGAACTGTTGCATCTATCGGATTAACTTCGGCTCCAAGCTGGGAATATCTACTTACCTAGGCAGGATCGACCGGGATCTCCAGAGCTACCTAGCCTATGAATCTATGATCAATGGAAGGCACTAGACAGTGCCACGAGCGACCCACAGCAGAGAACCTTGAAGGATGCAGGTACGAAGGTACATACATACTTCCATACATAACATTTGGAGGAAACCCCCGCCAATGATTTATTTGGATACGTTTGACTTTCAACCTTCTTTCAGATCGACACCACATAAACTAGCTTGTCCCAACGCTAATACACTTAATTGTGCTATCAGTCAAAGGGTTCTGTGTATAACAAACACATATGACACCTAATACATAATACACTAATAAGACACAAATCTCGAAGAGAATTCCATTTCACACCCTCATCACTCCAAGTGATATCGCAACAAAATGGCTCAGTCGACAGCCCACCGCCGTCTCCTTCAGGAGTACAAGATGCTGACTAACAACCCTCCCGATGGCATCACGGCTGGTCCAGTGAATGAAGATGATATGCTTGTCTGGGAAGCCCTGATCCAAGGCCCCGAGGGCACTCCCTTCGAAGGCGGCATCTTCCCTGCTGAGCTCAAGTTCCCCAAAGACTATCCGTTAGCACCGCCCAAGATGACCTTCTTGGGAGAGATCTTCCACCCCAATGGTTCGTGCCTTCTTTGAACCCTGTATATGCGTAGCTATGTAATTTACATGTCCGCTAACGTCACCCCATTTCCAGTCTACCCAACCGGCCTAGTCTGCATCTCCATCCTGCACCCGCCCGGCGACGACCCGAACCACTACGAGCACGCCTCCGAGCGATGGAGCCCGATCCAGTCCGTCGAGAAGATCCTCATCTCCGTCATGAGCATGCTCGCCGAGCCCAACGACGAGAGCCCGGCCAACGTCGAGGCCGCTAAGATGTGGCGAGATCGGCGGCCCGAGTACGAGAAGAAGGTCCGAGACGGCGTCCGTCGCATGCTGGGTCTCTAGTTGGACCAAGATAGATCAACCAACCAATGACCCCTCTCTCTCTCCGAGCTCGCCAAGCCCGAACATCCGCTTGGACTGGTCTTGCAGATCTCTAGCGTAGTATGCCCACATGCCTGAACCTGTGCTTCCGACGACAACTTCGTTGCCGAGTCATTAGCTTCTAATAATAACTCTGCGGCCCAGTCACCTGTTCAACCGCCGATGAGAGGGCCTTGTAAGAGAAGATAAACGTTCGTGATCATGAGAAAATCCGGTTAAACAGTACATACCATCCATGACGAGGCAAGAAACCATTATTTTGATTACGGGAGAAATAAGGGCTTGGGGATGAGAGGTGCTTGGCATACTCATGGTGGTCGGATACAACTACGTACCACCTACCTTGTTATATCAGCGAGCTACTAATCACGGATTCACGATGTCTAGACGGGCAATGGATGGGTGGCTTTGTGGGCTTTTCTTATATTGCATAGCGAGAGGTGTTCTGGGCCTGCATTTCATTGACACTATCACCCACCAGGCATTTCAACTGAATTTATGGAGGTAGGCAATCATCTACCTTTCACAGTCACCATATCTTCAACAACAATCTATTATGAAAAATGAAATAAAGTCAATTAAATTCATTGCTGTCGTTTTACTATCGCGAGCAAGACATCATCATCAAAACGTTCCATTCCGTCGTCCCCTAACCCTTTTCTCTCAATCGTAACGCCTCCTGATGCAAGGTATGCTAGTGTGTTTCGCCTCGTGTGAGGGAGTATGCGTGTAATAGTATGTAGTTCATCAATGCTATCGGCATATAGCTGTTTCTCGGGAAATTTTTTTTTCTTTTCGTTCCAGATCCTAATAACTAAACCCCTCCGTGTCGTATCGTATGCATGTCGCTAAACTTAAGAGATCATCATGACATATTCGCACTACCTGGGTAGGTAGGTAGGTAGGTAGGTATCAGAGGTGCTTTTTAAGTTCATGGTTGAGTTGATCTAGGCCGCCTCGATCGTGATGTTGGCGACGTGAGACTGGATGGCGGTCAAGCCGGAAGCCTTTATTCATTACATGTTAACATCTTACACGAAGAGAAAGGAGAGAGAGAGAGTGGACGAGGGAGTTGAGTTTACTTACACCGACCAGATAGGGGATGGCAGCGTAGAGCTTGAAGTCGCCGGTCTGGAAGCCCTTGGGGATGGGGACGTCGACGGTGAACTGGCCGGGCTTGGGGACGTTGTCGGGGAAGAGCGGGGTGTAGGCGATGCGCTGGCCGATGTAGAGCTCGTCGCCGACGACGGGGTGGTTCGGGGTCAGGCCCCAGATGATGCCGAAGTCGTCCCAGTTCTGGATGTAGATCGACGCCGTCAGCGTCGCCTTGATGGTCGTGCCGGCCTTGGCGGACTCCGGCGCGGCGAGGTTGGTGATGTAGGCGGATGCTAGGGGCAGCGCCGCGAGGACGCTGGTGAAGAGGGATTTGACGGAGACCATTTTGATGGTTGGGTTGGGTATTCTTGTTGGTGTTTGGTGAGATTAGGTTTGTAGTTTGGGATGGGGAGAGATGTGAGAGTATGGGCAGGCAGGTAGGTAGATTATATAGATGTTCTTTCAGAAGTAGAAGATCCTCTTTGTGTTCAAGTTGATGTGATATACGAGAAATTTTTGTTTGTACTGAGTAACGTGGGCTTTTGTTCGTCTTTTATATCAACGAGGTGAGTAGGTAGTTTATTACTGCCCCTTGCTTAAAGCGCCCCCTTATTATCGTGGCATCACTCATCATCTGGCTTTACCTAACTTGTTGCTGGTGTGCTATTGTTGCTGCTTGCTGCTGCTTGCTGCTCCCCCTGCTCGTGAACGATTCGAGGCACGTTGTTCCGCAGGCAGGCCCTTTGCTTGTCGTCCACTTGGATAGCTTCGTCAAAGGGATCCTTCAATACGAAGTGATCGACATGGGCTGGTTGGTCCCCCGGCAAAAACCTGAACAACCAACAGGTAAGGCTCCGGATTGGTTTCTCCTAGTTCAGCTCCGCTTCGCAGGTTGCTTGAAATAGAAGTAAATATAGTGGTAGGTTATGCAATGCACTAAGCGAAAAGGACCCTTACCTACATATTGGGTACGGTACGGTACGGTACTGGCAGAATCGGTAACACGGCAGCGAGTTTCCCTTGCCACCCGCACAAGCCTTGATCCATAGACAGCTAGAATCAAACTTGTGCCGTACTATCGGGTTCTTCGGCGGTGAGCTGAGGTGAGTTGTGTAACCTACCTATACTATATACCATCAAACTGGCGGCACTTTTCATTGGGATTTGTCATATGAATGGGATCGATGGATACTATGTAGGACCATTGTAGGTAGGTACACGGGCCGGAGAGGTCTAGATGTCTCTTTCTGCCCTTCGACTTTTCAAGAAGTTACATAATATCCATATGGATACCACTACTGTTACCAGTGACTGTTGGTGTTATGGCATGATTGTTCATTTATCACCGCAACGTCATCTATAATCGGATGTCCGTATAAGTGCCTAACAAATTGATATCTCAATACATATGTATGTAAGTAAAGAATGTACTGTGTATGTATCCACCTGGGAGTATTATGTTGACATCATACATGTCATATTAGGGTTGTTACATGGCAGTACTTGCTAGCATTGTTAACATCCCCTGTAACAAATAAGCTTCGAGTCAGCATGCTTAATTATGGGTCCTATTCCGTAACCTTGGAACTATCTTAAAGCTCTAGGGCTGCTAAAGTTGTCGGTTAGGCACCTAAGACACGCTAAGCAGGGCCTAGTCGGCAGTTTAGCAGGCGCGGGACAGTGGCTACGACGCTGTTTCTGATTTCTACTACGCCGTACTATGGCTGCTGTACCACTAAATTGAAGATGTCCAGGTGGTGTGGTAGGTGCTAATACGCTATCCATTGTGCTGATTCCATCATACATAACCCAGGTAGGTAAGCAGCCCACGTCAGAATTCCTACGCTACAACTTTTCCAGTTAACTATTTTTTACGAGCAAGCGAGTAACTATCATGACATCTGGACTTTCTATTCAATATTGCCTACATACCTAACCTAGTAGTAATCACATAATACACATATATGTAAGGTTATGAGGTAAGTACCTAGTATTCGTACCTAGATATTAAATACATCAGACATGTACCTGCAATTAACGCGAATGGCTGAAAAATGCAACGTGACTTCACAACCCACTAACTAACAAAGCCCCAGTGGCTCGATCCAACGTGACAGCGCGCCATCGTGGCAGGCCGTAGGGCTGAGAACCCAAGACGGGATGCCCAATTTATTTACATCTACATACATCATTTATGGGTAGTGGTGGCGCAGCAAAGGTTAGTTGCTCAACATATGGCCAGCGCTCAATACGAACGACATCTCAAAAGTACTCGATATTACCAATCGAGATAGATAGATTCCCAACGTACTCTATGTAAGCTATTAAATGCCTACCTACCAACTATGTAGGTTAGGTGTGCTACTAGTAGTATATAACATACCTAGCTAAGCACAAAATATATCCCTACCTACTGACGTGTGCAAGTCCTAACTACAATCCTACGCACCTCCAAGATTGGCCCAAAATGACGCGATAAGTCGAAATGTCTGTAGAAGAGTAAGATGGTAGGCGCGTTGCTTACTTAGTAGCGAATCTGACAAGGCAACACGAGGATCTTGTTCGCAATCGCTTCGTGCGAGATGCGCTTTTCAACGAGCTACGCTTAGATACGGTAGGAGGCGTATGCAGGTCTGTATGCAATATACGCGCCTAGGTAGGCTAGATATGTAGGAGGCTTATGCCTACCTAGCAGTCTTTACGAACTACGATTCATCTTCACGTGTAATAAGGTCTCTACGCGGGCATTAAATAATATATGATGGACAGTCGTGTGATTGTATTGCTACTTCAACTCCTGTCCCTTTGAGTAATCATCGTTCGTCGTTGCGTTCCTAGCTTACATCCCCCCTTCCCTATTTTTTCTTATTTTCGTATTTTTCCCATTCACAACCCTCAAACTAGGACGTCCAGTAACCTTCAATAAGCCATCTCCTTCGAGCAATTTCCTTGCGGCATGGTATGTATTAGGGAGAATCTAGAGGCATCCCCCACACATCCCGCCTCGAAATTACCATAGGAAATGCTCGAAGCGGCGGCGGCCAGCTGCTGGTCGCGGCTGCTGATGGCCATCGATACGGTTGACGGGGCAAAAGGCCATGTAAAAGACCACTCCCACTCCGATTAGGAAAAGCCCGCCGCACGCGCACATTATTCCGATCGAAGCGCCGTCCATCTCTGGCATTATCAATGGGTTTCTTCGATTTTTTTGGTAGGAGAGATCCTGTTTCTTGACACTCCGGTACCGTGATAGTCGATAGAGGCTTGGCCGGGTCAACTGGGAAGTATTAGATCGGGCCATTATTCAATGGTGTTGAAGAAATGATGATAATGGAATAGGTAAGGGAAATGGAAAATATACTCACAATAGGCAGATATCGCCGAGACAGAGGTCTTCTTATCGGTAGGTACTTGAAGGCTTGGCCTGGTCAACTGGGAAGTGTTAGATCGGATCGATTATTCAATGCCCAGGTGGTTAATGAGGGGGTAATGATAATAAAATAGGTAAGTAAAATCAGAAATGTACTTACAATAGGCAGATATAGCCTAGGTAGACAGAAGTCAGGATGCTTGTTTGATATCAGTTCTGGGTGAGGGTGTATTTTTGTTGATATCTTGCAGTTGCTGATGCTGGTGAAGGTGAAGGTGGGGATGGGAAAGGTTCAAGAACTTCTGGGAAATTTTACCTGGTTTATATAGTTTTCTGGAAGGTGGGGAAATTGCACAATCACAAACCTCATCGTCGTTGAATGCTAGATAGGGTTAGGGCAAAGAGCCCCGGGGCAGGTGCAATGTACAGAGCGGAGCACCGGCCGGGGTGGAGTGGGTACCCCCGGGGGCGGCTGCCGAGAATCTAGGCTGGAATGTTTAATACGGGGCAGCCCTCCAGGAAGGTGCTTCCTACTAAAATCTCTCCTTTACCAGATGTACAAGTAGTCAGGTTGTGCCACTGTGTGTAGAAGTTTTCCCATCAGAAAGTATACCTAGGGTGAAGCAGAGTTCCATGACACTCAGAATGGTGCCAGATATCTTCACTGTGTCATAACCTTCTCAGACAGCCATAGTAGACAGTAGGTACTAGAGAGATGAAAGGGAAAGGGGGGAAGGGAATGCCAGTTCCATTCAGCTAGATGCCTTTCAAGAAGCCTCCATTCTTACTAAATAAAGGGGCTTATTCCTAGATTACTGAGATTTTACTACTTCACCTGGACATGTATGAAAAGGTCTAACCTAACCTACTGAGGTCAAGAGATCTAGCTATAAAATGACTTAACATCTCTCAGCTTGGCTTTTATTGGGGATCTATATAGATTCTCTAATTGTAGTCCTCGGTCTACCTTCAACACTCGAACCGATTTTAGATCCGTTGCAATTGGCCTCCATTCAGTACTTCACCCCGAATCATCATTTCCATGTCACTTATCTATTTATCTGATCAAGTAAATATAAATGGGCCCATAAATAATCAAATATCTATATGTGGAAGTGAATTCTCAATGATAGTATACAGTTAGTTGGTACCTAAGCACCTAGTCAAAGCAGATGATAATCTCTCTCTGCCACCCCCTTACCCCAATTTTGATGAGTGCAGCCTTCTCTGGCTACAAAGCACACGACTTCCACGCACTTAAGCTTGGAACGGAACCCCGACGGAGTTGCTGGCATCACGCTTTTCTTCAACCCCCTCCTCCTCCTCGGGATCAACAGGCTCATCACCACGCATGGTAACCCAGGCAGAGTTTCCATCCTCGGAGTAGCTTGCGATGTCGCGGACCTTCTTTGGGTTAGGAACCTCGCTGAACGGACCGTTCTTCCCCGTCGAAGTAAACTGGTGGCCGTCGTTCTGGCATGTCGGGTTGGGACCGCACCAGTCCTGGGATCTGAGAAAGCTTAGTACCTAAGCGCAACAGCCAACAAGCAGGAATATTTGTAATATAAGTAAGAGTGGGGGGTAGGGATACTTACAGCTTGCTGATGTTATCCCACTTGGTCTGCCATTTGTCGCTCGAGGTTCCGATCCCCTTGACCTTAGCCCCTTGCTCTGTACGGTGTCATTCTCACATTGCTCAATTCATATGTTTTGGAGTCTGTAGTTGAGTAGGTAAAAGGTACTCACTGCTCTGCTCAGTGGACGGAACACAACGCAACTGAACATATCCATAGGAAGTCTGCAATCCTCCCGAGGCAGACGAGGCATAGGGGTACTCGTCAGGCGAGGTCGCTGCCTGCCCACTCGGAGTTGTCCAGGCCCAGTCATGCTTTTCACAAGGCTTGGAGCCGTAACCCCAGGCTCGGCGGTTGGTATCGCCGTATTTCGCCGAGGCTGCGGCGTCCTTTTGGTTCCCTCCGTCGAGCACCGCGGGGAACTTCATGCACTTGATGGCCCAGCAGGTGTTGAGGCAGATCTCGGGCGTCTGCTCGCAGTCATAGGTGATGTCCTTCCCAGCGGCGAAGGCTGCCACGAATGAAGTTACGAAAAGGATAGACTGACGCATGGTGGAGAATGTAAATAGGATGGTAAAGTAAAAAATGTATATAACTTTTGGTATGACTGCCTAGTTAACGACTAACTGAACGACTTTGATGAAGGTTTGGAATACAGCATCAGATTCAGTTCGAGTAACGACCCCCTTATATATTCCATTTCGTCACACTTATTCACATCTCGTGGCCCTTTGAACTATAGAGCTACATGGTTCTTCGTCAGCTGAAGCATCCCGATTGAATGTTCATCAATCCATATCTGACCAAATTGTTAAAGATGAGGAGATGTAAGGAAGATCGCAGTCTGCTGTGTTCGTGCCTAAAATTAGGTTCAAGTACATCGATCATCCCTATTTCGCACATTCAGACCTGAAGGTTTGTTTTCTGAAACGGCAGCAACGTACCGCAGTGTCAGCTTACAGGTCACCATGTGCTACTTTCATATCCCACATCGGCGGTGCCGCCCTGGATGCGAACTTCTTATCAGGTGAATGGTGGCATGCCTTCAAATCCCCAGATTAAGAACAGATGTGCAAGTATTCTCCTTTACAGCCTGCCTTGGTGGGGGAAATCTTCTCACTATTGCCTTTTCTCGTCAGATTATATGTACAGTAGCTGCAAATCTTCATCTAATGTAAACCCCCTTAATCGTTTGTGGTAGGTCATGCGTTACGATGTCAGCATTATCTAGTAAGCATAAGATTTTCTACAATAAATATCAACCATTACATCAATACAGGTAAAGAAAACAGGAAGAGAAGTAGATAGCGTTTTGTGTAAGCTTTGGTGCCACATTTCCGGTACCGAGTGACGGAAAAGCCGGTGAGAAACCTCTATTAAAGGGGTCAAGCCAGAGCAGTAAATGCGTACTGCCGAGATAGGCCAACAAAACGGTATAGGATTGAGGTATTGCTGTCACAGCTACACAGAGAACAAGCCTGGCTTCTAGGAATCCATTTTGGACATCAAATTTCAAGTTCGTCGCTGGCCATTCTCAGAAGCCCCTATTCATTGGGTTACGTGATATGCACAGTAGGTACCTAGTACGGTTGACTGCATGAGGCCGTGCTACATGAGATCGGGTTACCCAAGCCAAAGTGCATATAAAAGTAATATGACGTATTCGGTTGCCATTAATGCATATAAGCTGTCATTCTTTACCCCTTTACTTACATGGTTGAGCGTTGTACCTGCCTACAATTGTAAGCACAATATGAAGGTACATACAGTACATAACTCATAACTCATAACTTCAATCTTCTCTTACTCTTTACAACTTTCACCATATTCATCTTATACGCTGCAACAACATCATGCCACCAACACTACGCAGCCACTCTGGGGAAGTGGTTAAATTTCCCATCATTTGCACAGCTAATATTGATCCCAAAGTATGTACCCTTTTTTTCTCATTTTTCATGTTCATTTTCTCTACCAATCTATCTCTTGAAAATCGTACTCATCTAGTAACACAACCACCTTAGGTGTTGAACGATGTGCTCACCGAGCGCTTCGTGCTTGTGGGCAAGAGGGACATGTCAGAGCTACTGACCAGCGATGACAAGCCCATCAACTCATTTGAGACTCCTTTCAATCTCAAGGTCCCCGAGATTCTGCAGGCCGTGTCGGAGTTCATGGACGCAGCAAAGACCAAGAAAGGTATCAGCAAAAACACCTTCGTAGTCTTGGATAGCACCACCGCCAAAGACAAGACCACTTGCCAAGTTGCGATAGACAGCCGCCACGAAGAGGAGCTTTATTGGGACTATGTGCCATTCCGTTGCGAGCTGTCGTCGCTTATCCCCGCTCTAGAAGCGCTCGAGCATGGGGACGGAACCGCAACTGCGCGAAAGCTCCGGAACGAAGCTGCTATGGTCGGCGGCGTGTGGAAGCAGCAGCAAGTGGATGCGGTGAGAAATAAACAGTCACGCCTTGCCGCGGCAGACTTCCCTAAAAGTGAGGCCTGGGATGAGTACTGCGGTGCAGAATCCTCTGAGTCGGCTCTGCCCTATGTTCCAGTTTTCCGAACTGCGGATATCAGTCTCGAGGTATATAAACCAAATCAATAAGCAATAGCCACCCAGACCATTATCGCTAATACTAGTTTTAGACGCTTAATGACTTCCTAGAGCAGACCTACGATCAAGATTGGGGCGACGAAGAGATAGCCGACCCCCGAGTAGCCTTCGTCACGTCCCTATCACCCCCCTACCACAACGGCCCAGCATCCGCCCCCCTGGGAACAAAGCCTCCAGTTCCAGAAATATTCTCAGGGCTCCCTGCCGAGGACTGCGATACCATCACATGCAGCTGCTTCCCCGCAGAGGATCCCGAACTGAACTACAACCGCTTCATCGTCCTGGATGAGTACACCGAGACAGAAAAAACGGTCATTATCGCTTCGAATGCGGAGTTGGACGGCATCTTGCAGCTGGCACGGTGCGACTTCAAGGGAGCGCTGATCCAATTACTCGCACCTCAGGAGACCGGCTTGACCATCGATCAGTTGGCGTGCGAAGCAGTGCTTGACGGCGCGGGAATCATACGCGCGCCCTAAGGTTCACCCTAGAAGGTTACTCTTAATCAATGCCTACCTAGGTAAATAGCGGACTGGAATGCGGTATGGAATGGTGCCGTTATAATGGCTTCCAAGTACAACTGACGTTTGCCTTATCCACTGTGTATCATAACCAAGAAATTCCGTAACCTGTGCCGCAGAGCTACCAATACCAAGAATATAACAATACGAGGTAGTGGAATTAGGCTCGCCGGTTGCTTAGTCTCCGGTTCCTACTATTTATAGTCCGAGGGATTGGCTTAATACGCTTGTTGCAGATCACGTCTTAATTGAAATTAACGACCAGTTGATGATTTGCGACCAAGACATCTGAATGATTTTGTCATGACTTACAAACTGAGGCCACAGAGATATGTAGGCATAGCATTGATCTCTATACAACAGTAACAGGTGCCTCCCTAGGTACTAGGTATGCATCCCGGCGCATATCATATCGAAGCTGTACATAAGGAAATGAATGCACTTATTAGAGCCGTAGCGACTAGACTGCACACTAACGGCACTACACCTACATGTAGCCACGGACATCTCAACGACACAATATCATGCAGGACTTGTAACTCACCTTTTACCTCTCAGCGAATTAAATCCGGGGTGTACTACTCAAATAAACCCGATTGGTAAGCCCATCAATAGTTAGTCATGTACAATACATGTACGTAAATGCCGAAACTGTGGGGTGAGAATCCATCGCGTGGCTATGTGCCTGCCTGTCTTGTCTGTATTCCAAGTTCACGTATAAAAGTTTCAAGGTCGCTATGTATACGACGTATGTAGTTATGACCGAGGCTAGAACAAGTATCCCATCTCATCTCTTCCCCATTAATAAATCCATCCATCCATCCATCCAGCAGCCTGTCAACAACATCCCTTTTTAACAAGGAACCATCCACTTATTATCCCCAAACCTCACGTGGCCAATAACTAATACCTAACCACCCTAAACCCAGGGAAGAAGATGGGGAACCCTTTTATTTGATTCAGGAAAGGATGTGCAACTGTGAAATTTTACTCCACGTGAATGAATACCTAGGTAAGTTACCTACCCCAAGATTTTTTTTTATTTTTGGTTTTTATTTTTTTCGTGTGATCTTAACTCCGTACATTGTTTTGTTTTGTTTTGTTTTGTGCCCTCGCCGCAAAGCACCACAACCACCACCACCGCCAAAACGTGCCTAGGGGCTAACTAGTTAGTTATTCCCCATTAAAACTTCCCCCCCATCCCCCATCCCTCCTCCCTCCGCTTTGTCCAGGGATCCAGGGATCCCGGGGGGCAAAGTGTCGGCCCAGGTTACCTATAAAAGTAATCCGGGGTAGAATGACTTAATCAAAGAAAAGGGAAAGGGGAAAAAAAAACCATGTACTTTCCCCATACCCGGCATTATGTATCCTGCTAGGTAGGTACTGTACCTAGGTAGACAAGAGTAGGTAGGTAAACAAAGAAGAAGGGCAAAGTCGTCGTGGCATCATCGATCGAGAGGCAAAGCGATTCACGGGCTTTTTTTTTTTTTTTTTTGTTTCCGGGAGTACATAGGCTCTGATGTATGTAACTACATCTACATCTAAATCGCGTAAATTTCTGTCTTCCAGTCTAGGTAAAGATGTTCCCAATACATAACATCTAGAGACGAGAGGTAAGGTAAGCAGGTATCTAAGTGCTGTAATAAAAACCTCCCCCCCCCCCCAAATAGATAGAAAAAAGTCTGAATAGCTTCTCCCATCCCCTATCAATGTGCCGTCTTCCATCTGGTTAGGTGGGTATGTAGGTAGAGAATATGTGTAATAGATAGATACAACATCTTGATAGTATAGGTCTAGGCCGTTAAGCTAGGTATCTAAAACTTCAACCCCTATTCTCAAAGAACTCGCTCCCCTGCCCCTTCTCCGCATCCGCCTCCACCACCGACCCAGACCCCGAGATGCCCTCGTGGTGCTCGGCGGGATGGCTCGCCTTCGCCCTGTGCTCCTCCGTCTCCTCGTACGCGATGAGCAGCTCGCCATTCTTCCCGTACCTCCTGGGCTCCTTCTCGGCGATCGCCACGACGTTGAAGTACCCCATGGGCCCCTCGACCTTGTGGAAGATGGAGTCCATCTCCTCGAGGGAGCGGTACGCGGTCTCGGGGAAGAAGAAGTAGACGGCGGGGACCATGAAGGCGTTGATGGCGGCGAAGATGATGTACGTCTGGTACCCGATGCTGTTGAAGGCCACGGGCGTGATCATCACGACGAGGAAGTTGAAGATCCAGTTGGAAGATGTCGACAAAGCGTTGGCAGGCGCGCGGATACGGAGACTGGTGATTTCGGCGGGGTAGAGCCAGGCTGTAAAAATTACAGGGTTAGCGATATATTCCTATTCATTACTCCAAGCATAGGGGTGTGGTTTGCACGTACTCATCCCCAACCAGCCGACGGCAAAGAAAGTGTTGAACACGAAGAGGAAGACAATAGCAGCCACCATCGCGCCATTCTTTCCTTGCGCGCCGTCCGAGTTGACGCCCGCCAGCACCGCCATGCTCATCGCCTGCCCCGCGGCGCCGAACAGCATGAGCTTGCGGCGGCCGACGCGCTCAACGAGGAACACGGCAGGCCACGAGGCGATGAAGTACTCGGTGCCGTTAATAGCGGCTAGCAGGCGGGCCATGAAGTCCGTCATGCCGAGACCGGAGTAGATCACGGGCGCGTAGTAGGTGATGAGGTTGATGCCTAGGTAGATAATTGGTTAGCTTGGAGTTATAGTTTAGGGTTAGGGTTAATAGTGCTAGAAAAGGGTTGAGGGTTACCTGAGATTTGCTGGAACATCTGGTTGACGAACGCGAGCATGGTGCGGTGGAAGTTTCTATACCACAGTTAGTATTCGTAAAATACCGGTAGGTACCTAGGTAGCCTGGATATCAATTATGCTTACCGTTCCTTATCCATGGTAAACAAATCCGCAAAAGACCCCTTGGACATCTCGAGCACCGTCTCCTTGATAGCCGTGAACTCGTTCGTCACAATCTTATCGTCGACCGTGGTATCAGACAGCGCCGCGAGGACCTCTTTCGCCTCGTCCTCCTCGCCCTTCAGGATCAGCCAGCGGGGGGACTCGGGCAGGTTCCAGATGAAGGCGAGGATGAACAGACAAAAGAGGACCTGGAAGGCGAGCGGGAAGCGCCAGGAGACGCTGCTCTCGACGAAGCTGAAGCCGAGGTCGATCCAGTAGCTGACCATGATGCCGCCCGTGATCAGCGCGCCCTCGATCATAACCAGCTTGCCGCGCTTGTGCGCGTGCGAGGTTTCCGATTGCCAGGTGGGTACCGTCGAGGTGTTGCCGCCGTTGCCGAGACCGGTGATGATGCGACCGAGGATGAAGTGCGGGAGGGTGGTGGCGCTGGCCTGCAGTATGGCGCCGATGACCATGATGCTAGTACCGAGGATGATCATGCGCCTGCGGCCGAGAGGGTTGGAGATGAAGATGGTGGTGACGGCGCCGATGAAGCACCCGAGGTTGTACGCAGCTACGGCGATTCCCTGCGTCGAGGCTCGCTTGGACTGCTCCATGGCGTCTATGGTCTTGTCCTCGGAGTTCATGTCCGGGAAGGCCTCAAGGAACTGGTGCATCGTGAGAATCCCACCCATCACACCCTGATCTACAATACATGGTTAGGAAATCATTCTTTTTAGATTGTCATCATATATATATGTGTTGGAGATGATGATGTACCATATCCGAAAAGCAGGAAATCGCATCCTGCGATGATTCCTATGGCATAGTTGAGGTGTTTGCCGCGAAGGCCAAAGTATTTCATGGTGAATATAAGCAACGAGCAAAAGGGACAGGCGCTGTTTTTATTTTTCTTGACGATGTATGAAAAATGATTTTTTTCTTATTCTTCTATCATTCGATGCGATGAGAAGAACTATGTCGCGCGACCAAAATGATACTGTGGCCGGGAACTTTGGCTCGACCTTTTCTTTTCGGGGGGAGGGTTGGTAGGTAACATATAAACCGAGAAGACAATAAAGAGTGACTCAAGCCACATGAAGATGATCCACGGGGAGATTTTTAGAATTAGATAAAAGATTATGGGATGTCAAGTAATATATACTTAGCTATATGTATGTCAGTGTGTGTGTGTGTGCTTACCTGGGTCCGACCAGTATACTAATACGTACAAGGTATTTACTCTGCTATAGCACACTCGATGCTACCTACCCAGGTACCGACCTACCTACGTACGGTAAGACTGCTTCAGGAGGAGTACATAACCCCAGCCAAGACGTAACCCTGGAGTATGAAAGCCGGGGTTCAGATCCAACATCAAGCAACTTACACTGCACTAGAAAGAAAAAAAAAGATGGGGGATAGGATGCTTGGCGGGGTACCTACCAGATTGCAGCGTGATCTACGTAGATGGCATGGTGCTGTGCCTGAAGCAGCGGCGCGCCGGTGGTTCGAATATGTGGAATGTGGATGGAGGAGGAACATGCATACATAGTATTGTACCTACACACAAACATGCCTAGGTACAATACTGATTTAGGTATCGTATGAGTCTGTGATGGGAGCTCGGAAGGCTTCAGACATGTCATCCCACTGTATGTTTTGAATGTTGATATGTCTTTGATGCTTTTGGTGATGAGCTTAATGCGATAGCTGAGGTAGATCGTTTTCATTTTGCCTTATAGAGGTGACACTGGTAAGTGCTCAGGTGGTCAATGGGATATGTACCTAAGATGCAAGTCAGATCGCATCAACCACTGCAATACTCTACTATTCCAGGCTTCACCCCGGAATCGTCCCAGGTACACAGACCTCCCCCAAATTCCAGCCTGCCCGCAATACATGTACTCCAGTTAGTTACCTACCATCCATCCCCATCCATCCCCATCCATCCCCATCCATCCCATCCCTTAGACGGCTCCGGGATAAAGGAGGGATTCGGTACGCGAACAAACAATTGGGTGGCGCTAAATGCCTAGTTACATGCATAGTACTATCTACTCGCCGTCGGATTTCCTCATTGGGCAAACCGAAGCATTCGAATTCGTTCGAACGAAGAGAAGAAAACATGGAGCCTTACCGACTGTATGTGCATGTAACGATCAAGGATGTTCCAGCAGAAAAGAAGCAGCAAAAAAAGTTGTAGGTACTTAACTATTAGAATTCTTGACGTAAGTTAAAGGCGATCAAGCCTGAAAATAGAACAAAGCAAATCACTAAATCACCTGACGGACCCTAAACCGAACCTTGCTTGAGCCAAGTGCTACATCAAAGTAAGAAATGACGTCGATTTTGGTGGAGAAACCTCCTTAGCTATCGGTCGTATATCGGCCTTAACAATCTTTTTTTTTTGCATCACGGAAGCGAATCACTACTAATAAGAATATTCCGAATTCTGGGGATATGGGGGGATTGAAAACCCAAAATCCCCCATACTTAAACCCCCATAGAAAATAACCCCATAAGGATTCTATACCATCCTACCATCCATGCTGCCGGTATGAAATATAGCAACAACATGACTTCGCCTTAGCTGTTCTGAAAAGGCACGGAGTACTACTAGTAGTAGGTGCGATATTTTCCATTTCTCCTTTATTACCCAAAGCCCAAAGCCCAAAGCCCAAAGCTAGGTAAAGGTAAATAAAGGATTCAGCGGATTTGGTTAACCGGACAAGAAGTCTGGAATTCCTCTTCCAATAATTTATGTATCTAAGTTGCCCCTGCTTCTATACAGGCGAGGCCTGGCTTGGTCTAGAATACCTCTTACTTACTGAATAGTGCTCCTCACGATTCTAGAAATCGTCCACCTAAAAATTATTTCGGTTTACCATGAATTCGTACTCTCATTTCTTTATTTCATCGCTCTGTTCAATTGGACATATCGGTCTCTATGTCATGCCTTCCACCATCAGGTACTAAGTAGCTTTGATCTACAGCCCATTCTCACTTTTGAATTTATCCCAGCTCTCATTGAGGGTGGCAAACACAGTTGCGGCAATGAGTTTTACCTCCGTGCCTGCATCTTGCGGTAGCTGTAGTGTTTCTGTCAGTGTCCGAGATCAAGTAGAGATGAAGTAAGGAGTTGTAGATGATTTAGAGAAGCAAAAGCAACTCACCTTATCAGGATGACACTTGGCAATGGCTTTCATGTAGTGTATCTTAACCTTGTTCGCAATGACTAGCTCGTGTAAGCCGACCTTCTTCCAACCACTGCCTTCCCACAGAACTTGGTCAAGGCTTCCAATGAGTGCCCGTAAATTGTCTCTCTTGCCGTCTCGCCAAGCCGCAATCTTTGCGTCGACCTTCTCGGAGAGTGCAAATTTCTCATCGTCGGCCGCCTCAGCCGCCTTGTTCGCTTCTCGAAGCCGTTGCACCGCCTCGGAACTTTTCTGTGGGTTGAGACTTGATGAAGCAGAGACTTTCGGTCGAGGTTTGACTGCATTTACTGGCTTCGGTGTCGGCTTGGGTTTGGGAGCAAGCGCTTTCTGGCATCGCTGCCGACCGGCAATCGCATTAGGACCCCCGACACCTACCTCGACGCACTGCTGCCAGACAGTCCCGGCGTCAGCCCATTTCTCCATTTGCTCAAGCGCTTCGGCCTTCCGGCTGAGTGCCTTGCCGTATAAGTCCTTCATATCACGGGATTCGCCATCCGGTAATGCAACCTTCTCCCCTTCGCCTCGGGAGGACCCTATAATGCCAATCACTGCATCCGCGTCGCTGACAGCCTGTTTGGGACTTCCAGTCTTCAAGGCAGTAAGTGCGCGGTTGGTAAGGAGGATAATGCATATAGGATGTGATTGTGGGATGCCAGCTAGAGAATTCGTGTAACTCGTGTGTGCAGCATCATAATCCCCGCGTTTGAAGTGTGCGGTTCCTTCAAGGCGATGTCGTGTAGAGGCATCCAAGACTGATTGCGACACATTAGGTATTTTCCGTATAGGAGCGGATGGTCGAGGGGTAATAGGTCTAGAAGCGGGCGTGGGAGTTTTGATCGTCGCTATTGGCTGGCTTGGGCGCTGAGGCCGGGCTTGAGAGGATGATGACGCGGACTGCTCGAATAGGAGGTCTGCCTCAGGCTCCTGTTGCGGTGCTACGGGCTGAGGTGTGACCTTCTTTCTCCTCGCAGGACTAATATAGACTTGCGCGCTTTGCTCTTCAATAGCCTCCTTATTTAATCGTGCTCGAGGGTCACGAGAGGTTGGCTGCGCTGCTTGTTGCCATTTGGGTGTCCCCGAGGAATGCCTAGATGACTGGGTTGGTAAAGCCGGAGATTGATCTCGAGAACTATTATGTCGGGGTTGGGGTGGCCTAGCTGGCTGTTTCTCCGGCCGTAGACCCGAATCTAGCATCAGCGCCTCATCAGTGGCTGTCTGAGATCCATTGCCTCCAGAATGCATCCTATCCTGTTGAGCTGAGCGCATCCATTTTGGCTGATTGGGATCACCTCCCTCCTGCTGGAAATCAGCAACTGCCTTTTGAACCTGCTTCTGCCCGCTTTTCCAAAGAGAGTTTGCGGTTTTGAATAAGGTTGAACTCATTGCCGCGGCCTTCTTAGAAAAGTCATCAGCAGACGCGGGTGACCGGCTGCCCGTTCGTGAAGGCATCTCATCTGCCTGCTCTCTAACCGCCCAGGCGGGACTACCATGGGTTCTAGATCGATTACCGCTTCTTCCACTTCGTTCGGTGGTATGCTCTGAGGCGCCTCGTTGGTTACGAGCTTGTCTGTGCGCATCATCCAAAAGCCAGCTGACTGCTGCTTGAACATTTAAACCTGTGCCGTTTTCTGTTAGACCCCGTCTTGCATTCTCCGCTGTGAATCCCATATCAACTAGTTCAGCTACTGCCTTGTCAAATGGATCCGAGCTGCCTCCTCTTGGGGGTCCTTCGGGTTCAGAGTCTGAATCAGAGTCATCAATGGGCCTTCCTGGTTCTTGTTTTGGCTGTGGTTTTGTTGCCTGCACTTTACGTCGTACCTCCTCGACCGGTTTACCAAGATCTCCTAGAAAATCATCATCATCGCCAGTACTAACAACTGGCTGTTGCTGTGGTCGAGGTTTTATCTGGTTCAAGCCGAAGGGGTCGTCATCGTCGCCAAATTCGCCGGTACCTGAAGTTGTGGGCTTTTGCCATGCGCTGGCATTGGATAGGTCGAGTTGAGCTGTATTTGCTGGTGTGCTTTTCCCGGATTGTTGGGGCGCAGGCGGCGGAAAGTGACTCGCGTTGTCAACTTTGGTATCTCGGTTGAAGGCAGCAAATAGATCATCGTCATCGTCTTTGGCGTGTCCATTCTGAAATCCCGACCCGCTGCTGACCGGTGGAACAGAGGGAGAGATTGTACGGGACGCGGGTGTAGAGCCTTGTGCGATGTTGTCCCAAAACTGACCACCTCCATATTGTGACTGTAGCTTTCTTCTTTCTTCTTCCTCCTTCTGACGTTTCTGGGCCGCGAGCTGTTCTTGTCGTTCTCGAAGGCTTAAATTGGCATTGTTCTTAGACCCACCGAAGCTCACGAGGTTGCTGAAGCTGTCAGTAGTGGGCTTGGAAGTATTTGACTTTGGGGCGTTGAGCCCAGAAGCTTGGGTAGAGAGTGGCGTAGATCGACCGGAAGGCTGAGGTGATGGAGTCGGACGCAAGGTCGAATAGAAAGAGGGGGGGTTCATAGGATTCATAGGATTCATCGGAGAGGGCTTGGAGTTTTTGGCAGAATTGGTCGACGACCAATCTAGATTTGAAAGATCGTCCATAATTTACGCAGGAGATGGGTATGTCGGCATATCAATAAAACCACATTATTGGGTTGTGCCAACAATGGCCCTCATATTCATCTAGTAATGACTGTGTCTGCGCCGTCGCATGCGAACTATTTGTTAACAAACCTTCCAGAACTTGACACACTGCACATGCAGGGTGCAAGTGTTTAATCAACTTTAATGGCCTGTTAATTATGTGGCTTAGTAACTTGGCACTGCACTTAGCAAGTGGCTGATAAGAATTGTGGCTTAGCTATAAGTTACTGTACTAACCTTAGCACATGGCAGCTTCCGATGTCCGATGTCAAGTTCAAGGAACATCATTCCATGCATCAATGATCGAGTGTTGTTTGGGCTGAGATTAGATAATCACATCCAGTCCATACCAACATTCAAGTTGCATGTGAACATCAACAGTAGATGCATGTATTCACTACGTAGATCCTTGGTGTGCGGCACAATTTTCACTAAGTGTGCAAGAATCTACCTAAATCGAGATCGAATAGATTCGCGATATCCCCAATGTTGTTCTGGGGGTTGTCTGATTGATGATCGATTTCCACCCACTAACATGATGTTTTGCTCATGTATCAATGCCTCTTGGGGTCAAAGTCTTCATGCTTTTGGCGATGGAAGTGGGGTTTACTGTTGTTAGTCATCTCAAGGTTAGTCAACTCTACCTAATTATTACAGTACTCGAAATGGACAATTCCGAAAGATGTTCGTACTGTAGTCATCTTCAAAGACGAGTGAGCCACTTCAAGTAGCCTTTCTAGATGAAGATTGCCTGACAAACTAACTTCAATGTTACCTACTCACAACACCTACATAGCTAGCAGTGTAGCACTTAGCAGCCCCAGCAAGTATATATCTCTATAATTACATGAATATGCAGCGGCTCAAGACTGCGCAGCTTGGTTAGTTGTAGATAGTTGAAGCTGTCGTTACAGTGAACTACGTCCTTGGCATGCGATTCACTAAGCTTAAAACCTTTCGGGTTTAATTGTGATAAACTGAGTAACATTCACTTCCCAAAAACACCAATGATAAGGCACGCCTTGCGGGTATGATAATTTCCTTCGGCAGATCATTTCGTCACCAAATCGCCCGGGACTTGTTCCAGTCGGGAACACTAGCTACAAATGTGATGGTAAAATACACCTACAATGGCAATTCCTGTTTTATGTGTTACAGACGTCTTTTTCTTCTTTTACTTTTTTATATTTGCACTGACGACGCACACAATGTAATTCAGGAGAGCACTAGTGGCGCCTTTAATAAAACTCCATACAGAAAACGAATAAGAATCTCCAGCTATCATTAACAAGCGCACTTATATATGTATAGGGCTTACATGCATTTTACATGCAGTTTACATGCGTTTTACAACAATCAGCCCGTCAGCCCGTCAGCCCGTGGCCCCGTTGCAAGTCCAGGCGAATTTTAAATTCAACTCAGGAACCTGGTAAGACACGATCCTTGGAAGTGCATGGACCAGGTTTTATCTTCCTAATAGAGTAACCATCAGCTATAATGCGGTTTTTAATTGGACGGTCAAATACACCAAGGCCTGTGATTAGTTTCATGAACCTGGCATTTTCCTCTGTCCTCCTCTTGTCTGACAACAGGCACCTCTCTCGTACACACCTACTTTTAAGCCAGCGCTTACATCGCAACCAACACCACAAGATATCACACAATGCGCTACTTACAACTCTAGCACATATTCACAATAGGCAGGCAATATACTACGTAAGTTCCAACAAAACTTTAGAGAGTTTATTTTGATACCATACCATGCTAAATTCACAAACGATTGAAAGGATAATAAGCTATGTTTGTTATAAGTGTGTACGATATATACGAAGGTTATAACTAAAAGTTTAAACTAAGATATACCTTAACCCCACAATGCGCCACTTTTTTTCGGGCTTCTACTAATAATAGGTATACATTTAACGTTAAATCCCTTATAACCCTTAAAAATATAGCATTTTATAGCATATTTAAATGCTATAATATGTTATAAACTTAAAGCCTTTAATCTTAAATAATTAATAAATAAGCTTATTAATAACTTTAAATAATGGTTATATAATAAGGGTACGTATTAACGTAATATATATATAATTAAAAGAAATACTTATATAACTTAAATTATATAAGAAATTAAATCCCTTTTTTACTCTTAAATTTAAACCTTTTTCCTTAAATATTAATATTATATTAATTTCACTTTTATTATTTTTACTTTACTTATTATTTAATTTATTATATATATATACCTATTAACATTAATTAATATTATTAAACTATTAACAACATAAATTAATAAGATTAAAAAAGTCATTATTATAATAACTCGAAAAACCTTATCATAATAACATAAGTAACATTAATAATCATTTTTTTAACACTTATATTTTATTTATAATAAAATATAATTTTACCTCACCTAATTGTTTTAAACCTTTATCGTTACATAATAATATTAACTTATACTCCTTTTTTCCTTTAAATTCGCTTACATTAACTACTAATATAATAACCACCTTAAAAAAATCGGCACCACCCTTAACGCCCCAGCCATAACCTAAAAGCCATAACATTAATATTAACCCCGCTACTTAAAAAAATATAAACAAGTTACATAAACTATTAAATTTCGTTCCTAATAAAATAACATTATTAAAGCAATAATTCGCCCTAAAAATCGTTAAATAAGATAAAATACCACTATTTACCACTTAAAAATAAAAAAATACTTAAGTATTATTAACCTTTATCAACTTTAAAACAACTAATAAAAATGCTAACCACATTCGCATAATAAAAAAAACATTTAAAAAATATAAAAGATATTTCGACACATTTCACTTAAATAACTTTAATAAAATGCTAAAAATATTATAAATAACGTTATAAAACGCATTTATATAATAAAAAATCTATATAAATAAAAATAATAATAATCACATAAAAAAATTAACTAACCTAATAAACATATAAAAGCCATTACATTAACACTCTTAAAACTTAATATAAACTTAAATAAAATAACTTAATACGTTAACTTAAAAAATATTTATACATTAAATAAAATTAAGTCCGGTTATCCTTAAAACATAACGGCTAAAACAATTATTAACACAAACATTATAAACGCCTTAAAATCTTATTTAATTTATTACCCCTATTATACCTCCTTTTATTCCAAAAAAACGACCGTTTTTAAACCTATTACCCTTTTCACTTTAATCCCCTCGTAATTTTAATAACTTTTCTTTGAAATTTTATTCATTTTTTTTCCTTTTTAACTAATTATAAAACTTAATTTTATAATCGTTAAACCTTATTTAACAAATAAATAATAACTTATTTCTTTTTACTTAAATACTTATTAAAATTAAATTCTTTAATTTATTTTAACCACCTTTATAATCTTAAAAATTAATACCATTTTTAATACCTTTTTTATAGCTGCTAAATCCCAAAAATCCTCTACTTAAGTCCTTATATAATAACATTTCATAACAAGGATCTAGTTAAAATAACTAAAAAAGATAGTCATAAAATAGTTAAATGGCCTTAAGAAATAATATAAAACCTTTTAAACCGCCATTAAAAGGTTTATTTATATCTTTAACATTACCTTTAAAACCTGCATTAAAAAAAATAAACCATCCTAACAAAAACTTAAGTTTCTCCTCTTAAACGACATTATTATTTTTACTAATATCTAACTAATAATAATAAATATAAATACCTATTAATAATTAAAAAAACATTATTTACTATAATATTCCCCTTATATAAATCTTTAATAAAATATATCCATTAACTATTATTAACTATTTTAAAAAAACCTAAAACAATAAAAATAACTATACAAATAAACCATATAACATCCTTAAAAATAAGTTTCGATTTTTCCTTAATATTTACTATATAATAAAAATATAACAAATATAATTTCATATTATATTTTTTATAATCCTCATAAAAAAAACAGTTTTATACTTTCTTTATAATATCCCACATTATTAAACCTTTATAAACATATATTTAATTATAAAATAACATTTTAACATTAAATAAAATAAAATCTAATATCATTATAATTAAACTATAATAACGTTTTTTAATATTAAAAATAATAAAAAAAATATAGGGAAAAATAACTTAAAAATGTTATAAATTCTCCTTAATAAACTCTTTTTATATTAATAAACGCTTAGCCTTAAATTTAAAAAGAAATAATAACTTATTACATTTATTTATCGCGTTTACTGTGTTATATCTTAATTATAACACATCTTATTTAAATTATTATTAAGGTTTAAAAACTTAACTAACAAACTTTAAACGTCGATTAAGACTTATAAGATTTTTAAAACGGCTAAGTTAAATAATTATAAATATATTAACAATAATAATAATAAAGAAAAAACGCTTAATTCTATATAAATTATAAATATTATAAAACAAATAAAAATAACAAATATAATACTAAAAAATCCCTTAAATTATAAAAACGCAAATATTAAATTTGTAAAAAAAAAAATTATTAATCTATTAAATATTTTAAGTATAAATAAAAGAAAGCTAAAAAAAAATGGAAAAGCAAACATAACTTATTAACTAAAAACTACATAATATTCTTAGTAAATTATAAAAAACTTAATAATCCCGATTTAAAAGCGGAATAAAAAAACGAAACAATAATATTAAAAATAAACTACGATGATAATAATAACCTTTTTTTAACCGTTACCCACTTATTTAATTAAACCTTTTAATATTACATAATCGCCCGCCCTTTTTTAAACGTAATAATAATTAATAACATTTTTTTTTTAAACTAATACATAAAAAATATCTTTTAAGGTATTATGTTTAATATAGGTATTACTTAAATATTTATAATCGAAAAGGGATAATATTTAACTTTTATTAAAAAACATTTCGATAAACGAGTTATAATGGATAAATCTCGTGTAAAAAAAGCTTAAATCCGTTTTAAAAATAAATAACCGATAAAATCTTTTAAAATAATTATCATTAATATCCTTTTTAATTATATTAATTTCCATATTATAAACATCAATACTTTATTCCTTTTATCATTAAAAAACATAGATTAATTAA